CCTGAGGACTGAATGACCCTATCAGAGAACTTAAACACCAATAAGGTCAAAACTCTAGAAAGAGATTCCAGACAGAATGCAAAAACAACTACAATAAAAAAGGCATATCCATAGAGTCATCTCCCCTATGGAGCTTAACAAGCAGGCAAGTTACTCATCCATACCAGAATAATCTATAAAGTGAGGTATTCTCACTTCTCCAAATCCTACAGAGACTACACAAAATTACATATACATTATTAAATAGTTGAAGGGAGAATAGGATGCTGTTAAATAATGAGTACACCAAATGTTCCTAGGCACTGGAGCATTGCAATATCTGTTCTAAAGAATTAAATGTATCAAGCATTACCACAAAATGCTATTGTGCCAAAAGAAAATCTATGATGTTCTAAAGCAGCGATATGGAGTGGAAACCATCATGAGTATACTTGGTCTTATAAAAGAATTGTAAACATGTCATGGTGACATACATAAGACCCAACATGCTTATAAACATGTTAATGATCTGAATCTAATGCACTGAAAAAATTTAGCATACTAAAAATGTGCCAAATTAACCCAAAAGCATAGGCCACAAGGTGTTCCTAGTCACACCGTGAATCTTATAAAGACTCTAGAATTCTAGAATCTTATAAAGAGCCATAGTTTTGATGCAAAGTTTTTAATGATAATAATTCAATATAAAATATATTCGATGTAAAACCTATAATTAGTGTATAGGATCATCTAAAAATTACCATACTACCACAGTAAGTCAGAATAAAGTGTCTGTCTCCCATAATCATATATATGATATATATATATATAAAATATAGCAATTTTTTTCTTGAGTGCTGTGAGTTTAGAGGAGATTCTAACCTAAACGGGAGCAATGGAGAATAGGCCTGGTAGCTCAATGAAGCCCTGAGGAATTGAGCAATTCGACTGACCAGGGTTTGAATCACAATCCCACTACTTACTAGTAACATTTCATTTTCTCATCTGTTTTTTTTTCATCTGTAATATGAACATAATAATATCTACCTCCTAAGACTGTAAAAATTTAAAAAGCTAAAGATAGTTCTGGCTCAATAAATTATTACTGCCATAACAAAAATTTTTAAATTTAATCTATTTTAATATTTCTTCTCTATTCATTGTTCAAACTGCTGTGCTTCTACCATGATTGAGAATCAATCCAAAGGATCACTGTGGCTCAACTGCACCTACGTTCCCTCTGCCTCACCACCACCGCCTCACCTTTCCAAAGATAACTTTAACAGGAGGCAAGTAAAGTGCTTTTCTGACATTGCATCCATCATCAATGAACACCTATTGTTACACAGGTCTAGAATTTGGTTAGGTATGTTTTCCTTATCCCCTTGATGCTAGCCATCATTTTGATAACCATTTTTGACACATTTTCTTTTTTGAGTTATGGATTTCCAAAAGAGGGCAACTCCAAGCTTTCACAGACAAGATAAAGAAAAGGACATCATGCCCAGGAAGATTCACACCTTTTTGACTGAAACTAGTCATACAAGATTGACCACAAGAAAGTGGTCCTCCTACGCTTACCTCTATGCTTACCACCTGCAAACTCTCCTGCATTTGGGCCTATTCTCTCCTCCTTCCTTTCTGCCCTAGCAAAAGCAGTGTCTCACCCTCTTGTCTAAGGCTAATCCCCTTGTATCCCATTCTGCCTTGTGTCTCCTCAACGTCCTTGCTCTATCCAATATCTTTCTCTCCTATCTCTAAGCTCCCTCTCCTTCTATTGGCTCTTCCCATTTACTATATAAATATGCTCCTTTTCTCTTATTAAAAAGACACGCAAATAAAACAAAGCTCTTCTGACCTCCCTCCCCGAGCTCTCTATTTCCTTCCAGCTTCTGTGGCACTTTCTAGCTTATCACTGCTAAACTTCCTGAAAAGCAATTCTCTATTCAGTGACTCTCTGCAGGTATAGCTCACCGCTATTATTCCCATCACTCAAAACACTCCCACTCCCCTCCCGATCTTTTCCAAGGTTACAAAGTCATTCACTCAGCAAATAGATACTGAGTTTCTACTGTGCATCAGACATAGATGAAGAGATTTGGATTATATCAGTGAACAAAACAATAAACCCTGCTCTCATTGAGCTTACATTTCACCAGGGGAAACAGACTAGTAATCAATAAACTCAACAAAAACCTAAATTATACAATATGACAGATGGCGAGAAATGCTTTAGGAAAAAGAGAGCATATAACAGAGTAAAGGAAGTTTGGAGGAAGCAGGCAGGGTGCAGCTTTAAATTGAATGGTCAGGGTAAGCCCCATTGAAAAGATAAAATGTACACAACAACTTAAGGGAGGTGAGAGGCTTATTGGTCAGACATCCATATGGAAAGAGCATTTCAGGAAGGAGAAACAACTAAAGCAAGGCCTTAAATTGGGGGCATCATGACAATGAGGCCAGTGACAATGACCACTTCTACTGCCAAATACAACAGACAATCTGTCCTCACCTATGTGACCTCTCTCTCTGACTGTTGACTGCTTCCTCATCCTTAAAACTCACTCTTTCCTTGGCTTTGTCTATACCACTGTCATCTGTTTCACTTCCCAACTTTTAGGCCAGGTCCCAATCTCTTTCAGATACTGCTCCTCCTCTATTTGCTTCATGATACTAGTTAGGACTCTTCGCATGTTCTGTGCCCCTTTATCCTGAGTACAAAGTAAGATCACACTTCTCTTCCCCTTTTTGAAGTTAGGTGTGGCCATGTGACTTGTCACAGATATGACACGTGTCACTTTCAAGTAGCAGCTTTAAAAGCCAGCATGTGATTTACCACATCCTCTTTGTTCTGCCTGAAAAATGGAGATAACAACCAACCTATCTCATTAGGTGACTGTAAGCTAATATTCATAAAGCATTTGTAAGAGTGCCTGATGTGAAATGCATAATTATAACTTTTTTATTGGGGTTGTTATAATAATTAAATATGATAATCCATGGAAAGCCCTTAGCATAAAGCACTTAGTATACGCACATGTGGTCTAGCAAAGGATGTGCTCATAACCCATGCCCCTACATGGTTTCACTACGAACAGCTCTCCTAGCGGGGAACATTAGAATCCTGTTTTCTGACTTGGAAAGAATCATGGGAGCGTGTGTCAGGATGGAGATTCCATTACGAGTAGCAGCAGCCCAGATCTCCACCTCACTGAACAGAGTAGTGTGTGTAGAAAATAGACTTTGTTCTCCCCCTTGTCTTAAGGCAGTGAGACTTGGGAGTTGTTGGTGCTACCCAGGAGGACATCCTCAGGCCTACACCCCACATAACTCTCCCTGGATAACCTCATCCAAACCCCTAACTTCAGCCACTACCAATATATTGATGACCAAAATACATATCTCCACACATCTCTCTCCTGAATGCTTCATTAATACATCCAACCACATACTGGATAGCTCTATTCAGTTATTATCCAAGTTTAGATGAATCACATCCAAGCAAGTAATTCCAAAGTAACCTTTTGCTCTACCTTGCTCCTCCTTTTAGTTTTCCTGTCTAGGTGAAGGCGCTGTCATGCATCTGGCCACCCAAGCCAAAAATCAAGGCAACTTGAACTTCACCCTCCCTCATCCATCCCCCACATCTAACCAGCACAGAACTCAGTCCTGTGGGCTTGCTCTGCCTTTCTTTCACATCTGTCCTCTTCCCTATTCTCACTGCCCAAGTCCAGGCTTTCATCACGTGAAACTTTAATATTAATACAAGTCAGGAGTCGCCACTCTCTGATTCCATTTGGTCTCCTTGCAATCGATCTCCCATGCTGCTGCCAAAGGTTCTTTCAAGATGCAAATATGATCATTTCACTTTCCTTCTTTAAATCCTTTTAACTAGCTTCCCTCAGCTATCCAGATAAAACTGGATCTCGTTATCCTGCCCTCTAAGACACTTTATTATCTAATTCCTGTCAATCTTTCTAACCTGAGCTTTTGCCTTTTCCTTTTACATTGGCCCCATTTGAGAGACTGCAGTCTCTCAAAAGCAGATGCTGTTAACTATTAGTGTTTATAACAGCAGCAGTAGTAATAATGTTACATATCTTATCCCTCTATACCATAATCTCTGGTTTATTTATGGATCTTCTTCAATGGACTGCAAACTCCCAGATAAATAAGCCTTTAGTTTGCTTCATTTTTGTATTCTCAGTACCTAATGCAGCACTTAACACATAGCAGATACTCAGCAAATGTTTTCTGAATAACTGAATGGCTGGCTGACTGACTCAATAAATGAATGAATGAATGATTACATTTATACACACATACATACTTAAAACCGAGAGATAAATAAGTGAATGGATCCTAACACTTCAAAGAGAAGACTTACATTTCTTTCCTATAGCAGAAACAGACAAACGGAAAGTGAAGTCTAGAGTAGATTATTTCCATTTTCATCTTATTCTATTGCCTCATTCCTACAAGGTGCACTGCCAAGAACATTCCAAAAGGGCTTATCAGCTAAAAGCAAAGAAGTCACAACGTTCACAAATCTTCTCCTGTGTTCTATTAATAGTTAAAAGACCTATAACTTAAGCATGGTAAAGACAATATAATAATCCATATTGAATATGGAAAAGGAAGTTATTACGTAAGCCCAAGAGAACAAAGAAAATAGCAAAAGGTCAAATAGCAAAAGATTCCCAAGTAAGATAAAAACAGGGAAAAATGTACAAAACAACCTTTTTTCATCTTTATTTTTCCCATCAATTTCCCTTTTCCTTTTTTGTTATTACCCTTTTTAACTTACAGATTAAACTAAAAAAAGTGTCTTAATCCCCCTTAAGTGATATTTATAGCAACATAAAGTGGTAAATATCAAATGTATTATTTTCAGGCAAAGAAACTTACAAAAGAGATTTTACAAACATTTTAATTATGGAAGATTTGACATGTAGAACACAATGGCAAACTTTGTTTTAAACAAAATTAAGTTTCAAGTTATTAATAAAATTGGTTCTGACCTGAATAGGTAAGCATTTTTAGTAAATCCGTGTAGTTTCCTATATCTATTTCTTCAACAGTTGAAACATTAATGCTAAGCTGCTTCCCAATGAAATTTCGGCAGGTTATCTTGGAAAGATGAAAACAAATATTACTTATGTATTTACAGTTAAAAAGTTGGCTTACTTGAAATGTTTCTCTCATTTTTTATTTATCAAAATAAAGAGATACAAAACAATGCTACAAATAAAAGCTGGCAGAATAGCATTTAATCATGAGGGAAAAAAAGCAGCTACATAATTTTTCATATTTCTTTTGTATAGCACAGCTGGAAGAGCTTAAGGCAAATTACATAAAGCAATTAGAATATGATTTCCTATTATTCTATATATTCTCTAGTACAAATATATCTTCCATTATGTGAGTTGAAATATATTTAAAATATTGGTTGCTTTTCTAATGACAAATTTTCCACCCTATCCAACTCATAATGGCAGCTGAAAAAAAAAAAAATTTCCACCCTATTCATAATTAATTCAATTTTAACTTCCCTTGTGAAGTGTTGCAGAACTAACTTCCTCTGTAGTATTTTGACAATTTATTTTCTAGCAGAAATCTGAGTCTTAAAATTATAAAATATCTGAAAACAGAATATTTTTAGACAGAAGAAAAATTTTTAAAGAGTCTAAGGACCCTCTTTTCTCCATTTCTCTGCCCCTACCCTTTGAACTAACTTATCACTTAAAATAGAGCCCTCCTTGAACCCCAGTCTTGTGGAACTGAGCCCTCAAACTGTGGGATCTGTTGCTATCTCCAAGTAGATTGTATCAGAATTAAATTGGAGGATATACAGATGGTGGTATCCACTACAGAACTGATTTCTTGCTTGCTGGTGGGGAGAAATTCCCACACATCTGGTGTCAGAATCATGTTGTAAGAGCGCAAGGGGAGAAACAGACTTTGTTTTTTCCACTCAATAGATAAGATAGATCTATCTTACTAGTTCTGCTGCTCTGGTTGAACCCTGACCAATACAGGCAGTTAGATATAGCAACACAAAATTCAGGAGAAAGGTCTACAATGGGGATGTATTGTCAATAGTCATCATCATAGAGATGGTACCTAAAGCCACAGACTGAATTAACTCACTAAAGGACAGGATGTGGATAGAGAGGACAGGAGGTTCAAGAACAGAGTCTTGGGGCACATTAACATGAAGACTTCAGAGAGAAGAGGAAGAAGAACAAGCGACAAAGAAGACTCAGAAGTGTATCTGCCACATTTCAGCCACGTAGGCTTTCTTTCTGCCCCATCTCAGGGCCTTTGCCCCTGTTCTTCCCTTAGGCTACAATGCTCTTTCTCCAGGTCATTGTATGGCTGGCCGCTTCTCATCAAATATCACCATCTCCCAGAGGTCCTCTTCATCACCCCTACTAACATTTCTACCCCCCACTCAGCCTATCTCTATTCACTGATCTATTTTATTTTCTTCAGAGAACTTATGTTCATAAATCTATTTATCTGTTTGCATGTTTATTATATGGTCCTATTAAACTCCATGAAGCAGGAATTCAAACTGTATCATCACCAAAATAGAATATGTAAGAGGCAAGGCTATCACCATAAGGAACCTACATGAGAAGAGAAAATGCAGTCCTTGCTGAGTGAGTGCAACACCACAGCACACAGGCTGGTGTGGAGAGAAGGGGCTGGATTTAAGCCCCTGCATATGCCAGGGGCCTTTGGGAAGCCGACTATACAACCGTATGCAATGGCTCTAATTAGGGAGTCAATACATATTTGTTAAATTAGTAAATGAGAGAATTTACTTAACTCTTCTCTCCACCTGTTTCAAGCTATACCATGACTTCCATGGGCCCTAGGCACTTTTGCCTTCATGGGCCATTTTTCCATTAAAAATAAATTAAAAACTATACTTTACGATTGTATTGGTAGAAATACAAAAATATGAATAATAAAAATAAAAACATTTTATTTGACCTAAAAGTTATTTTTTTCTTATTTTAAAAGAAATTAAAACACTTAGTAGGCCGTTGAAAGTACTGTGGGCTCTAGACACTGTCTCCACTGTACCTAATGGATAAGTCAGCCCTGACGTGAATAGAAGCTTCTTGTGCACAAGTACTTAATTTCTGTTTACTCTGTGTATTTACTGGCACACAGTAGGCTCTCAATAATGTTTGTTGATTTGAATGATAAATGCCTAAGTGAAAATAATAATATTCATCTGATTTCTAAGTCTTTGTATATTATATGTGCACTCATAAGGAATCACAACTGCATGAATAATAGAGTTGAACTTACCTTCTCTCCATATTCGGCCTCGTACATTGCACAAGGTTGTTGGGTAATATCTGGGCCCTGGAACTGCTGTATTCTCAGAAGAAGCTGGCGCTGTGCATATACCAAGAGTGGTGTCACTTGTTCTGTATATCTCTCACTAGACAGAAGTAAAGAATACATTAAAAAGTAAACATTAGTCAAAAGACTTTTTTTCCCAATTAAGTCTGTTACTTTCAATTGCCCTTATAGCAGTACTTACTGTGAAATTGAATTGAACTGAATGGCAAGCGATACTAGTGTTTCCCATTTTTCCACTTGATATAAAACTTCTAGAGATTTTAACACAAAGTCATGGATCCATTTCAAATCAACCAAATTTACATCATCCAAAGGATGCTCAAAAGTAAGGCTAGAACCACCATTATCATTTTTAATATTCCCGTAACAGCTTGGAACACTGAACTCTCCTTTGTCTTCAACAGACTGCAAGTAGCACATTGAAAAAGAATTATGTAATTTCAGATTTTACTACATATTTTTTCTGAAAACTGAATGTGATAAAAATGCAACATGGAAAAGAACTGAACCAAAAAAAATTAAAATATGTTTTGATTATGCAAATCAAAGATTGATAATTTGAGGCAGTACTATCCAATACAAATTTCTGAGATGATGGAAATGTACTACATTTGTGCTGCTCAATATAGTTCAATATAGTCACTCAACCCCTGTAGCTACTGAGCTTTTGAAATGTGATTAGTGCCACTGAATTTTTTTAAATGTTAAGGTGCTTATCAATCAAAGATTTCAGGAAAACATGGCTTCCCTTTTTTACTTCAAAGTATTATGGGGGTACAAATAGTTTTGATTACATGGATCACTGCTATAATGCTTGAGTCAGGGTTATAAGTGTGCCCATCACTCAGATAGTGTTCACTGTACCCATTAGGCAAGTTTTTGCCCATCCCCTTTTCCTCCTTACCCACTGCTTGATTTCCACTGAGTTTTACTTCCCTCTATGCACATGTGTGCTCATCAGTTAGTTCCAAATTTAATAGTGAATACATGTGGTGCTTGTTTTTTTCCATTTTTTAGATACTTCACTTAGGATAATGGTCTCTAGTTCCATCCAAATTATTGCAAAAGGCATTAATTTATCCTTATTTGAGCTGAGTAGCAGTCTGTGATATACATATACACACTCTGTTAATACACTTGAGAATTGATGGGCATTTGGGTTAATACCACAGCTTTGTAGTTGTAAATTGTGCTGCAATAAACATTTGAGTGCAGGTATCTTTTTGATAAAATGACTTCTTTTTCTTTGAGTAATTACCCAGTAGTGGGATTGCTGGATCAAATGGTATGTCTACTTTTAGTTCCTTGAGGAATCTCCATACTGTTTTCCATAGAGGTTGTACTGATTTGCAGTCCCATCAATAGTGTATAAACATTCGTTTTTCTCTGTATCCATACTAGCATCTGTTGTTTTTGGACTTTTTAAATCAAGACCATTCTGACTAGGATAAGGTGATATCTCACTGTGGTTTTGATTTGCATTTCTCTGATGATTAGTGACATTGAACATTGTTTCATCAAAAAGGCAGAAAGCCCACAAATTAACACTCTAATGACACATCTTAAGGAACTAGAAAAGGAAGACCTGGGCATGGGGAGGAATGGCAGGGGCAATATATGTAACCCTAACAATATTTGTACCCCCATAATATGAAAAAATAAAAAAATTTAAAAAAAATTTTATTTAAGGCCACATTTTAAAGATGATATTCATTTGTATCAAAAGACAATGCCTTAATCTGAAATTATTAAAGATTGATAGCAGAGCTCAGAAACATGCTTACTATTTTTCACTTCAAAAGGAAATTATTAACCACCACTTTCAGGGCACTTAGCAATGTCCAGGACTGAGTAAGTTAGTTGATCCTCTCTTACAGGTTAGTCTTCAGACAAGACTCTGAATTTTTAAACATATTTTCAAAGAGTTGCTCATCACAGCTAGAGTTTTAAAATATAGCATATATATTTTTCAATTTCGTAAAAATCCATTCTATATTTTATTTAAACCTTGATGTTAGGATACAGTCTGACCATGTGGAATATGTCACTCTTCATCTTTGAAATATATTCAAAAATGAAAATAAAAAAAATAACTTTTTAAAGGGAAAAAAGAAAGAAAAGGAAGACCAAACCAAACCCAAAGCTAGCAGAATAAATAACTAATGTCAGAGAAGAACTAAGTAAAATCAAAAACAAGAAAATTATACAAAAAATCAATGAAACAAAAAGTTGGTTCTTTGAAAAGATAAACAAGATTGATAAACATTTTGCTAGATTAACCAGGAATAGAAGAGAAAAACTCAAATAAGCTTAATCATAAATGAAAAAGGAGATATTACAACTGATACCACAGAAATGCAAACCATCATCTGTGAATACTATAAAAATATCTATGCACATAAACTCAAAAACATAGAAGAAATGAACAAATTTCTGGAAACAGGTAACCTCTCAAGACTCAGTAGGAAACAGGACTCCTGAACAGACCAATAAGGAGCAGCAAGATTGAAGCAGCAATAAAAAATCTTCCAATAAAAAACAAGCCCCAGACTAGATGGATTCACAGCCAAATTTTACCAGACCTACAAAGAAGAGTTGATACCATACTGCAGAAATTATTCCATAACATCGAAAGGGAGGGAATCCTTCCCAACTCATTCTACAAAGCCAGTATCACATTGATACAAAAGCCAGGAAAAGACACAATAAAAAAAGAAAACTACAGACCAGTACTTCTTATGAATACAGATGCAAAAATCCTCAATAAAATACTAGCAAACCAAATTCAACAGCATATCAAAAAAATAATCCACCACGACCAAGTGGGCTTCATCCCAGGGATACAAGGATGGTTCAACATGGGTAAATCAACAAATATCATTCACCACATAAATAGAAGCAAAAATAAAGATCATATGATCATCTCAATAGCTGCAGAAAAAGCATTTGACAAAATTCAGCACCTTTTCATGATAAAAAAAAAAACCCTCAACAAACTAGGCATAGAAGGAACATATCTCAAAATTATACAAGCTATATATGACAAACCCGCAGCCAGCATCATAATTTTTAATTTTATTTAATTTTAATTAATTCAAACTTAAATTTAAATAGCCATGCATAGCTAATGTCTACTATATTGGAAAGCACTAACTAAGATCTATAGTTCTTGATGTACAATCACAATCCCTTTAAGGATATTAAAACAATAAAGTTTTTAGGAAAAATAAAATTTAGTATAAACAAATAACAAAGTTCCCTATTACACTGGTTACATTTGTTAACTTATGGAACAATATGCCAAATTCCTTGATGCAAAGGTCAAGACTATAGATGAGAAAATCTTATAGATGATCCTCTTTTTGCCTAAATTAATGAGTTACTATGGAATTATTGTGTTCATTTCCCATGAGTCCCTAATACATTTGTGTATACCTCTAGAAATTCTTAAGGCAAAGAAAAGCCCTGTCGATTCACTTAATGGCCAATCTACAGCCCCAAACAGTTGAGTAACTCAAGTCCAGCCCCTCCTATCTCAATAATACCATTAAGAGTAGCTTTAGTACGTCATGATATCAGGTAGTGAGTCCTCCAAATTTGTTCTTTTTTAAAAAAAATTTTAGTCATTCACTTTTTTTTTGCATTTGCTAAGAAATTTTTAAATGAACTGTTCATTTATACCAAAAATAATACGTATTGGGACTTTCATTGAGATGTCATTGTACCAATAGATCAAGTTATGAATAACTCATTTCTTAATATTAAGTCTTCAGTTCATGAACATGATATATTTCTTCATTTATTTAGGCCTTCTTTTATTTTTTCTGTAATGTTTTATAGTTTTCCGTGTAGAAATCTTGTGCAAGTTTCATTATATATATTCCTAGATATTTGATATTTTGGATGATATTTTAAATGATATTGTTTTTAAGTTTTCATTTTCTAACTATTTACTGCTAGTATATATAAATAAAATTTATTTTAGTATATTGATCTTAAATCCTGCTACTTTGTTTATTAGTTCTAGTGGTTGCTTTGTAGAGTCCTATAGAGTCAAGATTCTCTGTAAGAAATCATTTTGTTCACAAATAAAAACAGTAGTATTCCTTTCTAATCCATGTGCCTTTTATTTCTTTATCTTGCCTTATTGTACTGTCCAGGATGTCTGACCTTGCTATGTTCCCAATCTTCACCATTAAGCATGATGTTATCTGTGGTTGTTTTCTATTCCTAGCTTGCTGGGAGTTGTTAACATCAATGGACACTAAATTTTATAAATATTTTTGCTGCACCCATCTCAATGGCCATATAATTTCTCTTTTTTAACCTGTTAATATGGTGAATTCCATTGATTGATTTTTAAATGTTAACCTTACATTTCTGGGATAAACCCTACTTGACTGTCATTTGCATATTTGTACATTTTATATATTATATCATCATTTACATATTTTATACATCTCTGGGATTGATTTGCTGGCATTTTATTAAGCAGTTTTGTGTCTATGTTCATGAGGAATATTGGTTCACACTTTCTTGGTTGATATCTCAGTCAGAATTAAGCTGGCCTCATTTCTAAAAAAAAAAGTGTAAGATTTATTATTCATTCCATGTATGTTTGCTGTAATTTCCCAAGTAAGTATTCTGGGTCTGGAGTTTTATTTATGTAAAGGTTTCTGATTATGAATTCAGTTTTGTTAATATATTTAGGGTAATTCATATTTTCTATTTCTTCTTGTGTCAGATTTGCTAAGGTGCGCTTTCCAATAAATGTGACCATTTCACCTAAGTTGTAAAAATTGATCACAGTATTTCCTTAGTTATCTTTTGATAGTGATAGGATCTGTAATTACATCCCTCTTTCATTACTAATATGTCAGTCATTTGTGCTTCTCTTGCTGTTGTACTTGTGCATCAGTATTCTTAGGAGTATACCAGTTTTAATAATCTTTTCAAAATATTAATTTACTTTATTGATTTTGTTTTTATGTTATATTAACTGATTTCTGCTTTTCTGCTTTTATCACTTCCTTTATTTCTTTTTCTTCTTTCCTTCCTTCTTTTTACTTATTGTGGATTTAATTTTCTCTTCCTAGCTCCTATAAGTAGACGCTTAGATAACTGATGCTATATCTTTTTCTTTTCTACTAAGCATTAAAAGCTATAAATTTCCCTCTATGCACTGTTTTATTTGTATCCCACAAATTTTGATACGTTATCATTAGCTTTAAATACTTTCTAATTTCTCTTGTTTTTTTCTTTGACCCATGGGTCATTTAGAATTGTGTTGTTTAATTTCCAGATATTTGGAGATTTTTCTTCCTATATTGTGGTAATCTGTTTAAAATTTAATTATGTAGTAGTCAAAGCACATACTTTTTAAAATCTTAGTCTTATAAATTCTATTAAGACTTATTATATTTTTTGACTCTGCATATGATCCATCTTGGTGAACACACACCATTTGCACTTACGCTCCCTTTCCATCCACCTGGGTTTACTGCACTTCAATTCGGACATTAATTACCCAGAGTTAGCTCAGACACCACAGGTTAAAGGGTGCATCCTGCAAAAAACTGCTCTCACTTTAGATTGCCAGACACAAATGTCAAGGTCACCCACTCTTCTGACTGATTAGCTATAAACTTATGGTTTCCCATAACATCATCAGCTTTGATAATTTACTAGAATTACTCACAGAACTCACTATACTTATAAATACAGTTTTATTATAAAGGAAATAACGGAGGAACAGCCAAATAAAGAGGCACATGGGGCATGGTCTGAGAGGGTGCTAGGCAAAGAACTTCCAGACCTTCTCCCAGTGGAATCAGGGCACGTTACACTCTTGACACATCTGTGTGGTCATCAACAAGGAAGCTCTTCAAGCTTTGGGTGTCCATAGTATATTTTAAATTTATGTTATTAGATGCATACACATTTATGATTTATATGTCTTCCTGATGAATTGAGCCTCCTCTTAGTATGAAATGTCCTTCTTTACTTCTCATAATGCTCCTTAATTTGAAGATTATTTTATCTAATATTAATATAGGCTCACCACCTTTATTATGTTTACTGTTTTCATGACATATCTCTTCTCATATTTTTATTTTCAATCTATCGATTTCTTTACATTCAGAGTGTTTCACTTGTAGATAGGTATACTTGTCTTTTTTATCCAGTCAATCTCTGCCTTTTAATTGGGGTGTTTAGCCCACTTATATTTAATATGGTTATTTATATGATTAAGTCAGATTTAATATTTACTATTTGTTTTCTATTTGCCCCATATGTTTTTTGCTCCTCTGTTCTTTCTTTCCTGCCTTTACTTGAGTTAATTGACTATTTATTTTATTTCATTGGTTTTTAAGCTAAATCTCTCTTTTGGTAACTACTCTAGAGATTAGTAAATGCATCCTTAACTTACCACATTCCACTTAGAGTTAATATTGTACTACTTTATATAAAGTATAAAAAACTTATAATAGTTTAATTTTATTTACCCTCTTTTTTGTACTGTTATTAAATATTTTCCTCCAGAAATGTTTATAAATTTTAGCAGACATGAAGTAATAGAACAGGGACAGATAAAGCAGCAAAATAAAGATCAACTGACAAGCTATGTATGTGATCTCTCTTGGGATCTATTTCTTTATCTGCAAAAAAGATTGTTATGAGGATTAAATGCATTAATGTTAATTTATGTAGAAGCTGAAGCTCTGTAAATGTTAATTTTCCTTCCCTTTAACAAACTAAATTTTCAGGGTAAGACATTTTTAATTAACACCAATGCAAGTTATATATTATAAAGAAAATAATAATGAGAAGCAAATGAAATATAGACAAAATAAATGAGAACTCAAGAAAAATATCAATTTCTACTTATCCCAAGCTGCACAGTACAAAGATATTTTTAATTGAATATAATAAAAATAATTACCAAAATGTTCTTACCTTAATAGAATTGGTATCTTGTAGCTGTATTAGCATGTCAATAAGTAATTCTGCTCCCATATAAAATGGTATAACAGAGGTACAGAAAAAAACATCCTGGCTAATAGGAAATGTTTTATAAAGATCCATTGCCTGTTTAAGAAGTATCTGTAGCTCCTGAGTATAGTTCCAAAAGGCCCGACAGCAGTTCTGAAGCAGAGTCCAATAACCACCACGATGAGCAAGAACCTAAAACACATTCGAAAAACCATTAAGTTCCAAAAGTTACAGATATCTGAAGAACTTCATCTTTATGCAAATATTATAAGTCAATAATTAAAAATAACTAACACTATTTGTTCTGTGCCACTTACATGTGCTACACACTTTGTTAAGACATTTATATGCATTATCTCATTTAATTCTAACAATAACTCCTATAAAGTAAGTATGTGCTAGTATTCTACCCAATTGGTAGAGGAGGAAATGCAGGCATGGAGCTAACTTGCCCAAGGTCATGAATCTACTAAGTCATGAGCTCAAATTTGCATACCAGTGGTCTGACTCCAAAAATCCCATTGTTCTAAGTGCTGAGAAGACAGCAGTGAGCAAAGGAAACTGAGTCTGTCCTCGCGCTACTTAAGTTTATTTGAGAAGACCAATGCTAAAAAAGTAAACCAAAAAAAAAAATAATAATATCTGGGCTGGGCACAGTGGCTCACACCTGTAATCCTAACACTCCAGAAGGCCAAAGCAGAGGATCATTTGAGCTCAGGAGTTCAAGACCAGCCTGAGCAAGGGCATGACTCCATCTCTACTAAAAATAGAAAAAATTAGATGGACAACTAAAAATATATAGAAAAAATTAGCCAGGCATGGTGGTACATGCCTGCAGTCCCAGCTACTCAGGAGGCTGAGGCAGAAGGATAGCTTGAGCTATCCCTGACCCCAGGAGTTTGATAGCTTCAGCCCAGGAATTTGAGGTTGCAGTGAGCTAGGCTGATGCCATGGCACTCTAGCCCGGGCAACAGAGTGAGACTCTGTCTCAAAAAATAAAAATAAAAAATAAAATAAAAATATAATTTCAGAAAATAATAAGTTTTATAAAGAAAAATAAAGCAGAAATGGGTTGGAATCTGAGGGGCATGCCCTGAGAGGACATGTTATTTCAGGCAGAGTGGTCAGGAAAGAAGAGGATGTGACATGTGAGCAGAGACCTGGTGAACTGAACAAGTCATGTGAAGGTGGCCGTCAGGGTGTTGGGTGGAGAAGAGCATTTGAGCCTCGGGGAACACTCAGAAGGGAGGGAAAAACTGAGGGCCTAGGAGAGAACAAACTTAGTGCTTTTAGGACCGCAGAGCAGGGAGTGGGCTGAACAAGGGCAAGAGTTGGAGGAGCTGAGTTCTGCAAGGCATGTAGGACCAGCTTTTCTCAGGCCCTGAAGCTGGTGGCAAGGAGGATAGAACTGGATGCTCATGATCAGAGGGAATGATTTGGGTTTACTTTATATTTTGTGAAATCATTCTGTCCACTACATGGAGAAAATGGGGACTTAAGTGTTCCTTTCTTATCTAGAAAGGATAGGTTTCCACTTATCTCTTGAGAGATTCAGTGTATATGCTCTTCCTCCCATGAGAGAAAACGAAATTGATTTATTTGTAGCTAATGATTCCAATTCTGGTTTTAATAATCTGTCACATAATATTTTAAAAGAAAGAGAGAGAAAAGCATTTAAGAGAAGACACAAGTGACAGGAAGAAGCAGGAGGGTGGGGCTGGGAGCCAGGCTTTCCTGTAGCCTGAAAAGATCTTTCCCTGTGCTAGAGGGAAGCAAGAGCTCTGTGGTACCCCCAAGAGAGATCAAGACCCCAGAGAGGAAAGTCTGGCATCCAAAGAAAACCCACATCCCTGCAGAAAAGTGTATGCATATTCACAGGAATTGCGTAGACAGGGACAAAGATTCCCTAGGCTTTTGGTGGGTGGAGGATGGATGGCAGATGACTGAAGGAGTTCATCCTCTCTCCCTGACAACTTGACAGTGCATGCCTCAGTATCACAGCAGGCACACATCAAAAGTGACAGAGGCTAAATCCAGCAAGATGAGGTCTCAAAGTCAAAACTAAAACTATGTATAGTAAGTAAATAAATACAATATATCATACATGCCCAAGTTTATGAGCTGAGATTTATGTTTACTACATTAGCAAATAAGGATTGCATTTACCATTGCTCTCCTGCAACATGAAAAGATTTTCATAAAATGATCCAATACACCAAAATTTCCTCGATCCTTTTCTTTAGTACCAAGACCTAATTGAGAGTCTGACTTGTAAACAGTTCGTGTCTTGAACATAGTTTCATCACTCATTTTGGAACTAATAAATGCAGAAAATTCATCAGCATCTATAGTACAAAAATAAGGTATAACATGATTAAAAACACAGAATTAAGTTCCAGAAAACATAGTATGTGATAAGCATAAAATGAGTAATTCAGATAACAAACGCTACGTAAATCTGGAGAAAGGATAAGATTATCACAGACACAATGAACTAATAAAAAGTTTATAGAAAAGGTAGCCTTAGGTCTAAAAGGATGGGCATTATTTAGCTGTATGAGAAAATACAGGGACTATTTCAGACAAAGGTAATGGCAAAGGGAACAACATAGAAGTAGAAATGTACATTATTTTAAGGGAACAATGACAAGATCGCATTGTTCCTTAATTTCCTCCCAAACAAGCCATTCCTGGGACACATACATTAGAAAGTGAGTAGAAGCCCCTGTAGTTATGCAGTGCAGCAACTTTGGCCACTCATACCCCCTGTTGGGGTGGCATATAAAAGCAGGCTGATTGCTCTTGCCACAAACTTTCTCTTAGAACTCTACATTAGATAATAAGTCTCAATAACAGAATATTCTAATGCCAATTTCTAAAAAAACAAAAAAAAACACTCAGGAACCCATATATTATAATCTATATACAAAAACCAGACTCTTTCTATGTCTATGGAATTTACTTCTAAATGCTTCTATAATACATAGTATGATGTGAAGGTACCAGTTAAAACTAATCTAATTTCTAGAAGAAATCAGGAAGCATGCCAAGTACCTCAAACATGAATCAACACTCCTGGAGAAGTTAACTAGCATACCAAGAACCCTGATCAACAGTAAGGTACATAGCATTTAAAATGCCACTATTAAAAATCTATATAAGTGGGTTTGTAATAGCATAAAGATATTAGAAATAAGTTTTTGTTTGTGAAGTGAGTGGTGTTTAAGATTGATTATTGGTTAGGAACAGTATCCAGGCTTCATCACCTTTGCAGGAAAAGGGTATAAAAATTAGTCAAGGCTAGCTGACTACAGTCATCAGTGCAGCACTGAGATTAAGAACACTGTTCACCTGCATGTCTCCACCTTCTGGAGCCCCCATCACCTGACCAGATAACAACAGGTCTTGATCCTGCCATCAAATTATTATTGCATTCATCTTGGAATGAGCTTTCATGGAATGTGCTAGTTGGCAATCCTAAGGCAGGAGTGGATTGCCCTAAATATAAAATCAGCTATTGTGATGGTTTTCATATCCACTTGTATCAGTATGTTTGATTGAATTTATTTTGAAACTTACTTCCACTAAAATATAACACCTGGAAGCAAATCTTCACCTATCTTGAACCACTGGAGGCTACTAATATTTAACAAAAGAGCATTATATTTGTTGAACAGCCAAATTGGTTTAGGTTGGAACAATAAAATAGATACTTCCAAATATATATGATGATACCATAAAAATGTAGAAAATTTTTTAAAAATAGAGCAAACAAGAATCTTCTACAAAAACATCTGCACTCAAATTTTTATGGCAGCACAATTCACAATTGCAAAGATGTGGAAACAACCCAAGTGCCCATCAATACATGAGTGGATTAATAAAATGCATATGTATACCATGGAGTACTACTCAACTACAAAAAGCAATAGTGAACTGGCACCTCTTATATTATCCTGGATAGAGCTTGAGCCCATCCTTCAAAGTGAAGTATCACAAGAATGGAAAAGCAAGCACCACATGTACTCGCCATCAAATTGGTACTAACTGATCAACACTAAGGTGCTCATATGGTAGTAATACTCACTGGGTGCTAGTCAGATGGCGGGAGTGGGAGGAAGGAGTAAACTCACATCTAACACAGGTGGAGCACACACTGCGTGGGGGAAGGGCATGCATGTAACCCTGGCTTGGGTGAGGCCAAGGCAGTATTAACCAAAATGTTTACACCCCCACAATATTCTGTAATAAAAAAAATTATCAAAACTCAACGAAATTACTGGGACTTTGGAAAATGGTTTGTGTACCTCTTTGTGTCTATGATGTGTGTGTATGTATGTGTGTTGTGTTAATGAATAAAAATCTAGAGAAAATTTGATAGTAAATTAACATATTTATTTTACCTGCTGGTAAGTTGGTCTTTCGTCTTTTAGTTGTAAGGAAATCAAGCATTGATTTATAATTTTCTACAGTCAATTTTGCTGTTGGTAATACTGTTCCTGAATTATATAGTGAGAATGTATTAGGATCAAATGATCGGAAACTGCAAGAGAGAAAAATCACATTAAAAAACAATAAAAGCAAAATAAAATTAATCGGTCAAATACCATCTATTTTTATTTTTTAAAACATTTGTGAGTGAGTACTTCCAAATTTTGGATCATAAAGTATTTTGGCACTTAATCAAAGCATAACATTTTCCCTTTTAACTTTTAAAATTATACAATGTAACTTTGCTCTTAGGAATTTTAACATCAATATCCATTTCCCTGAAATGGCCCTTGAAAATGGGAATTAAAAATCTGTTACTCACTCCATGAGCTCTGAAACAATAATTTATGTCAATTTAAAACCACCTGATTTAAACATAGCTCAATGAAGATGCTACTATATAGAGCAATGTGTCTACAGGCAGTGCTATTTCTTTTTTAAAATAAGACATGAGCAGTAAATAATCTTCCACCAAAAATTAACAACTACTGAGCATATATTAACAGTTTTAATAAAATCAAAGTTAGCACCAAGTTAGCCTGACACGAATTTGGTCATTGTCTTATGGTACTGCCAAGTGACTGTGCATCAATCGTCATTTATGATTGGAAGTTTAGAGACTCTGCGGTCTTCAGGGAACAGAGAGGAAGCCCCTCCGGCCTGAACTGTTTTCCCTGTCATGGCTCCATGAATAGGTCACTTTGCCAAAGGCCTTCCCTGTTGCTAAGGCAAGCCAAATGCTTCCTTGTTTAGCCCACAAAGAAAAGGGGGCTATTAAATATCTGTGAAAGTCTTTGCAAAGGTTTTGTCTGGCAGAACTGAATTCTGGAGAAAGAGAAATTGGGACCAAGTTTATTGTGGATTTCAACCTGCATTTTTTTCTTCACTGCATTATTGAAATAAATATCTTCTTACTTCATATCTTCTTACTTCATATATTTACTTTAGTAAGAAGTAAAATATCTTCTTACTTCCTGTCTTCAGTCTTTCCTCTTTCTACAGTCTTTCCTCTTTCTAATCCACTTGATATGTCGCTGCCAGAGACATTTTTTATCATGGCCCTGCTCAAAAACCCTCAATAATCTTTCACTATATATAAAATAAAGCTCAGATTTAACAGACATTTAAAACATTATGATCCAGTACCAACCAACTTTTCAAATTATTTCACACCACTCCCTTTCATATACCCTAGATTCTGGCCAGACTATTTGTGGTTTTCATCCTGTGTTTACTACCTGGGCTTGGCACATATTCTTTCAACTAAGTAGAATACCTATTTCCCTATCTGCACATTTCTAAACCTTGTCTACCTATCAAGACCCAGGCCTAGTGTCATCTCCCCATGAAACCTTTCCTGTGAGCCCCAGCCAAAAGAAAGCCTCCTTCCAGGAACAAAGAAGACCTAATGTGCTTTTCACCTTCTATCATTAACTAGAGTTATTCATAAGTATTTGTGACTCATCCTTCCAGACTCTAACTTGTATATCCTGTTCATCTTTGTATATCCCTAGCACTTAGCCTAGTGCTTTGTATCTAATAGGTACTCAACAAGTATTTTTTTAATGAATGACTCTACAGCATCTTTTTAATGGTTACATAGTATTCCATATTATATATATATATACATATATATATATATATATATCCTATTTTAATCACCCGCAGTACTTAGCTAAAGAAACTCAGTAGGAGCTTAAAAATTTCCATTGAATTAATGATAAAAAGCTTATATTGTATGAGAAAATATGATCTGTTTATAGACACACTATACTTCTAAATGAAATAGAGATTTGACTAATACTAATATCTATAGTTACTAAATAATTCACCTTAAATTTTTTTGGAGTTACACTTTATTCTTGTACTTAAAGCTAGATTGATAAATATATTCACGATTTATGCAAATTAGCACTTCATGAGCACTTATATTCAGAACTTGTTAGGGAAAATTCTGAGATAGAAAATTAAGAAATACACCAGTGGCCAATATAAAGATAGAGGTACTCTGTAAGCCTCTTTAAGTTGTTATTAGCATTATAGCGCTGAATAATCAAATACAATCCGGTTCATGTGGCTAAAATAATATCATTGATTGATAATATACTATACCTGACCATCATGTGGGAAGTGCCAAATTTCATTTTCATGCGCTCCCCTAGCTTTTGTAAAAGCAGGTTAAAGTGTGCGCTTGCCAGATACAGGTTCATTTGCGCTCTCCAGGGCATCTCTTCAAGAAATATCTGATGGAACCTCCTTTTTTTAGCATAATTTGATACTAAAGGACTCAAGAACTCTATCAGCGATCGATATGCTATTTTTCTAACATCAGGTCTCTTATTTCTGCCAAGGAAGAAAGAAGTTTTGAAATTACACAAAAACGTTCAGATATTTAATAAAGACGAATCATTCCAATTTGTACAAAATACATCAAGAAGTCACTTGACTGCCCTTGTGCAAATGTTTCTGGCTTATTTATCATTTCCTCGGTGCTAAAAATGTGAAATAGAGCAGTAAAGAGGGCACAAGGATAAGCACCAGGGACAGAGACACATGTTGCCTTCAACTCTCTCTTATGTCTGTGTCCCAAATCAAATCAAATCAAACAGAGCTTTTCCTTTCCATAACCAAAAGGCCACTGAGATTAGACAATTAAATTATGATACAATGTTCACATTCATCAACAAACTTCAATATTAAACAAGTAAAGCATTTCTCTGTATTGGTCCTTAAGGAAAAAAACAATTCAGCAAAATTTTCTCTAACATTAGTTGGACTCTAGAGGAAATAAAACATCAGTCAAAGATAGATGATATAACTTCATAAATGCATATTCAATGTGCTCCAGAAAAAATATGCAAATTTTAGCTAATAGCTCAAATTTCAAGTATAACATATTCAATTTTTAAAAAATCATTCCTATCAAAACTCAAAGCAGTCCAACTAGTTTTAGAGTTACAAGGTTATTTATAGAGCATGACTTCATGTCTTTAAAACACTTTATCAATTTCTTCAATACTATTGGCAATGTTGCTGCCCCACTGGTCAATACCATTTTACCTGATTTATACTGTTCACTTATATAAAACTATCAATCTGAATCTGAATCAACACACACACAAAAGAAAAAAGAATGAAAGGAAATAGGGAAGACAGACAGACAGATGTTGTTACAAGAGAAGAGCAGACATTTGAGGAAAGAAGGAAGGAAGCTTCCTCTTCACATGTAGTGTTCATCATTCACTTCCAAATATTTTATATGGTATTGATTTCCTTTTAATCTGAGGTTTTTTGGGGCTTCTTGTTGTTGTTTGGTTGTTTTTAGTGATATATCATTTGGTTTCCCAACAAATGTGAATCTTTATAAAGACTGTATCTTAAGAGTTCAAAATATAACTTTCAAAATAAAAATCAGCCTTGTCCTTGTGTGAGGAGATCAATTCTCCTCAAAAGGCCAAGAAGAGTCGACAGGATCAGCTGCACCTTCCCTGCCACTGACAGTGAGATAGTTAGGGAGATCAGCAAGAGGCTAGGCTTCCTCCAGGTATCTTAGCAAGGTAATGTGACAGGCTCCAAGTAGCTTGGAAGGGAGTTCACAGCCAGCCCGCAGAGGGCTCACTTCACAGCCAATGGTATAAATATTTTATGTACGCTTACAAACAATAGGCATTCTCCTGTTGTTAGCTATTTGTGGCACTTTTTTCTCATAAGTTGATAATCAGCTTGTCAATTTCCACTAAAAGAAAATCCCAAAATTATGAGGTAAGCATGCTACTTCATAAGTTAGAAAAAGAACAACTCAATGAACCAAAAGAAACAAGGTAGATATCCAAGAGAAATGGAAACATGTTTAAACCAAAACTTGGACATGGATCTTCATAAGCACTATTATTCATAATAACCAAAAAGTGGAAGCAATCCAAATGTCTACCAAGTGACTAATGAATATATAAAATGTGCTATATCCACAGAATGAAAAGGCCAAAATTTGGTCCCGTGAAAAGATTAAAAAAATAGACTAACCTCTGGAAAGACAAATCACAAAAACATGAGAGAAGACAAAAATTAATAAATTTTGGAATGAAAAGCACAACATAAGCCTATAGTTACAGTAGAGATCAAAAGATAATATAACTTTGTATGAATAAATCTGAAAACTTAGATTAAATGGACGATTTCCTAGAAAAAATATAATTAATCGAAAGGGATTAAAAAAAAAGATCACAGCCCCAAAAAGGCCTATTAATCTTAAAGAAATTGAATCAATAGGTAAAATTTCTATGTGTGTATACAAGCATGGTGTATGTAGTGAAATAAAAATACATATTTGATCTTTCTCCCTGGTTTCTGGCACAGAGGTCCTAAAACCCTTGGAATTTTCTGAGTGGTAGAAATTTTTTTGTTACTCTTATAATAAGTCATTTTGGAAGATACCTGAGTCTATACTAATGTGGTGACTTGGGGTGAGTAGGTAGCCTCAGGATGGGGGCTGGTCACCAGAAAGATCAAACACATAATTAGAGGCTGGGAGCTCTCAGCCCCATCCCTCCAACCTCCTGATGGAGATGTGGCTGCAAATTGGGTCATGAAAACTCTTGAACAAACGAGGTTCAGGGGTCTTCCAGCAGGTGAATCCAACTACAAGCCAAGAGGGTCATGTATCTCAACTCTACAGAAACAGAAGTTCCTACATGGGGGACCCTTCTGGACTTTGCCCTATGTACCTCTTGATCTGGCTGTTCATTTGTATCTTTTATATTAAACCAATAGACATGCAAAGTGTATTCCTGACTTCTGTGAGCTTTTTAAACAAATTTTTGAACCTGAGGAAGGAATCCTCGAATTTGTTCTCAGCTAGGCTGAAGTGTACCCTAGATATTCCATTTGTGGCTGGCATCGGAAGTGGAGGCAGTATGTGGGACTGGGCCCTTTAACTTGTGGGATCTGATGCTAATTCTAGGTAAACAGTGTCAGAATTAATTTCATTTTTGTACTATAGTTATGTAAGATGTTGCCACTGGGAGAAACTGAAGTGTATATGGGGTCTCTCGGTTGGTGTCAGAGAATTGGAGAAATGGAGAATGGGTTGGTGCTGGAAAACACCGAACAGTTAATGTCAAAATTGGTGTCAGCAAAAAGATACTGCACATGATTTAATACTTATGTGTTAATGTAATTCACTGCATAATCAGATTAAAAGAGAAAAATCTCAATCAATGTAAAAGAAATATTCAACATAATTGAATATAATTCATAACAAAACTCTTAGAAAATGAGGAGTGGAAGACAATTTCTAAATTTGATAAAGGGTTTCTTCCCAAATCCCATAACAAATATGATGCTTAGAAGGGAAATAATAAATATATTTCTTAAATTCATATTGCAGACAAGCAAACAAAATTTATATGCAATGGCACAGGATGTAGAGTACCTAAAACAATTTTATAAGAGAATAAAGTGGAAAGAATTTCTCTACCTGATGTTAAGGATTACTCTACAACTGCAGTACTCAAGAAAGAAAGTATGAGATTGGCAAAGGGATAGATACATAGATCAATGGAACAGAACAGAGAACCCAGAAATAGACCCACACTAATATGTCCAATTGATTTTTGACAAAGGTGCAAAGGCAATTCAATGGAGAAAGGATAGTCTTTTCAAAAAATGATACTGGAGCAATTGGGCACCCATAGGTAAAGCCATAAACCTTAATCCAAACCTCATACTTTACATAAAAATCAAAAGTTAACTCAAAATGGATCATAACTTAAATGGAACATGTAAAACTATAAAACATGGTCAGAGAGAAGCACAAGACCCAGGGTTAGGCAAAAAGGTTTTAGACTTGCCACCAAAAGCACAAACCATTAAAGAAAAAATTGATTATGTTAGACCTCATCAAAATTAAAGACTTTTGTTCTGCAAAAGACCCTGTGAAGAGGATGAGAAGACAAGCTACATACTGGGAAAAAGCATTTGCAAACCCCATATTCAGCAAAGCCCTTGGATCTAGAATAAAATTTGTTAGAAGAATGCAAAATTCACCAGAAGAATTAAAACAACCAATTGGAAAATAAGCAAAAGATAAAAACAGATATTTCACTAAAGAGAATATAAGGATGCCAAGTAAGCACATAAAAGCATGTTCAATAAGAATAGCCATTAGAGAAATGCAAATTAGAACCATGAGATATCACTACATACTTATTTGAATAGTCAAAATAAAAACATTAAATGCTGGCAAGCATGAGGAGAAACTGTATCACTCATATACCGCAGGTGGGAATGTAAAAATGTACAGCAGCTCTAAAAAAGAGTGAGTAGATCTCCCATTTGATCTAGCAATTCCACTACTGGGCACCTACCCAAAAGATCAAAAGTCACTTTATGAAAAAGACACCGGCACTCCAATGTTTATAGCAGCACAATTCACAATTGCAAAGCTATGGAAACAACCCAAGTGCCCATCAATTCATGAGTGGATTAATAAAATGTGGTATATGTATACCATGGAATACTACTCAGCTTTAAGAAACAACAGTGATATAGCACCTCTTGTATATTCCTGGATACAGCTGGAACCCATTCTACTAAGTGAAGTATCTCAAGAATGGAAAAATCTGCACCACATGTACTCACCAGCAAATTGGTATTAATGGATCAACACCTAAGTGGACATATAGGAGTAACATTTATCGAGTGTCGGGACGGTGGGAGGGGGGAGAAGGGGATGGGTGTATACAACCACAACGAGTAAGATGTGCAACGTTTGGGGGATGGACATGCTTGAAGCTCTTACTCGAGGGGGGAGGGGGCATGGGCAATATAGGTAACCTTAATACTTGTACCCCCATAATACACTAAAATAAAAAAATAATAATAATAAAAATTTTTTTAATTACTCTAAAAAAAAAAGAGTAGAGGTTTTCTTACAAAATTAAACACACCATGCAACCTAGCAATTGCACTCTTGGGCATTTATTCCAGAGAAATTAAGATTTATATTCATATAAAAACTTGTACATAAATGTTCATAGCAGCATTATTCCTAATAATCAAACAAGGAAACAACTCAAGTATTCTTAAATAGGTGCATGGTTAAAACAAACTATGGTACATTCATGCCACAGAATACTACTAAACAATAACAAATAGCAAACTAATGATATACACAATTTGGGTGAATCTCAAGGGAGTTATGCTAAGTGGGGGGAAAAAAGCCAACCTCAAGAGGTTACATACTACATGATTCCATTTACGTAACATTCTTGAAATGATAAAACTTAGAGATGGAAAACAGATTTGTCGTTGCCAGAGGTTAAGAGGGAGAGAGGAAGGGAGGTGGTTATGGCTATAAAAAGGTAGCATGGGAGGTGAGAGGGAGGGGGCAGATCCTATAACAGAACTGTTCTGTATCTTGACTGTGTTGATGGTCATATGAGTTCTACAGACTGCATAGAATACACACACATACACACGCACACACACACAGGTGCGCATGCGTGTAAAATTGCTGTAATCTGAATAAGGTCAGTGACTTGTATCAACATCAATTTCCTGGTTGTGACATTGAACTATAGTTACATAATTAGCATTAGAAACTGGATAAAGGGTGTATGGAGTCTCTCTGTATTATTTCTTATAACTACATATGAATAATTACCTGAAAGTAAAAAGTTTTTTAATATGTATGTTATAAGGATGTCCACAATCATAAACTCTATTCAACCTTAGGCTATCAACAAGAAAAGTAAATAAGCGGTTTGAGCACTAAAAAATAATAAGCAAAACTTTCATTATCTCTTCATGGTATGGCTGTCAACACAAAAAAAAACCTGTATCTGCAAATAAATTATCAAGTTGTAAAGATCAGTGTACAAAAAATATAAATTATATTCTTATACAAAGAATAGAAGAATTCAAAAAAGTAATTTTAAAATGCCATTTACACTAGTGCCAAAGAACAGTTCCTTGATATATCTAACAAAAGATGTATAATCCCTTTATGAAGAAAATCACAGAAATTTATTAAAAGACCTAAGAATGTGGTCTGTCTACAAATAGAAAAAACTCAGTATTTCAAAACAGAAACCAAAAAACCCTCCTGAACCTACATATAGAGAATATATATATTCAATTCTACCTCTATCAAAATCACAATAGAGTTTTTTGTATTACTCAACATAGTCATTCCAAACTATTTTGTGGAAAAATACCCAAGACTTGCATGAAGGAAAAAAACATACTCGAGGAATTGTTCTATCAGATACCAGGACTTAATTTAAACCCAGAGTAATTATGATGGTGTGATATTGACTCAGGAATAGAAAAATAGACCTATGAAACAGAAAAAAAGTTCCAAACTACATATATGAGAACTTGCTAAATGACAATGGTAATAGTCACAATAGAATATAGACTACTCACTAAATGGTACCATCCAATTGGGTACCTATAATGAAAATAAAAAAGATGGGGAGAGGGACTCTTCCTCTCACCATTCCCAAAAATAAATTACTGAAATTCCTAAAAGTAAAATGTAATAAAATTCCTAAATGTGAAAATCAAAAACTTAAATTCAGAAAGAGAATACCTTTACTACTCACTAAATAGGTAAAGAAAGACATATGTGATAAAGGTAAGATATATGAAGAAGGTATAAGAATTAAAAATGTGTACTTATAAAAACAGAAGCTAAACATTTTACCATGATAAGCTTTATGATCAAGAAAATTAGGTCCACTGATAATTAAAAGTAATTTACCCATTTGTTCTCCTGACCATCCTATCTAAATTGCTGTCGCCACCACTGCCAGTTACACTATAGCATATCATTCTTTTCATTTACTTAACAAAATTTACCGAAATTTTAAACTATCTTGTTTATTTGTGTGTTTACTTGTTGACCATGCTCCTTTCACTGCTTGAAAGTAGTGATTTTACATGTCTGGTCCACCAATGTACCCTAGTATACAAAATAATGCCCAACACATAGTAATCCTCAAGTAAACTTCCATTGAATTAATTAATTAGCTGATACCTTTCTTGTTCTGGCATTTCATAAACAGATTGATTTTTGGCAAAAAAGTCTCTTAGCGTTTCCTTTTTTTTACTTCTTCTTTTTTGTGACATATCTATACCCTTAATAGAGGAGATAAAAACATTACAAATTAGACTTAAACTTTGGTCATAATAGTATAATTTACTTATATTCTAATATTTACCTTTTGACATGGAAATACAATGGTTTCTTTATAATTTTCAATTAAAATTACTATCAAAAGCAACAGAAGTATCCCATAGACAAAAAATATCTGATTATGAAAATATCTATGATAATTTAAGAATTACATTGTATTGTATAATTATAAAACTATATTTATTGATATTTCCTTCTGTTTCATATTATAATGAATTAAAATATAGTAAATCATCTCTGGATATATGAATCCCATGTAATTTCATTACCGAAAATTCAAAATTCAGAAAACTTACTTTTCCAAACTCCATTACTGCAACTTTGAACTTCTTCGAAGGTTTGTTTGCCTTTTTACCTGAAGCATTGTCTTTATATTTTGGTTTTTTTAGTCCAAATAGAGATTCATTCCTCCTAATATAAACAGATAAAGGATCTGCAAAATTTTGCAAAACTATGCCCACGGTAATGAATCTTTAATGAATGTTGTCACTGAAATTATGCAACAATATTCAAACCTGCCTGTGTCACACACATAAATTAGACTGTGATATCTCTGGTCATCAAGAAATAGCTGGCTTCTCAAAAAAGCAAAATGTGAAATCACACCATAAAATATGATGAGCAAAGAGAGGAGCTGAAGGCATGATGTAGGTGGAACAGAACTGTACTGAAAATAAAGTAACATGAACACTTCTCTTTACAATTCAGAAAAAAACTACATAAGAGTGATTCTAGACAAGTTGCCTTGCTTCTAAGATATTTCAGTCTCTTTGGTTCCATCCTGTGCAAGCTCCCAGCCACTACTGCCTTCCAGATACCAACAGGAGCTGAGCACTTAAGATTCCTGCTAAATTCTTCCCCATCCCCCAATCATCTGCAGGGGTTCCTAACCCTATTTTCTTAATCTCTGACTTCAATGGACTATTGTGATAATCTGGCCTCTTTTCCAAATACTAAGTCTCTCATTATCCCTCTATTGATACTTAACCACCTGCTTTTTCTGAAATTTATATATCTTCTAGAATATATATTTCTTTTGGTAAGTACCTGCCAGTTATAGTAAAACCCTGCTATCACATAGTAAATGGGATCTGAAAAATTTAATTGAATAAAATGTAGGGTCACATCAACACAAGGCTACTAAAATGACTGGTATGACTGGGTGAGTCTGGTTAGCTAGTCTCAGGGGTGGGCGTACATGATCCAATCCATCTTGGTTCCCAGTGGTTGTTGGCCTCTCACTTCAATTTTGATGATGATCTTGGATCTTGTGGTTGGTTGTGACCCTGACTTAGCTGCAGCAATTCCAAGAATCTACCCATTAACTGACATCCATTTTGGCAAATGTTTTGTTCCCCAAACTAGAAGGCTTTGACCCATGACCACCACTGGGTACTTGGAGATCCATCCTCTACAACTTGGATCCTGAGATTGATTGCCTTACATTTTCCAAGCAGCTAGTTCTCTTTTTTATGTCCACCCTCTCCCTCCACCAGAATGCTTGACCTGGTTGCTGTGTTTTCCCAGAAAGAGATGAGAAGGAGAGGAATTTATGGATACACACTTTGGCTACAGTCTTTCCAACTATTTCAACATTTTCTTCCATGTGCTGTAGGACCTTTATCCATTGACTAGACTAGCTTAAACTCCTCCTCTCTTTGACTTCTTTATAGCTTTTCATTTTGTTTATGGTATGTATTAATAAACAGTACTTTTAAATGTTTATATAGTCAATGTTATTTAGCTTTTATTACATGGCTTATTCATTGTTTTGGTTATTTACATAGCCATGTGTCACTTAACAATAGGGTTACGCTCTGAGAAATGCAGTGTTAGGTGATTTTGTCATTGTACGAACATCACAAAGTATACTTACGCAAACTGAGATGGTACAGCCTACTACCCACCTAGGCTATATGGTATATAGCCTATTCCTCCTAGGCTACAAACCTGTACAGCAGGTTACTGTACTGAATACTCTAGGCAACTGTAACACAATGATAAGTATTTGTGTATCTAAACATGCCCAAACATAGAAAAGGTACAGTAAAAATATGGTATTATAATCTAACAAGAACATAAGATTATAATATATATATAAGACCCTACCACCATATACAGTCCATCATTAACTGAAATGTCATCACAGGGTGTATGACTGCATTAGTGCCTGTTTCTCGTGCAATTGAGTCCCAGTAGCTATCTACCAATCATTTTACAAGCACAACTGTTATACTTTATCTGACAGTACAAATCCCTCTTTCTTTCTCTTTTTCACTTTTCAAATCATTTTCATTATTTTAGTCCACTCTACATAAACAAATCTGATTGGAATTTTTATTGGAATTGCATTAAACCAAACAATCTGAAGATAATAGAGATCTTTACAATATTCTATCTGCCCACCAAGTAATGTACAAAGTCTCTTCATTTATTCAAGGCTTTTAAAAAATATCTCTTAGTAAAGATGTTTGGTCTTCTTCATATTAGCCTAAATCCCCTCACAATTCCTGATAAATTGAACACAGCACTCCATAGAAATGAGCTCATTTTTCCATTATACTTTCTTTTTGGTATAGGAAAGATATTGATTTTGCATCTAACCATCCTATTGAATTCTATTATTAGTTCTAATGTTATCAGTTAATTATCTTTAGCTTATTATGTTAAAAAATAATTATTTGCAAATATCAATTATTTTATCTCCATTTTCAGAGTACTTAATTGTGGAATCCACTCAAGCATTTTTGAGAGTTTGATATTTACAGATTTCCTACTATATTTGCATTGAGAATAAAAATCTACATTTTCACTGCTGAATTTACATGCTATTTTATTTTAGATTTTTGCTACTGTATACTGCTAAGTAAAATGATCCATAATTTTCACTTTTTTATTCTCTTTTTATATGACTTTGTTATCAGAAACTGCTGTCCTACATTTATTAGAAAACATTATACTCATGTTCTGAAATAGCTTTATATAAAACAAAAATTTGTTTCTTTAAAATATGAAAGAACTATACGAAAAAAATCTGAAATATTCAAATATTTTTACTGCTTTGATCAATTCTTATAATTTAAATTAACCCAAATAATAATCCCTTTCAATTATATTTTTTAACTTGTTAATATTATATTCTACATGCTATTGTCTAGTGTTTGTTTAATCACTTCCAAAATTATGATTATTATCTCTTTGGATTACTTGTATTTCTTTTTCTTATCACACTGTTGAGAAATTTCCTAATTTATTTATATTTTCAAAGAACCAGCTCTAGCCATTACCAATTGGACTATTTTAAAACATATTAATTTTAATTATTTTTTCCCTGCTTTCTTATATTTGTTTCGTTATTTTTCTAATTTTTTGAGTTTGATGAAAGCTCATTTAATTTTATTTTTCCTTGTTAGTAAAGAAGCTCCTAAAGCTAAGAATTTGTCCTTAACTGCTGCTTTGGATGCATATGATGTGTAGGGTTTCTCATTTTCATTATTTTCAAAAGGGTCTACACTTTCAGTTAGGTTTATCTCCTGATCCATACAAGTAATTTATTTTGTTATAAAATTTCAGTTTTATTGCACTGTAAGAGAAGGTGGTCTTTACAAATTTCAGTCTGGGTAAACTATTGAACTTTATTTTACAACTCAAATATGCTTAATTTTTTAATTCATGAGTACTTTAAAGAGTATTTAGTCTCTATTATATATATATATTAAACTAATCTTATTAAGTATATGTTATATATCTATGTCCTTTTAATTTGGTCTTTTTTGTTTTTTTTGTTTTGTTTTGTTTTGTTTTTCTTAAACCTAAGGTATGAAAAAATTTGGTCTTTTTTGAAGTGGCATATTCAACTCTATCAATATTATTATGTTTCTGTCAAATTAGCATTCTTTTCAGCAGCCATTTCCATATATTTTCACTCTTTGTTAAGTAGAACATGAAAAGTTTATGAAATATCTTCATTGTGATTTATAAGCATTATTGATGGACTTAACCATTTTGAATATGAAGAGATGCCATTAAAAATAAGTGATAAATGAGATTATTCTTTAAATATACCAGGACAATTGATAAACTGGGGGAAAACTAAAGTTTAATTCAAGTCCCCATATGAGAATAAATTCTATATGGATTAAAACATTAAATGTAAATCATGAAATTGGAAAAAAATATAGATACATATTTGTCTCCTGCAATATGAGAAAAAAATTGTAAAAACATACTAGGCATATAAACATAAATATAAAATAGATATTACTATCAAAGTAAAAATCAAGATATTATATCTATACCTTTTCCTATATTTCCTGACTTGGTAAAGAGCACCCAAAACATCTGCTCAGCCTTGAAATTAAAATTATCACCTTTCTTTTGAACTCAGTTATACTGTTTAATCCTCAACTTCAAGTCTTTTATCAGACCACTGCTCAATGCTTCTAAGCTACTCCTTCTTTCTTTTCCAAAATACCTATTCTTAGAATGGACTTCCACAGTCAGTCCTTCCTGCACACTGAAAGTGTCTTCTGCTTTTCTTTGTTATCAAGAATATTATTAAAGCTTCTAAACATCCAATTTTGGCTGTAGTTTGTCATTTATTCATTTGTTTAATGTAATGGAATGCTCTAATTCTGACCAATTCTCTTATTACCATGGCCTGTTCCATTTAATGGAAAGAATTTTCTCTTTTATCCTTTGAAAAAATGAAGCACATATATTCCAAGCTTTTTTTGTTCTAATAAATGAAGTGCCTATTTTAGGAAGAATATATCCTGTATGTTTTTAAGGGGATGCTGCTCTTTTGTTGCCATTTTTAAAATAGATCTTATGTTACTGATATTTACTTTTATTAAAATGGAAAGGATAAATATATTCCCAGTAAAGGAAAGCCCACTTGTCAGTTGTTAGGGAAAAAGATGGATTCATTTGACATCTCTCATAACTGGCATGGGACACTATCATTTTCTTTGGGAGCCAAGAGAATGATTTGGGCTTCAAGAATGAGAGAGACAGCTCTAAGTTTTACTACTTCTATCTGAGGAATTCCCCCTTCACATATACAAATAGAAACCCCAAGAAATGGCTCTGTTCCTTACTATAAAAGAATCAGAAACACATAGTAAATGACCAAAACTGGATCCAAAACCCCATGTGAGAGAGAGCTAATGGCTTAGAGATATTTATTATCTATCCTGACCCAATAGCAAAAGACCTCCTAATGTATTTTCTGCTGGAAATCTGAACATGCTTTATTCTCATTTCTTAATTCATTTGTATAAACATTTTTACATGTAGTTATTTATTTGCACACAGAGACATAAATCTTCACTATCTCCTGGTAGTTCTTTTAACTGCATATATCCCACCCTCTTTTTTGTCTACCTTACATTTCTTAAAGTGACAATGCCACTCATCTTTTAAAGTTGTTAACAAATATAAAACTTATATTACAAGTACCTTTTCAAGAATTCATAGACAGGAATTGTTATCTCCACAACAAGGTGAAATTTTTCATCATTCATGCATTTTAGCATAACTTGTGTAAAGAATTCCAGGAATCTAGGTCTGTTCTTAAATTTCATAACTGTAAAAACAAGTTCATGTGTAGTTACCAATATACTTAGTTATTGGCATTGAAAGATTACTAGTATTAATAGTCATTTTGTTCTAATAGGCAAGTCTATTAATCTTCTTTTTAGATATCTTGCTTTTAAAAAATATATAGAAGTAAATGTGGTATGAACTATTGTTTTTCTAAGATCAACTAATCCTTTGTAGTCTATATTTCATTTATTTTCTAAATATCTCAGTGTTATGAAACATTTCATTAAAGTTGCTTCTAATGTATGATTAATTGGGGAAAAGTTCTGATAATTATAACTAGCAATCTTAATTTTTATTATATTTCACTCTGAGTTAGGCAATAATGTTGCTGTTTCTTCACAGCTACACTTGAAAGTCACTACTGCTTTTTTCTCTATTTTTTGTAAGCTTCATAGTAACATCATTCACTACCAAAGCAAGCCACCATCAAGGTTCTGTCTTTCCAGACTTTAAACCAGGTACAGGTGTAGTTCTCTTTCGTTACTTGGCAATCAAGATTCTGCTTTATTTTGAATGGATAAGAACCCAAAATATTCTGCCTAGAATAGGTAAAATCTTCAAGTAGACAACAGAAACAAAATCCACAGAATCATGTACACATTCATGTCACCTACCTTCTTTCATGGCATTTTTTACTGTCCAATTTAAAACCACAGGGTAAAGAAATATAGGGTCTTCTGTTCCTAAGAGTTCAGATGTAACATCTAAATTTTAAAAAATTAAGAAGTTAATGTTCTGTTTAACATGAATAACCAGCAATAAAAATTCTTGGAAAGGATAAAAAATAGTAAAGTACTCAAAGTACTCATTCTAAATTGTGTACCTTAAATATCAATTATAAAATTATATTTTGCAGATAAAAATAATCCAATCATTTAAATTATTTCCTTTTATTTTTCCCCCTAAAAGCTAAGGGATTTATCACCAAATAGGTGAAGAGTTTCCAAGGCATGATTCTCTCTCATTCAAAAGCTGTCATATATCAGCACACCCAAGACTCAGAAACCTACCAATTATATTAACTCCATTTTAATAAAATAATCTTTAAAAGGCAATAAAGTATAGCACAGTCACCAGAGCCAGACTTTCTATGTTCAAATTCTAACTTTGGCATGTTTTAGTTATGAGACTTTGGCAAGTTACTTAGCTTCTCCTTGCCTCAATTTCCTTATCTTTAAAATGGGGATAATAACAATACCTTCCTCATACGGTTGTTATAAATATGTTGTATGAGTTTTAATGTGTATAAAACACTTAAAATAGTGCCTGGCATACAGAAAACACTGTACAAAACTATTTTTATTATTGTTGTTGCTGAATTTACTATTTAGCCAGTAATATTGCATTATGCTTCTTAGTAATGTTTTTACTGATACTATAAAAATAAGTAATTCATATTTCTAGAATACTTTATGTTTTAAGGAATTATATTTTTATATGTAAAAAGACAATTACTACTTTCCCAAAACTAAGTTTACTGATTATGGGAATAATAGAATATTGGGTTCCATTCATAAATTCAGCTTGAAACAGACATGGAATGCATTGAAAAAGAGAAGAGATCCAAGTCAGGAAATCCTCAAACAGTTTGACCACCAAGACAACTGAGGCATACAGTAAAAGAGGTAAAGTGGGGACAGGAATTCTATAAGTGTAGTCTGGTTCCAAAAGACCAGGGGGCCAAAAGCAGAGTTTCAGACATGGTTTGTGGCTCAAATTTAGGTATTCTCTCGTTCTTCAAGAAGATCTGAAGTATCTGCTTTTTAAAAAATGTGACAATACTAATCATCATCAGAAACTAAATCAATTTCCCAAGGAGCTTGCCAAGCTGCAAACTCCAAAATACCAATCATTGTATTAACACATTGTTCCATTATGAAACTGCTACAGTACAATGACCTAAACCTAATCTTTCACTGTACTTTCTACTCTAGAAGGCCAACAACTTACACATTAACACCCTTTACACTACCCCTTTATTTCTCAGTTACTGCCTTTAGAGCAGTGATTCTCAATTTTGTGCTACCCCTAAACCCCACCAAAGATCTATTTGATAACATTTGCCTCCCAGTTGATTGCCACAACTGGGAAGGTGGCATGCTATGCTTCTATGGATAGAAGCTAGGGATGCTGCTTAACATCCTACAATGCTAAGGACAGTCCCCACAACAAAAAACTATCTGGCTCAAAATGACAGTAGTGTGGAGGCTGAGAAAACCTGCTTCAGAGTCAGAAGATGCAGGCTCAAGTCCAAGGCAGCTATGTAATCCTGAGTAAATCACTTAATCTTTATGAGCCACATCTGTAAAAAGCAGTTAGCAATCCCTTATTAACAGGCTATTGTTAGGATTAATGACACAATGTAAAAGCACTGTGCAAACCTAAAGGGTTTACCAAATGCTAATCTTATCTTAATCCTTTGAACAAAATATCTTCTCAATTTTAAAAACATAATGCTAAACAGAAAAAAGTATACAGGGAAAAAAATGATCACATTGCTTTGTCAGTTTGAGTAGGTGTGTTTCCAACAAGGCCAGCTGTTCATTTATTTTTTCAGGCAACAGTATCTGCTGTGGCTTCTTAGTCTTTGAAGACTTCTTAAAAGAACCCTAAAAACATTGGTTAAATGTCAGAATGTACTTCAACACATTGCAACAACTGTCATTTTCAAACAACATTCTTTAAATTATGTTTTCATACTTTCATACTTGTAGATAAAACTATGATCTACATGGCTAAACAATACTAATTAATAACTAATAGTAACAGTTATTGTCTTCTAACAAAATGCCAGACACATTATTAAGTATTTCATGGAGATTGACCAAAATACTGCTGCTTTTCCCTCTCCCTTTCTCCCAGTAACTTCCGCCCTCTAACCAGCCCCCTCCGACCAACAGCTGTATTCTTAAAGCAGCTGAGGAGATGGCTCTAAAAATCTTCAGAAGAAAATTCCCAGCCTGCCCTCAGAAATGTATGCCTTTATTCTATTTTTCCTTTCTTTTCCCAGAAGGAGCTTCTTTACAACTGAGCTAATTGCCTTTGCTACTTTGCCTTTCATTGAAACATAACAGGGTCAGTAATTAGTGGATTAGGAATTGGCCTGTCTGCACTCAGGCTTCCCAGGGTGTTTTCTCTGTCTGAGCCTGAGAAGCAGCCCATCAATGTCTCTTGTTCTACCCACCCCCACAAAAAAACCTTCCACGCCCATTTAGGCTTTAAAGGACCTTGAGTGGCTCTAATGACTTCTGACTCCTATAAATAAACAATGGCTACAATATTAGTCAGAATTAAGTATCACAGCCTTCTGCTGAACTAGCAGCTTCAAGGAGAAAGGCGTGAGGCACTATCCTACGACAATGTGTAGAGACAGGGTCCCAGGCCAGGGCCTGGGTAACATGAAGGGGCTGGCTGGTAGACCTGAGAGTAAACACTTGGTGGGAAAAACCCTCAAATTGCCTCCAGCTTAATCAAAACTCTCAAAAACCAAGTGTCCTCAAACTACGGCCCACAGGCCACATGCGGCCCACCGAGGACATTTATCCAACCTGCCTGGTGGTTTTGCCGCAGCTGCCTGTCCTGCTTAGGAGCCAACTTGCCCGGGCCCACAGTGCTCATGTGTAATGTGCACCACACTCTCTAACAGCCCTTCAGCGGTCTGAGGGACAGTGAACTGGCCCCCTGTTTAAAAAGTTTGAGGACCCCTGCTCTAGACAGACAACGTCCACCCCCACCCAAGAAAGGATTATGGCAAAAAAAAATCATCTGATAAGACAGGGGTGATGTTTTTTGGAAGTGTTTTGTTTTGTTTTGTCTGGCAAACAAGTGCTTACTTGGAAATTCAACCTGTAATAGAGATAGAAATGGAGCTACTCTAACTGAGACAGATTCCTTTTCATTTTCTTGACCAAAACTCAAAAAAGAAAAATTCACTATATTATACTTTACTTCTATGACAAATTGAAAACTGATTAATTTTCATATATGTTTAATAACACTGTATGATTCCTAAAAGATCTAACATATATTTTTCTATGTTTAAAATTGAGAAACAAAAAGCAATTACCTCCTCTGGCATTTCGTCTTGTTCATTACTACTAAATAGAGATTTGCACGCTGGTGTGACATCCAACATTTTTTTCCCATAATTTATAATCATTACTGCCAGGTCATACTCTTTCCATGAACGCAGAATCTAATTTTAAAAATTTATTAATTAACTCTATTGCACACTTTTGTCTATTTTTCAAGTATAATGTATCATTTTTAATAAATTTCAAAGCTTCATAATGTTTTGGGTCTAAGAACTCCCGTTTTTGTTAAGAAAGCTGGAAATTTACCTCCAGATCATATTTAATGCATTTAATGTCATTAAAAATGCACGATTCTACTAGGTAACAACTAGTAACAGGATCTCACCAATGTTAAAAGAAAAACTTTAGACAAATTTAATGTAACAGAGTTTAATTGAACAAAAAATGATTCACAAATCAGGCAGCGTCCCCTACCCCAAACCAGAATAGATTCAGAGAGACTCTGTTGGAGGATTTATGAACAAAAAGGGAAGTGACATACAGAAAACAGAAGTGAGGTAGAGAAATAGCCAGATTGGTTATAGGTCGACATGTGTCTTATTTGAATATGGTTTGACCAGTTGACTGCCTTTGATTGGCTGAAACTTAGTGATTTGGTACAAGAGTAGGTTACAATCTGTTTATATAATTATAATATATATATAAAATATATATATATATAATATATATATATATATATAATACCTCCAGTTAGGTTACAGTTCACTCTGTACAGAGAAACCTTTAGGCCAGACTTAAAATATGTAAGGAGGCAGCTTTAGGCTAAACTTACTTTAACACCAATAATGACTTCTTCACATCTCCAGGCCATACAGCTGGATAACTTGGTATAGTAAGTTGACTATTAAGAAAATGTTTCTATTTAAAAAATCTACATTAAAACAAAGTAATTCTTGAAGGAAGACCACATAAACATTACCTCTTATCTTGAGTTACTTTCTATGAGAAATGGCACGATTATTAACCTCATGATGTCTTAGAGGGGCATTTATATCAGTAAATGATATACAAGACATTCTCATAGGAATAAGGTGTTTTTGGTAGATTCTCCATGAGCCCTGGAGTAGGCATACACTGTAGTCAAAAGGAGGGAAGGGGCTCCCTCTTTTATATTTCCTATCACCAATTCTCTGGCCTTCTTTAGACTGGCCCTTACCTACCTTTCTAGAGTAATCTTCCACCACTCATCTCCTTACACTTTAATCTCATAAAATATTGAGCCAAGTGTAAAATCTGACAATCACCATTAAGGACTGAACTCTGACCTTTTTCTTTTATCCAAATTCCTTTCTAAGAGGACTGGTGAGTCACACCTACAAACAGTAAAATCTCACAAAGCGGGTTTTATTAACCCAATATAATATGGTTTACCTTCCAACCTGGTTCTGGTATAGCATCACCTGAGAGACAGAAGACCCCCTTATTTTAACTCAGTCATCCAAGTGGGCCCCTATCTTAACTCAAGCATCCCTTCCACTGATTCTAGGTCTTTAGATAAAGCTTAATTCTTTCAACCAATTATCAACTAAAGAATCCCTAAAACCCACCTATGACTTATAAGCTCCCACTTTGAGATGTCCTGCCTTTTTGGGCCAATCCAACGTATTGATTTACGATTTTAACCTGTAATTCCTGTTCCCATGAATGTATTAATATAAAACCAAACTGTAATCTGGTCACATCGGGTACATTTTCTCAACACCTCTTGAGAACTTGTCTCCTAGGCCTAGGTCACACATATTCGGCTTAGAATAAACCTCTTTAAATTATTTTATAGTTTGGATTTTTCCATCTAAACCATTGTGTTTCAGGACTTCATGTCTTCCTACAGCTGAGCCATTTCCCAGAACAGCTCTCTCCACCTTATTTACACAGCTTCACCATGTGGTTACAACCTTGGCTCTAGCATCAACTCCAGGAAAGCCAGCAATCTGATTCACTTACACCCTACTGAAGGCAAGGGTCAAAGTAATGGGACACATTCACTGTTAGCCCCTTAGGGCAACTAAGAGTATAAATAAGTTTGTATGAATTTGTTATATGTAGATATATTCTGTTGAGTAGGTTAGTATTTAAGGTAAATAACGACTGTTACTTCTTATGCAGGGAAGTGATACATAAAGTGGCTGAAAATAGAGTGGTTACTTAGACCTGATAAGCTTTACCTAATGCTAAGAACAAGAAATGTTTCTAAGGGACAAGAGAAATGGTGCTAAACTAATGCCGACTATGGAACAGAGCGTGGGAAAGAAAATGGTGAAATAAATTTTGAGTTAGTAGATACGGTTAGGTCATGCAGGGCTTTGAATGCCCAGCAAAACAGTCCAATCTCATTATAAAATTTATATGAGAGGGGAAAATTTTATTACAAAACAGAAATGAGCTAATGATTGCTCTCCACTATACTTAATTTTGCTTTCTGGCATATTTAGAGAACTTACAGAGAACTGTGCAATCATTTCCCCTCATTTTAATATGTTAATACAAAATAATAAATGATAAAGAATTTTTTCCAATCAAAAGAAAAATAGAGGACCAATTCTATTTAACATACCAAATGATGAACAGAAATAAAAAGAGTATGCCAGATGTTTAGCATAATGATTTTAAAACTATGCAAAAGTAATGACAGATTTAAGATGAGGGATCTCAGAAGTGGCACTTTAGAAGAAAAAAAAAAATACTGCTGCTTAAAGAAGGAAGATTCAACCACCTGAAAAGATCACCAGTTTTTTTAAACAGAACAAAGAAACAGAGCCATTTGACTAATTGGGCTTTACATGTCCTAAGAGAAAATTCAATATTGTTTATATCAAATGAACACCTGAAATCTGGGATTCAGGGTTAGTCCAGGATTCTGAGACTATAGGCCAGGCTGGAGGAGACTTCTAGAATGGCAATTCTCAACAATGAATTTTGGATAAAACCAACCCAAATATCAAATCCCAACATCCAAATATCAAATCAAATCCAAATATCAAAAATTAGTTTTTTTTAAAAAAGTTCAGAACACATTTAGGCCACTTCTACAGTACCATCACTGGGATTTCAATGATTCCTGCAGGGAGGGAAAGGGGAGTGGGGTCATGGCTGGCAAGCCAGGAAATGCACAGAGCCAGAGCCAAAGCCGCTGTGTACTAAGGTAAAACATTCATTCATCCACAGCTGAGAGAGGCAGCATGTCAATTCAAGGACTTCAACCTCCACTGGGCCCCAAAGGCTGGCTGGACACTCTGTTTATTCTAGGTCAGCATCCCCTCCCACCTTCTACATTGACTGGCCCAAACCCTCCCATTCTTCTCAAATATTTGAAACCCACCCCTTATCCTTCACCCCCTCACTGTCAGCAAAGGACCTTGCTTCCTTTCCACAGAAGAAATGCAGGGGAACTAGCTTATCTCCCATTCATGAACCTAGCACCACACACCTGTAACTACAACCGCCCTGCCCTCCTTGAGAGGGGAGAAGTGAATCTCCCGTCCAGACTCACCCCTCCCACAAGTGCTGGGATCCCACTGCCTTCTGCCTCCAGGGACCTTGCTCTGCTCCTCACCTCTCCCCTCCCAAATCGCCCTTCTTCCCCTCTCCCGACTAAGCAGGTTTGGGGTTTTTTTATTGGTTGGTTTGTTTTTAGCAGAAGTTGCTATTGGCCAGTTGCCAACAACAAGCTGCCTTGGGATAGACTTTCTTTCTTAGTTCTGGAAGGAATGCTGCAATAGTCCCTCTTAGTTATTTAAATGTAAACTAAGTAGTTGTGTTCAGTGCCCTGGAAGGAAAGTGTACTTGGTCTTCCTTTATTTGAAAAGGACACCCTTCCCCTGGAAATACACATTGATGGAAGAGTTTGGGGAGGAAAGGCCAACCAGACAAATATATTCTAAAGAAAAGTATCCTTGGAAGGTGCACTTTTGGCTCAGCATGACACTAATTAATGTGTGTGTGACTGTAGCACTGGAAAAGGGAAGGGGTGCTTTGTACTGTGTGGGACCCCTGCTTTCAGTGATGGTGACAGAACTAATAGTCACAGGAAGATTCTAGAGGTTGGGGAGGGGTTAGAAATGACAGAGGATTTTTGGATTAATCTGACTCTTTAGCTCTTCCTCTTGCTAGCGTTCAGAAGCAAGATCAGCCCCTTGGACTAAGTACACCCTTTAGATTCTTAGATAATACTAAGACAAATCTACCCTTCTCACTCAACACACTGTTCCCGGATGATATCACCTATTTTGCTTCAGTTGTAGTTCATATGCTAATGACTCCTTTGTCTTTATACATATGTAGCCTCTTCTGAGCTCCAGGCCTAGAGGTCCAATTACATAATGGCCATTTCTTTGCATAGATCCCAATGTTCAATCTGTTCAAAACTTATCTTCTCCCCTTTTACCACACAAAATTACTCCTCATCCAGGGTTCAAAGAACAGTGATATACTCATCCAACTGCCCAGGCCCGATAGCTGGATATTACTGTTGATTCTTCCCTATTCCTCTTTTATCCCCTTTATGCAGAAGATTGCCAGGTTCTTAATTTTATCTCATAAATTACTCTTCAATTCTTTCAATTCTCTCTACCTCCCACTTTTTCCACACTAGTTTAGTTTATCATCCATCACCTTCTAACACATCCCCTGCCTCAGGTCTTATCCCCCTCTAATTTTTAGCTGTTGTGCAACCAGAATAATTTTTGCCCTAAACTACAAATCTCATTATGTCATTTCTACGTTTGAAAGCCTTCAATAGTTCTTCTCTAACCTTAGAAGATGGCCATGTGTCATAGGGTACCTGTTCATTGCTCCACTTTTTAAGGTAACTGAATATTTAATTATATCCTCTGTAATTAAAGATAAATTTGATTCTTCTTTCCCAAAACTGTAAAATTATTTCATATTTTCTCATTGATTACTCCCTGAAGTAATCAATGTTAATTATCCAGTATCTGTCATATATTTTTCCCAAACTAGTATTTGCCTTTAAGCTTTGTTTATAGTGCCTTGCCATAAAAATGTTTTATTATATAATCTAATTATCTATCTTTGAATTTTGTGCCTTACTGAGGAAGGTGTCCCCTAATTCCAAGGCCATACAAATATCCTTAAAACCATCTGGACTTCATTCTGTTTAAGGTATGAGATAGGGCTCTGGCTTTGTTCACTTCCAGATGAATATAGTTAGTTATACCAGTAACTTTCATTAAATAAACTATTATAATACACTATAATTTTCTCAATGAATCAAATAACTATCTTTGTCATACAGTGATTTCTTCTGCAGACTTGGGGCTATACCTAGACCCTCATTCCACTCCACTGAACTATGTCCCCCTTAATCTGTTAACATCATTTTTTATTGAAGTGGTCTTATGGCAAATTTTAATATCTATTGAAAACTCTTAAGTTATTCTAATCAGTTCCAGAGATACACTATTGAAATTCTGATTAGAACTGCATTAAATTTAAATATTACTTTGGGAAGGATTTACATTCCTATGACAGTAAGTCTCCCTATTCAGGACTTAGTGTGGCCTGCCACATGTTCAGATCTTATTTTCTGTCCCTCAGTAAGATTTCACAGTTCTTTTATTTCGCTTCTTTAACATTTTGTTAAGTTTAAAATATTTTATTTTATAAGTGGTATATTTTAACCTCTCCATATCTAACTGACTACTACAAGTATAATAAAAATAACGATCAGTTTATAGGTATCAAATACACAGTCACTTTATATATTCTCTTTATAATTCTAGTAATTTTTTCCTAGATTCTCATGGGTTTTTGAGACCTCTACAATTACAGATAAATTATCCAGGCAGTCGCCAGGTTACAGAAGAGGTGTATGTTCCTGAGAATATCTTTAGGTAGGATTTGTACGTAACTCAGATCCCTGATGAACAGCATATATATAGTAATAATAACAATACTATAATGGCTCATGTGATAATAATAATACTGTATAATACTGTAATAAGAGTAAGAATACTATGTATTATTGTGTAATATTTAAATAATAAGTTACAGATACTATTGTGCTCTTTCTTTTAGTTCAAACAAACACAACATAAAAACAAACTCATACAAAAACTTTATATAGGAGAAATTTTTAAAAATAATATTAAACATTAATACTCAATGTTGCATCAACACTAGGCTAATAGAATGTTACACTTCTTTTGATCTTCTAACTAAATCAATAATAACCTTTCCATTTCAGTCATTAATCCACTACACTGCTTAGCAATAATTGATGCTTTCACTGGAGCACTACCTTTCCTATGTTCCAACATTCTCACTTTATCCTCTATATTATAATTGCTCCGATAGTCAAGCAACTGAAGCCTAATGCTTTCCCGGTGAATGATGGTGTCTGGTCTTTCTCTCAAAGCTTAATTATTTCTACTTTTGTTTCCACCGTAATCACCTTTCTCTTCGCTGCAGGCTCACCTGGACTTGCAGTGGACTTTTGCTTTGGAGGCATGGTCATAGAGGGAGACACAGACTCACAAAATGAAATAAAAAAGTTAAGATGAAAGTGTGTAAGCAACCACATGAACAATGAGACCCACCACTAGTGTGAAGATACATCAACGAACCTGTTATGCCATGTGGGTTTGTTTACATGAGCAGAAGAAACTAGTTCCAAAATGATTCATATTAATTTTTTAATTATAAATTATCCTTATGGGGAGCCTTGGGAGCCCATTTAGAAGTACAGAATGCCATAAGACAGGTGGTCTATAACCCAGGGACTGCCTGCACATTCCTTTCTGATAATATTAAATTGTTTCACATACTTATCTATTGCATAAGAAAGAACCTCTAAAAAGACTGAATCTTGCTGTTAAGAGTCAGCAGCTTTTTCCTGTTCCCGATTTTTAAGGAAAGAGCTTCAGAAATTTGCCATTTAGTATTTTTGCTGTAAAATTTTGGCAAATGTCTTTAGCATTATTCAATACCTTCCTTCCATTCCTAACTTACTAGAAATTTTATTAGGAAAGGTTGCTGAGTGAGAAAAGTGCTCAAATGCCTTCAAAGCATTTTTTATATAATTTTACTGGTTTTTCCTTTAATTTGCTGTTGTAAAAGAAATTCAGGTTTTGTTTTAATTCAGACTTGATCTTTAATACTTGACAATGAGCCTGTCCCAAGACTGGAGAATGACCAGTTGCCATCCAGGAGCAGAGAAGGGTGATATGTCAGAACAGAATCTCTGTCCTGATTAATGCTTTGGACCCTGTACTCTGCTTTTTCTGATATGAAAATTGCCATTCCTTTATTTTTATTTGTATTTTTCCAGTACATGAGTCTATCCAATCATTTTTCAACCATTGTTTTATCACCTTGTTTTAGGAGTATTTCTTGAAATAATATATATTTGAATCTGACTTTTTATCCTATCTGGCAGTCTCTGTCTTCTGAGTTCCTTCACATTTAGTAAAGTGATTAATATACTTAATTTTATTTATACTTAATATACTTAATTTTTTATTCCTTCCATTTTAAAGAATACCTTTTTCCTTCTTATTTTTGCTGAATTAGCCATTTTTCCTCCTTTTTTCCTGTTCCTATTTCCTCTCTCTCATTTCCCCCCTATTCATTTTTTCTCCCTGTCAATTTAGAAGGCTTACTATACTTTAAAGTTCTGGTCATGATTACATATTCCTCTGAATCATCTTGAAATATATGCATTCTTTCAAAGAACATAATAATTTTATACTACATGTATTTTATATGTGTGTGTGTGTACATACATAAAACACCAACCATGCACTAAGAATCTTTACCTGCTCACATCTTCCCCCAACCCAAACAGGATGGAAGTTTTAGTTCTAGGTTACTAGTAAGTTTCTTTTTCAAAGATGACTCTTCTCTTTCAAGAATCCCTACTTAGCATTTATATTGCAAAGTCCTAGTCACGTCATTATTATCTACTTAATTTTAATAACTCATATGTTGCAAGATTCATTGCTCCCATTATTCTTCTCCTTTTTGTCTTTCCCTAGCTTGGGATTTCTGTTCTGAATCAATTGTCATTTGATAGAGTATTTCCTCAAGTGTTTTTCTCAGATAAGTACATGGGCAGAATACTTTTCAAATGCCCGCACTTCTGAAAATGTTTGTTTTGCCCTGACAAATAAATGATATCTTTCCTGGTTATTAATTTTTGGACTTCAGTCTTTTTTCCCTAAGGGTTCTACAAATGTTGTTCCAGTGTTTTAACTTCTAGTGTTGCTGATAAAAAGTTTGAAGCTAATTGATTCTCTTTCTGTTGTAAATAACTGCTCATGTCATCCATGAGTTATTCTTCGTCCTGCAGCTACTATGAGGTTCTCTCTAATTCTCTGTGCATATGTCAAGTGCCTAAAACAGCATCTGTCACAGACAGGTAATCAGTCAATATTTGTTAAATGGAGGAGTGAAACAAAAATGAAAAACCTGTTTATATTCTGACCACACTTTTTGCCTATGTCTACTCCCTGGCTTAGATCTCCAGATATATCACTCTTGCTTGGTACAGTCTGAGTTCATCTTTATGGTTAGTCCTCTGTTTAGTTCAGGGTCCTGAACACCAATCTCAGAATCATCCTTAGATCCTACCTACTGTGTCCTTTCCTTCAAGTCTAACATCAATTTTTACATTCCAATTTCATGAGATTATCACATTCTTCCTTTACTTACTGCCCTTCGATCATAACCCTGCTGCTTGAGCTCTGGACATCTTCGAAGCCCCACTACCCACACTCAACTCCTGGGTTAAGATACTTCAGCTCTACCTGCAGGTGCCACTGAGATCATGATCGGACAAGATGATACGCAGGTTTACTGCGATATAAGGAATACATAATTAATGTTTTAGGGTTGTGAAACAAAGCTATTCTTTGTGACCATATAGAATGCCTATAAAATAAATGCTATTTCAAGAACATCAAGTTTTAGTTTATGAAGACCCATTAGTTTCATCGAAAAAGTTCAACACCACATTGAACTATTCTGTAATGTTTAGACTTTACATTTGCTTTTGATCTAAAAATGCTTTTCTACTTACTGAGATTCAAAGTAGTTTGATTTTCTAAAGCATTACTGCTCCTAAATTTTATGACACCAGATAAAGAATAAGATAAATACCTTTGTTAAGTAGAAAACACAACAAGCTATCATGTGCTGTATACTTTCAAAATTCGCAGTATTTTTCTTTGAGTAGACGATACTTGGTAGTCCTTGCAAAACCACTACACACTTTATCAAGATCTAAAAATTAGAAAATGATTTTAGTTTTAAAATATCATCCTTACTAATTACAAAATGCTCTTTTCAAACCATGTGAGTTTTAAGACATAAAATTTTACTGTTAAAAATAATTATTGATACATTGTTTATTAGGTAGAAAGGAATGTACACTGAGATAAAATTGATATGTTCAATCCTGAGACAAGCCCTTCATCTAAAGTAACTTGAAAACTAGTGAAAAGAATAAAATAAATACACAAATAACTATTAAAAAAACATACTTTGACAAGGATCATAAAAGATACAGGCATTATGTTACATGTATACAAAAAACTAAAGATCATATCCAGACATAAGAGGACCTTGAAAAACCATATGGAGAATTATGTGGTATATTAAATATCATATAGTGATTCCAGGTACTTGAAAAAATACCTCCCTTTAAAATTAAGACCAAATATTCACATCTCAGGAAATCAATTAGTATTGGTGTTCACTTCATATTCTCCTTGTTTCATATTTTATTATTCTGAATTTGATCAAGAGCTAGATGGCTAAGTTCAGCTTTCGATACTGTTGCACAGTTCTGGGCAACATCACTGTCGGAAAAGTACTGAGATTTCAGCAATCTATTCATCATTGAGAGTATCCACAAGGGCAAATTAACATCCAAATGTTGGTTTTTGGGGGGCACATTAAGTGCTTCAAGCTCCCATTCTAACAACACTGTTAGTATCATTACTGGACACTTATTTTTAATACTTTTTTAACTCCTTTCCCTCTATGATCACCCTCTCCCACCCTCCCACATCATAACCCCAATCATGTTAACACCCTAGTAATTTTGTAGTTTTCTTGAGGGTCATATAATCATACATATGTATATGTATAAATACACAAATGTACATAGAAGAAAGGCTGTTGTCATCTTACAAAGTGGGATTTATATACACTTTTCTGAACTATACATTTCTCCTTCAACCATGCCTTGTGAGAAATCCCCCAAGTCTACAAATATAGTTCTAATTCATTATTTCTAATGGCTGGATAATATTATTTGGTATGGATACTTCACTTAGTAGAATGGGCTCCAGCTCTATCCAGGATAATACAAGAGGTACTAGATCACCACTGTTTCTTGTGGCTGAGTAGAACTCCATGTGGTATACATATACCACATTTTATTAATCCACTCATGTATTGGTGGGCACTTGGGTTGTTTCCACATCTTTGCAATTGTGAATTGTGCTGCTATAAACATTTGAGTGCAGATGCCTTTTTTACAGAATGTCTTTTTTTCCTTTGGGCAGATGCCCAGTAATGGGATTGCTGGGTCAAATTGTAGTTCTACTTCTAGCTCTTTGTGGTATCTCCATATTACTTTCCACAGAAGTTGCACTAGTTTGCAGTCCACCAGCAGTGTAGTAGTGTTCCTATCTCTCCTAATCCACGCCAATATTTGTTGTTTGGGGATTTTTTGATAAAAAAAAAAACAATGGGGGAAAATGGGCATTTATTGAAATCTTAAAATCTGTACCCCCATAATATGCCAAAATAAAAAAAAAAAAAAACACATTCTCACTGGAGTTAAGTGATATCTCATTGTGATTTTGATTTGCATTTCCCTGATTAGAGATGTTGAGCATTTTTTCATATGTTTCTTGACCACTTGTCTTCTTTTGAAAAGTTTCTACTCATGTCCTTTGTCCACTTTTTAATGGGGTTGTTTGATTTTTTTCTTGCTAATTTTCCTGAGTTCTATATAGATTCTAGTTATCAGCCCTTTATTGGATATGTACTATGCAAATATTTTCTCCCATTCTGTAGGTTGTCTGTTTGCTCCCATGATAGTTTCATTCAGTCTGTTTCATTCAGTCTTCTACATGTGGCTATCCCAATTTTCCCAGCACCATTTATGAATAAGGATTCTTTTCCCCATTGTATGTTTTTGTCTACTGTGTCAAAGATTACATGGCTATATGAGGATGGTTTTATATCTGGGTTCTCAGTTCTATTCCACTGGTCTATGTCTCTGTTCTTGTGCATATCAGGTATATTTGTTTTTAATATTGTATAAAATTAGATTTAATTTAATTTAAATTAAAATTGCTTTACAAAAATACAAATGCTTGTAACAATTCACATTTCCCAAATCAATGAATGAGAATGCCTTTGTCCCCTGTCTTCACCAGCAATAGGAGTTATAGATCTTTTCGATTGTGCCAGTGATATTACATTGTTAATTTAATATGCATTCTATGAATATTCAGAATTCAAGCATCTTTGCATATGTTTCTCAGACATTTGGATTTGCTTTCTTGTGAACTGTTTATTCATATCGTCTGTCCATTTTTCTATCAGGTTATTGTCAATTTGCAACTCTTTGGTATATTTATTTACCCTTCTTAACATTTGGAGATATTTGTTTCCAAATCTGTACATTTTTTACTATCTTTGTTATGATCTCTTTTGTTACACATAGATATCTTGTTTCTAAGAGTTCAATCTTGGTTTGAAAGGTTTCCCCCAAACTGCATATATCATCTCCTGAGATATTTTTTCCTAAAGTTTTTTGCTTTATTTTATATTTAAGTCTTTAATACATGTGAACTTTTTGTATATAGTACATATAGGGATAAAATTCTATTTTCTTTCAGATGAATATCCAGGTGTTCTACCACCATTTATTAAAAATGTTCATTCTCTTTCCACTGAATGGGAGTGCCAACTCTGTCATACATACATTCTCATACATATTGAGACCTATTTCTGGAATCTCCCATTTTCCACTGATCTTTTCTTATTCCAAACAATACAATTTTAATTAGAGACTTCTTTCTTAAGGCTTTTTCTCATAGCTATAATCCATTCTCTGAGCTGTAGCCCAAGGCATCCTGAATCACTGGGATCTTAGAGAGTGACAGTGGATTACTATAAACTCAACTAACTGCACACCAATTGGACCTGCTGTTCCCACTGTGGTATCCTTGCTAAAGCACATTAAAAGATATGCATTTATATGGATACCTTTTCTTCTTTACCCTATCAGAAAGAAGTGTCAAAAAAGTTCCCATTAACACTGGACAAATAAGAGTGTATATTTTGAATACTGCTCCAAGGCAATAACTTTCATACCCTCTGATGTAATATTCTGTGAAAGAACATGAACTTTCCAGACATGTCTTAAAACAAAACAGTAGCCCACCATGGCAATGATACCATGTTAAGCAGACCTAAGGAGCAAGAAATGGCAAGCACATTGAAGACCTTGGTAAGATACATGCCCTCCAAAGGGTAGAAATAAACACTATGAAGATTAAGGGGCCTGTCACATTAATGAAATATCTGGGGGATGCTGGGATACCCCCTCCAAAATAAGTCTGACATCTGGCCTCTCTCACCTCTAAGAAGAAAAGACCATGCCAGGTAGATGCCTTTGGGTTCTGGAGGAAGCATATGCCACACTTGGGAATACTGCTCCAATCTATTTACAATCAACAAGGAAGGCTGTCAACTATGAGTCTAGATTTTGGACTCTGGAGGGAGATGAACTACTAGATGTGGGGATTGTGGGAGAAGGAAAAGCATCTATGCTCCAGTAGAGCCCCTTCAAGGTGAATGCTTGTTAAGTTACTTAAGCTGTCTGGTTAGTTTTATTAATAGTGAAATGAAAATCTTTAGACTTTTCACAAGTTCACTCACATCTTCTTGGTTCTCAACAACTGTGCCCATGGTGATGATGATGACAATGACAATAATGATGGTGATAACTAAAGGACACGATGAGCATCGTAGAGGGGAAGGGCATGTCTCTAACCCTTGCTTGGGTGAGGCAAAGACATAAAATGTAACCAAAAAGTTTGTACCTTTATAATACCCTGAAATAAAAATAATAATAATAATAATTGTAATGATGATAACTTTCTGCAAGTCTCAGCAGCAAAATCTTCTTTCTCTTACTACTTCCTTGTGGCAGGTGGAATTCTAAGATAGTTCCCAAGGTTCCTCCCCTGGTGTACAAGCCCTGTATAATCCCTTCCCCTTGAGTATGGGTGTGGTCTGTGAATGCGATGAGTTCATGGTTAGATTCCTCACAGTATATTGCAGGAGACTGTCCTGCTGGTCTTGAAGAAGTAATCTGCCATGTTGTAGGAAAGGCCATGTGTCAGAGAACTGGGAGTTGGCCTTTAGGAGCTAATGACCTCCTACTGGATAGCCTCAAGGAAATGAATTCTCTCAACTACAGGTGAACTTGGAAAAAGACCTTGAGACCCACATGAAATCACAGGCCTGGCCAACACCTTGATTTCAACCTGATAAGACCCTAAACAGAATACCCAGCTAACCCATATCCTCCTGACCTGTAAAGAGATATGAGATAGTAAATGGGTGTCCTTTTAAGCCACAAAGTTTATGGTGATTTGTTAAGAAGCATGGATAACTGATACAATTCCTTCAGCTAGGTCTCACCTACTCTTTTTCCATAAATCCTAATTCCTATATTACTAAGACACCAAGTATTTTTTTTTCTTGGGCCGTATGGTCATTTCACCAGATGATGGATTTAACAGTATACTTTAAATAAATAAAGCATAAATAAATATGCTTTAAATAAATGCTGTTTTGAATGGTACAAGAACATAAAAATTGAAATAACTTTAAAAAATTAAAAAGCAAATTGCCAATATTTAAATATAGACAGCATGGGGCTGAATGTTTTCAAAGAAACACATTTTATTGCCCTTATTTATGTTTTCCCAGATGTATAAATTATTAAAATATCTTTCAGTTAACTCATGAAACTTCACACCACTTGTTCTTGACCTATCTGTACTTTATAAGAGATATAAATGCTTTTGTAAAATGAATTGTTGAGTTGCCTTTATGAAAATACCCTTATTTTGGGGGGTAGGAGAAATATCCTTACCTGTACAACAGGTACCAAAACAATATTGTGATAGATTATAGGAGCAAGGAGACCATAACATTGAGTCACAGCTTGAAGGGCATAACTGGAATCATTTAGAAAGTTGCTAAGTTCCAATGCCACTAATACTCTCTCACATTCAACCAGTCTAGCAATCTGTAAAGAAACAGGCATTATTACTCAAATTGAACAACAGGTGCTTAAGTGTCTCTAAGAAGAATAAAAGATAGAAAGTATGATCCTTTTGACTTAACAAAAATGTGAATGTTTGTTAGAAGAAAATCTAAATTCAGAAACAACTCTAACTCCCCAATACATACAGATATTATTAAATACAGATAGCATAATCTTAGAATTAAACTTCAGAATTTTTTAGTAAAACAATGCAAGTACCACAAATAAAAAAGTACCTTTTTATTTTTAAGATAAAATATTTGCTATATTTTAACCAAAAATAAATTTGAACAATTATTAATAATTAAAATATAACATTTTATTTTTAATAAATATTAATATTATATATCACATTATAATATTAATATTATAATATTGCCCTCACTTGATTAACAGATTCCCATTTCCCTTTTGATTTATGAGAAAATGGTAAGTTTTAAGTAAAGGAAGCTAATCTTCTACTATACTTATACTTTTGCTATTTAAATAAAAATGATAGTAAAATATAAAGTTAGGGTTTTAAGATTAAATGCCACTTTGAAAGAATAAGAAAACATTCTTACTCCTTCTTCCCCATTCCTGGGGAAAGATTTTGTTATATATATATATATTCAAGATTATATACAAAGAAAACTGAGCAGCAACCCCAAGAAATTTCAGCCAGTTTTTACTAGAATGGCAGTCTAGCATTCTGGAATTCACTGAAGTACCTTAAAATTATCTTTATTTTCACATAAACTATGCTGAAAGAAGAAACTGAATGCAATGTAGTAGGAACAGGCTGAAGGTTGTAAGTGCTTGAGCTGTAGAGAACAGTAAACTTGTCTTGGACAGAGTAATGTTATTTTCATTTTCATATCCCCTGAAACTGGCACAGTCTCATGTAACAACTTACTGGTTAACTAATTAATAAATAAATGGATGGGGATGAAAAAGCATCTTAAAGAAAAAAGAAAACAGAAGACTAAATTCTCCATATTTGAGACAAGTAAAGAAAGAAAGACAGAAAGAAAAGTGAACCTCAAACAAGAATAAAAAAATAATGTAGAATTATTACCCAAAGCAAGAGCATGATAGGGTTGCAGATGTTTATAAGCAATCTGAGACTCTATCGATAAAAGATAGGTTGAAAACCTATCTCTATACATGAATACAATATTATAATAAAAAAGGAGGTGGCAGATTGATATATACCACCATAAAAATATGTCCAAGATATAATAAAAATGTTAAAAAGGCAAGTTGCAGAAACACAAGATTGTGATCCCATTTTTATAAATAACAACAACTTAGTCTATGCATATTTTTTAAAATTAGAGAAATCATATGAAAACAATATGTGGTATTCTTAGAGGTAACAGGATGACAATGGGTTTCACTTCATACATGATACATTTTTGAAAGTCTGGAATACATACTACTTTTGTACACAGGGGAAAACAGATAAATTGAAAAGAAGAGAAAAAACAAACATGAACTCAGGCATGTGAAATCTACATGCAATATCCAATAAAGAAGCACAGTTATACAATGGCCTCTCAGTCCATTCACAAGACAATACGCAATCCCAAAAGAACATGACCTTGAAACATCAAGAAACAAATATGATGAATCTCACATGTTTTTAGTCACATTAATTCACTTACTTGTTGAGAGGGGAAAATCTCATTGCCTTTAATATTATCACAGAAAAGATTTTCTTCTTTAATTTTAATGTCACTTGTTACAAAAATATTCCTAAGAAAAAGGTATAAAAGGATTGGAGAAGTCTCTGCCAGAACATCTGAATGTAATCTGAAAAAGGAAGTAAATGATATTACAGGTATAAATATAAAATGATTTAGCATGTGAACTCACCTTTTTAGAGTGATTTGCTCTCAATATCTACACAACGATCCCAAGAAAGCAACAAAAATGTGTAGAATAGCTATTCTTGCCTAGCTGTTTATGATAAAATTAAAGACTATCCTTAACAAGTTCACAACTAATAAAATCAAAGTGATAAAATATTATGTCACAGATACATAAAATTAACTAGTGGCAAAGTTTTCTGGTTCTAATATATACAGTCCTTTTCTATCAATATAAGGAAATCATACATTTTCAGAAGTTTGAAAAATAGGCCTAATATTTCAATTAATGAACTTTCTGGAAATGTGGGTCATTTATAGCAAACTCAGCCACGTTTAAAAATAGAGAAAGAGAGTCTTAACTCTTGTATTGTTTCTAATTGTTTTTTCTAAATTGCAGTCAACAGTGCCAACCATTGGCAAAGCTGTAGAATCTGTAGTCGTCCTTCTTTGTGTACGGCACTCCTTCGCCCTTTGCCTTACTAGATGACAAACCCTCCCTCCCTTTTAAGTTTCAGGTCCATCTATTCTCCATAACCTCCATCCCTATAAAATAGGAAAGTAATTCACACTTGAAGATGATCCTTTTCACCACCATGTTCAACTTTGAGGTTATCTTTACCAAGACAATTTTATTCTCCCACTCCTGCAACTCATACCAAACTTTCTCTTTATAAATCATGATGATCTTCAGCACCTTGACAAATGCAACTAGCCCAGGCTGTCACCTCCTGGCTCCATTTCCTTCCCCACCCACCTCAGACTGTGGTCAGTCTTTTCAACGGTGACCCTTCTAGCACATTAGGTTCTGTCATCTCTTTATTTTTTTATCATTAAATAAACATATTTATTATAAATCAGATATAATAAAAACTAAACTGAAGGGATTTTTTGTTTTGTTTTTTTTCAAGACAGGGTCTTGACATGTCATCCAGGTTGGAGTGCAGTGGCATGATCATGGCTCACAGTAACCTTGAAGTTCTGGGCTCAAATGATCCTCCCAACTCAGCCTCCCAAGTAGTTGGAAGGTGCATGCCGCCACACCTGGGTAATTCTTTAATTTTTTTGTAGAGATGGGGTCCTGCTATGTTGCCTAGGCTGAGCTTGATTGAACTCTTGGCCTCAAGTGAGTCTCTTGCCTTGGACTCCTGAAGTGCTGGGATTACAGGCATGAGCCACTATACCCAGTCTAAACTGAAGGTTTTTTAAGATGCCATTCTGTTTGTCATTGTGGTTTTTTTTATTTTTTTTAGCGTATTATGGGGGTACAAGTGTTAAATTGACATATATTGCCCATGCCTCCCTCCCCCCTCGAGTAAGAGCTTCAAGCGTGTCCATCCCCCAAACATTGCACATCTTATTCATTTGGTTGTATATACTCATCCCCTCCTCCCCCCTCCCACCCTCCCGACACCCAATAAATGTTACTCCTATATGTCCACTTAGGTGTTGATCCGTTAATATCATCTCTTTATTTTAAGCAATAATCAATTTGTCTGACCTTGCGTAAATGTCACTGTCCAACCTTTCTCTATCCCTGCCAGAATGACCAATCTCTTATTTATTTTACTCATTCATTCTTTCGTTCATTCAAACCAGCATTTGCTGAATGTCTACTACGTATAAGACAGACACTGTTCTAGACCCTAGGATATAAAGATGAATCAAATGCAGCCTCAGCCACAAGGAGCTGGGCTTTACTATGAATACATGTTAGATGACATCAACTGAGTCATTACTGCTTTCAGCAACACTTTCATTTATCACTAACATCTTCTTGTTCACACTGCCCACCGCAAATGTTATAAATCCTCCACTCTCCACCCCATGCACTCTTATAACCTCCTGGCTCTGCCACCATAGTGTCATCATCACCTGCATTTTCTCTTATTTTCAGTCTCTCCCTCCCTATTGGCTCCATTCCTTCCACCCTCCAAAATTTTTTCCTTAAGTCTTTCCTTCAAGTTTATCCCTGCTTTCCATTTCTCTTTACCACCAAACTTCAAGAGTGGTCTTTGCTTCTTAGGATTTTTCATTTTCATTTTTTCTTTAGCCAATTACAAAATGGTTCCTGGGCTATCATGCCACAAAAGTGGTTCTCTTGAATTCACCAATGGCCTCCTAATCGCCAACTCTAAAATCTCTACTTCGTTTTCACTCTACTCAACCTCCCTGTAGCATTTTTGAGCAACTGCTCTTCCTGACTGTGCACTAGCATTTAATATCACTGACCAGTCCCTCTTTGGTGATACCTTTGCTTCCCTTGGCAATGCACTTCCCTGGACTCTCAGTTCCTGGATAGCTCCCTTTCAATCCCTTTCCTTGGTTCTATCTCGTTTCTGCCCCTTACGTGTAAACAAAATCCAGAGTTCATTTTCAGCCTTCTATCTTTTCTACTAAACACTCGTTCCATGGGAAATATCACTCATTTTCAATATTTTAATGATGACCTCAATGAACAATTTCTAAATCCCTATGTTTACCCTTGACTCTTTCTTGAGAGTCAGCACTAAATAAATAAACCTACTGCCAGCTGATATCCACAAAGGCATCCTGCTGGAAAACCAACTCAAGATATCCCCAATAAAACTGATTTCCTTTCTCCAAAAACTTGTTCCACCTCTCCTGTATCCTTAGTAAATGTCATAGGCTTCCAAGTCAGTTAACATTAGAAATCCCAGTCACTTTTCACTCCTTTCTCTCTCTTATCCCCACAAGTCACATAAAATCCAAGACCTATCTCTTCCTCCTCCAAAATGTCTCTCAAATCTAGCTTGTACCTAGCATCCTTGTACATAGTAAATGCTAAGTCTATATTTGTTTAATTGAATGGAATTATACTTTTAATGTAAATAAACATTATCAGTGCTTTGCCTCAACCAATATTTGCATTTTTGAGCTCATTATCTCTGATTGAGGAATGAAGGGAGTCTTGCTCTGTTGCCCAGGCTGCAGTGCAGTGGTGTGAGCATAGCTCACTGCAGCCTGGAACTCCTGGGCTCAAGTGATCCTCCTACCTGAGCCTCCCAAGTTGCTGGGATTTATAAGTGTGAGCCACTGTGCCTGGCTGGTTTTGTCTTCGTATGTAAAATCTTTCAAGCGTTAACAAGCAGGTGAGGGAGATTCTTGTTGCTTTTTAACTTGTTAAGGCAGCTTGAAATCACACTAATGCTCATTTCTGAGGCTGCTCTTAAACTTTGTTCTTTTAAAGAAAATGGCAGTAAAGATGGGATGGCCTGTAGTTTTATATGGCTTCTACTGGCCTACTTGCAGTTGCCAGTGATCTAACCCCGGAAGCCTCTTCAAGCAAAGGAAAGCCTTCTTCCCCTCACAGTCCCTCTCTCAGACTCAAACTTTAACCCCAACAGGTACAAAAATCCCCAATGCATATTCGTGTTTTCTGGTATAACTGATATTACTTTGGTTAGTATTTGGTATTTTTATTTTAAACTTTCATCCTTATGCCTCTGATATTTTCTTCTGACTCTAGCAAGAAAGTTTCTAACTAGGACATGAGAACTTAGAATGTATGTTCTTATTATAATTCTTGTTAGAAACAGTTTTATATGAACTATCTTAACATGAAATTGAAAATGAATTAATTCTAAGCTTCACACCCAACATCTATATTTTCAGTAAGCAAATTAATATTTTAAAAGAATATTTCTAATTACCTTCTCTGTGTAATAGTCATTGTATTGCTTAAACTAATAACAGATTGTTCATCCTGAATTGGTGAAGCAACAAAATAATCCCAAACTGGTGAGAAAACTTTCTTAGCCAATTCATAGTTACCAAGCTGATAGGCAACCTACAAAAAAAAAGCATGTTAAGCAATATTTTTGTTTATGCAATGCATATTTTAAGCACGAATTCTTATAAGTTCCTATCACACACTAATTTCACATACAGTTGTTCACATTTGCTTTTCTGTTCCATGGTTCCATAGTAATGCAACACTGGCCACTGGCAAGGGAGACAGACACATTTTTAAAATCTCTTTTATTTCTAAATTGCATGGAAATTTGAAACTCTGTAAGGATGTTTCAAATCCTCATAAGCAAAACAAAGATCACATCTAAGCCAAATTAATTTCATTTCCATCTATCTCAGCAGTGCACTCCATTTATTATAGATACTGTTATAATGAACAATCTGTTCCAAGAGAAACAATCAGATTTCCCAAACCCAATATATGAAATATACCTTATTCTTTTCTGGTTCTGACTGACACTTTCAGAGCTTTTGTGCAATAAAAAGTTCACAGCTGGAAAGAGTAAAGAATAAAACAGAGAAGCTTTCCAAGAAGCCATGATACATTTTAAGTTTAACAAATTTTAACATAATGCAAAATAAATGATTTCACTAGTAAAGCTCAGGAGAAAAAAACCATCAGTTTACCTATTTCTTTTGGTAGAGTACATTTCTTTAAAGAGGTTCCTAAAATTCATTCTATTTAACTATGTATATAACAATACAAAATCTCACCAAATGAGTTATGTGCTGCTTCAAATTCTTTATGGAAGCAGATAGGGTATAAATTATAAACAAATTCATTGAATTAAGCATGTAAATGACACATTACTAGAATAGTTTTTCCTCAAGGGAATAACTTACGGGGCCAAAACTTTTCAAATCTGCAAAATGGGTACTTAAGATCAACCAATCAGTAAGCTTTATGAAGTTTCTCCTCTGTGCTAAGCACGGTAGGGAAAGATTCTTCCAAGCTTACAGGTGGTCTCATACTCCATGAAACTGGAATCGAGTTAAAGCATAAAACACATAAAATCCCAGAAAAACTGCAAATAATAATATCATAATTGTGGAGGCTTTGGGAAAGGAGAAATGAAAACTTTAAGGAAAAGGCAGGGCTTAAGTTGAGCTCTAAGAGTAAGGTCTGCACATGTTTAAACAGAATCTGAAAGAGGGCCAAGAGTAGAAATCACCACAGTGTGTTTATAGCTAAAATTGAAAGATATATAAAAATTTAGGAACTGCCATTTTTTCTCCAAAAATGGAGAAGTAAAGAAAACCTATTGTTAGAGAGAATGCAACAAAGCAAACATACAGAGAGAACCAAGGGTATGAGACCTCAAACTGCCTGGACTCTGCAGCCCTCCCAGGGCCTAGCTGCATTACTCCAAGTCACACTGGTCCCGCTACTTGCAATCAGGGTCTTAACCAAAACCATAAGTCAAAATTATCTAAACTAGTTTACTGTTGTGGTAATAAGATTGATAAAAAAGACATTTCAAAGTTAGAAGAGATCACATCTAGCATACAATCTGGCACAAAATAGACATTGAGTAAATTATTCATCTATAACTAGATGAGTGGAGAGAGTGATAATATTCAGTTAGAAGACAAGAGGGAGAAGAAGAAAGAGCTTAAGAAAAGGGAATGATTATCTTTTACCTATAATTATTAATATTTTATAATGTGAATTATCATAGACAAAAGGTAAACCTTTATTAATCAAAGAGATTTATTGACTTCATATATGAAATGGGAAAAATGTATGAACTTCACTTCCCTTTCGTCTGCCACCACTGTGATTGCTGACTTGCCAATACTGATCACAAAGACTGGCTGATCAACACCAACCCAGGAGAGAATTAAAAAAAAAAAAAAATGATAGAGAGAGATGAAAACAGTTAAGGGGAAGAGAAAAGAGCTAAAGAAAAGACAGGGAGCAAAGCGCCGGTTAAAAATAAATAAGAGAGATGAAGGCTCTAAAAGGATTGGCATATGTTAAGTGTACACCATATGACTTCCTGGAACCTGCACAGAGCAGTAGAAAGGCATGGGCTGGTCCAAGTGTCAGGCTTACCATCTGCTATCCAAGTAACCTTGGGTGCATTACTTACTCTCCCTGAGATAGCCTTGCTGGGATATGATGGGATTGGCAGAGGAAGGATTAAATTAATTTCAGTTTCTTCAACTATAAAATGAAAGTAATCATACCACCTCATAGAATTATTGTAATAAATGGAATAATTAATTTTAAATGCCTGGTACATGGTGGTTTTTTTAATAAATGATATTCCCCATTTCCTTATCTCAACAAGCCATTGTACCCACTAACTATTTGATTTGGTGGTTCAATAATAAAATAGAATATGGCATTTGGTCTTATATCCATTTTACAGCTAGGGAAATTGAGACCAATCAATTTGACTGAAATCATAACCTCTAAGGTCAAGATTAGAATCCTGTTCACAGAGTTCTAGTTTTCTACATTCACTTCATATTACCTAGCCATTTTCTACTTAAAAGGAAGAAGAAAAATAAATGAGGCCAAAAAAGAAAATAAAAATAGCTATAGAAGATATATAATTCAGAAAAGTTGCTCAAAAAAATTTCCAGATAGACCAAATTAATATCCTACATTTAGGGAAACATAGTAAAGACACACTTGATTTTATAAATGTTCATAGGATAATGCTGAGTATAACCTAAAATTCCAAAGCCAAGTTAATCATAGGTACTTAGGGAAATATCTCCATACTTTACTATAACATATTTATAATAATATGTTTCAAAGAACAGAATTGTCCTGAAACTGAAAACTAACCATTCTCATGAAAATTAGATTGCAGTTACAAAATAAAGGTATATTAACTTGCTAAAACTTAAAAGCTTAAACTTAAGTTGTAAATTAAGGAAGTTTAAATAAGTGAGGAAGTTTTGTTTTAGCCACTTAACATTATGTGAGAGAAAGCTTATAAATGAACTACAGAACTGCAAATATAGTATCAATAAAGAAACACGGGTCATTACTTCATGACACTTCTCATTATCCCAGCAGTATAGCTTGGACTTAGTTTTATTAACTTTCAATGAAAGTTCTGCCAAATGGAGCCCAAGAGTCAAACCACTCCCTGGAGAAAAATTAGGTCTGAATGAAATATTCAGTTCCTCACAATAACTCTATCACTGCAAATTAGGGAATATATTAGATTCCAAAGACATCAAAATATCAGGAAACCATGAGCCAAAATGACATGCTAAACCAATGGTAGACAAATCCTAGCAATTCTCTCAATTTAATTTTCTTTGAAAAATATGATAATATAAAATGCCACTAAGATTCTAGCTTATAATACTAATCAACTATTAAGAGAAAATTAGCATAATAGAAATATGATAAAAATGGAGACTAGCCATCAGCTCTACAGCCAACAATAGGCTTAAAACTAGATGCTTAAGACCTAGGTCCATGAGTCACTCTTTCTAATGTCTGCTTCACAGGTGACATTTTTCAAAGTCAGGCAACAGCTATTTCAGCAAAAATGTTAATTCATGCATATATGCGTAACTAAAAATAATAATACTATTTATTCAGTGCCTACTGTGTGATAAGTGCTACAGTGAAATATCTGACATGCCTAATTCCATTTAATACTCATGAAACTTTTGGGAGGTAGTTACTATTATTATTCCCACTTCATGGATGAAAATTACTTGTCCAATATCACATGGCTAGTGTGAGGAGCTAGCATTTGAACTTAGGTTTGTCTGTCCCTATTTACCCAGAAATTTCCCTTCTATGAATTTATCCTCAGAAAGTAATCATGGGTCAGGAAAAGATTTAAATATTAAGGTGTGCACAGTGGCTTTGTTTATATTAGCAAAGACTAGAAAGCATCTAAATGTCCAACAATGGAGAATTATGGAGAAATAAACTATGATATATCCATAAGAGTCAATGCCATTAAATATTATATTTTGGAAGAATACTTAATGGAATGGAAAAATGTCAATTATATATTAAATAAAAATATTAGGCTGTAAAATAATATGTATACTATGTTTAAAGTTATATATTATACATAAATTCATATACATATATGTGCATGTATATATAAGTATATATACATACATAAGTGTATATATCTAGACAGCTGGATAAGCAGATAGACACATCAAAAGTAAAAGGATACATCTAGATCAAGGTTTCTCAACCTTGGCACTATTGACATTTTATGCTGGATAAATCTTTGTTATGGGGGGTTAGCTGGTACATTGTAGGGTGTGCATTAGCATCCCTGGCCTCTACTCACTAACCCTATTAGGTTATGACAACAAAAAATTTCTCCAGCTATTGACAAAATTTCCCAGGGTAAAAACTACTATGGTGGATGATAGAAAAACAGATAACATTTATTTTCTTCATTATGCATTTCAATATTTTCCAAAATTTCTAAAATTAATGTGTTACATTTGTAACCCAGGAAAAATATCATTGTAAAAAACTTCACTAATAAGAGAATGAATGATTCATATTTTGAGACTAAATTGTAATAACAGAAAATATGTATTACAGGAGCTTTAGAATGTCTGCTGTGATTTTTTTCACCATCAGAAATTACCTAGTAACTGCTTAACAGAAAACAACACAGTGGAAAAAATTAGCAGAAATCTCTTCTACCTGTGTCAGGAACATCCGAGCAGTAACAGCAGAAAGAGGTGGGTAAATCAGAATTGGTTTAGTTGTTTCCCCAATAGCACCACCAACAAGTTTTCCATTAGAAGAATAAGCAGCAACTGCAAATATGTATTTTTCATTGGTTTCTAAACCTTTCACTTCAAAAATGCTTTTACCATCAGCTGGTATCTATTAACAAAATATATTTCAAGTTAGACTTGGAAACTTAAAACAATGTGACTTAAATATAATTAAGCAAACTTTATATGTAAAATCTTTTTTTTCACTATTGTGACTCAAGTTGAATTAGAGAAATTAACTAAAATAATGACTTCCTATGAGAAAAAAAAACATTTAATTGTCATTACCGAGGCTTTGCTAAAATTTCCTGACATTTAAGGCAACATACCGCTTCTCCTGAATTTGGGAGATGATTATCGTTTAGTCGTACTTTTCCATAACTACGTTCTGCTTTACAACCCAAAATACAGTACCAGGAGACCTGCCAAGGAGAGAGATAAGCCCATCACCTATAGTCTGTTTAAAAGGCATTCTATTCTTTTTACCTCAATGTAGCAAAAGGAATACTTTTCTAGGCTAGGCACAATGACTCACACCTGTAATCCCAGTACTTTGGGAAGCTGAGATGGGACAATTGTTTGAGCCCAGGAGTTTGAGACCTTGGGCCACATTGTAAGACCCCAAGACCCTTTTTTAATTTTAAAAAAAGAATACTTTTCTAAATATAACTGTAAAAATTCAAGTTTAAATCATGAAATCCAAGTATACAAAAATACTGTAGTTTAATCTAAAATATTATTTATTTCATACTAAAATATTATTTATTATTAATTATTGTAACTACTATTAACTAAGCAGTTCCTGTGTGCTAAGTATTATTAGAATATTTACAGATACTTTCTAGTATTCACAACATCCCTATGAGATGGGATTACTGTTGACATTTTGCTTCACAGGAAATGGAGATGCAGAGATAGTAAAGAACTTTACCCAAGATCAAACAGATAGTGGCAGGAGTTGACTCAATCTTGATGGAAAAAGATCAACACTGAAATGAGTTTCATATTTTTGTAATATGCCAAATAGCATGTGGGAAAAGAAGCAAGATACTAACTTGTAGTATTTTTTTTTTTTTTTTTTTTTTTTTACAGAGTCTCGCTTTGTTGCCCAGGCTAGAGTGAGTGCCGTGGCGTCAGCCTAGCTCACAGCAACCTCAAACTCCTGGGCTCAAGTGATCCTTCTGCCTCAGCCTCCCGGGTAGCTGGGACTACAGGCATGCGCCACCATGCCCGGCTAATTTTTATATATATATATCAGTTGGCCAATTAATTTCTTTCTATTTTTATAGTAGAGACGGGGTCTCGCTCTTGCTCAGGCTGGTTTTGAACTCCTGACCTTGAGCAATCCGCCCGCCTCGGCCTCCCAAGAGCTAGGATTACAGGCGTGAGCCACAGCGCCCGGCCATCTTGTAGTATTTTAAATAAAATGTAAAAATATATATGAAAAAGCCTGGAAGAAAATGCCCCTAAATAAGAATACTGGTGGGGTTCAGATAGTAAAATGATGATGAGTAGATGATATGTAATTTTTTTCTCCAGTTTATAAATTTTCTGAAACATAATACTTTGACAATTTTTAAATATAAACCAAACATAAAATGCAAATCCCATAGAAACAACCAAACTTAAAGTTGATTAAATAGTTAAACAATGGTCCTTCCACCAAGATGTCAAAATAATGGAGATTCATGAGAATGATCTGTTCTCACTATAAGGGAAAAGGGAGAGAGTTGATCCCCAAGGAAGCAGCTTTATCAACCAGCCACACTGTTGGGGTTGTGGGTGGTCATCACTGTGGCATTTCCTTTTTCCCAGAGGCAACCCCTAAACTACAAGGGAAGCTGGAAAGAAGGGAAAATATAATTGTCTCTAAAAAGCAAATGCCTCTTACAGCTTCTGCCTACTCCTCTTCCCTCCATGTCCCTCCAGGTCAACAGAAAAATCCTAAGGCTGTCTAACTTACATGAGTGGCTCTCAACCCTGCCTTTGCTTCAGAATCACTTCTTTATTAAAATACGGTTTGTACAGAATCAACCATTTTCTTAAGTTACAGATCCCAAGCCTGCCTAGCTTCAGTGAATTAGAATTTCTGGTCCAAGTATCTGAACCTTTGTAGTGCCAAAGAAAATGTCACAGGTGATTGTGATATACACAACTGACCAAAGAACACTAGTCAAAGGCAAAAAGGACAAAAGGCAAAAATTTTTCATAGGGTGAAAAAAAGGCAAATAGAACGTGTTCTATGACTCAGATCATTATTGCTCCAAGTTATAATATATAAACCCAGAATTGTAAAGGTAAAATTATCTCTAAAAGCATTTTTGTAAGCAGACTTTAAATTTTGATTTTGTTCTATAGATGAAAATGTCTCAGTTTGGACGACTCTAAGAAGCAATGTGTAATTAGAATCTGCATATAAGAGTAGAAATACCATGAACAAATCACTATTAACTTTAGAAGAGTTTATATAAAATGTAAATAACATCAGCACTTTCAAACTATAAAAACAGATTTTAATGAAAGGAATGTCTTAATAAGAGCTTTTGATAAGACAAAAGATGGCTGAAGCGTTAAACAAGAAAACTTCTTCAATCCCATAGCACCATCTAGTGCTGATAAGTAGGTAACAGAAGGTGATGATCTGGCACTCTCCTAATGTATAACATAACTAATTAATGCATAATAAAACTTAATATAATGTGCTACTTAATAAGTCCTAAAACTACAGGTCAAATATAGAACACTTACATATTCCAATTTCCAATAATTATGAAATAAAATAGTCACCAAATTGAAATACATAAATTGAAATACATAAATAAGATTTTGGTTAAATAAACCAAAATGTTTGAATAAAAACAAACAAAAACTCTTAGTAAATCATTCGATCTTAGTTTTGTACTAATTTTCCAAAATAAGTGAAGCTCTTTTCTTAAACGAATTCAAAAAATTCAAAGTTGTACTCTAAAATTGCCAGCAATAGTAATAACACATTTATTACAACACAGAGGTAAGATGAATGTCACTTCTATTTTCCCAATGATAAAGCATCATGAAGATGGTATTATTTCTCACTGATGCTCATCTTCCAATTTTCTGAAGCCCCTCAAAGAATGGAACCACGTTTTACCTTTATAACATATTCACAGTATATAACTTGATTACCTGTGTTGAATAAACTTTACTACATACGTTTCATACAAGGAGTGGAGAGACATCAGTTCATATGCCAAAAATATTATACACATCATCTCATTTAATTTTCATAGTAAACAGAGTTTACAAATGAAAAGGGGAAAAAAAAATCTCTCAGAAAATGTATTTAGCCTTCCTAAGGTCATACTGCTAGTAAAAGGTCGATCTAGAATTTTAGGCCTCAATCTGTCTGACTTCAAAGCCTGTGTTCCTTCCACTATACTAAGTTCATGTAAATTCAAGCATAAGATCCTAAAGAGAATCAAAGATGAAACTTCATTTTTATATAACATCAAAGGGCATGGTGTTGATAACCTAAAAGAAGAAAATGTAATATTTAAAATATAACTTAGATGGAACCAAATTATTGTGAGGAAATGAAATCTCAAGTTATAGTCACATTGAAGCCAAGTTCTAAGGCATCAGGAATGGGAGAAAACCTTATCCTTTAATAAATACACAAAGATTTATGATTTATAATATGGTTGGAATTGCCCTTTGTTTGAATGAAAAGAATCCATAGCTACATGGAAGAATTTTGGGTGGAACCTCTAGATTCATCACCTCCAAATTTCCACACTCTGCTGCCTCATCTTTGTTGTGGCCCTGAGAATAACTTCTATCCTCTTCAAATGTCCGATCCACTTCAAGGGAGGCCATCTCGAGCACACTAGGACTTTAGCATATGACTGTGTCATGGTGACAGATACTTAGAGGGAAATACTTCTCTATTGTTCCTCCTGACTATATATTTGGGTATAGCAATGCTATACACAGCATACCATAAATAGCATAAAGGGCAAAATGTCATGAAGAAACTAAGTATAGGTCAGACAATAGAATACTAATCCAGTGTTCAGCGCTTATAAATAATACTATTCACGTCCTAAAAGCAATAAAATTATCAATCACTATAGTCATAAAAGTACTTATGTTGCTTTGCATGAGGCTAAAATCATAATGGAGACTGTACCATGACATCCGAAATAAATGGAGCAGGTTTGAGTGTCACAGAACAATGAGTTCGGGATAGCAGGATGGGTGGAGGAGGTATTCTGCTTTTCTTTCTTTTTGAACTTTCCAAATATTTCTGATATGAATACAGGGCATTTTGTTCTGCTTCGCTCTTCTCAATTAAAGAATGTGCTTCCTGTAATGAGATGTGAAAATAGAAAAATACATTTCAAGAGCTTGAACTTGTTTATATTTGCAGACATCTGATGGTGTTAAGCAACATTCTTACTATATGCAGTTTCTTGAGGCTCAGAGGTGTGTGTGTGTGCGTGTTTGTGTGTACCAGTTATTGAATGATTTTGCAGAAGTAAAAGATGGCTACTAAATAAAGCTAAGCATGATCACCAATGGCATCACATTTATATGTCTAATATGTTTATCATTATTATTAATACCATATATTAATATGGGGCATTTCATTTTTAAATCAAACCCTCTGAATATCTACCATCATATTTCATTGTTCTTAAAAAGTTCCTAACACAATCAACTGCTTTTATACTGATGAACTATATACCTACCCTTAATTCAGCTTGAGGTGTGCCTCTCAACTAATGAGACTTGGTATATGTGTTTTATGAAATGAATATAATTGAGAATTTCTTACTATCAGCAAGAACAAATAAATAGATTAAAAACACATTCTATGAACTTTAAGGACAGACAGGTGAGGGTTTTTTTAGGGGTTTTTTTGTAAGTTTATTATTATTGTAAATATAGATAAAAACCATTTTTCCATTTCAAAATGTTACATGGGCACAAATTTTTTTGGTTACACAGATCATTTTTGTAATGCTTGAGTCATGTTAATAAGTGTGGCCATCAAGAAGCAAGACATTTGAACACAGGAATAATGATGGAAGAAACTGGAAAAAGTATCCAAAAATTATTTCACACAAAAATGTTAGGCTGAAATGATTTCATAAACAAAATGTTTTAAATCTCAAAGCACTGATAACTCCTATGCCATTTAAACATTTCCAACTACAGAAAGAAATATATGTCTTCTCAAATAATTTTATAAAACTATTATAACTTTAATAAAATCTAAAAATTGACATAGAGCAATCATCTTACTAATATAAATGCAAACATCCTAAATAAAATACTAATAATACATTGACTCTAAAGATATATTGAAGAAATAATGGGCTGTGATCATATTGTCTTTCCCCCAGGAATGCAAGGATAATTTAATATTAGGAAGTATATGAGTATAATTTAATATATCCATAAATCAAGTGAGAAAAAATATGATCACAGTGTTCAATGGCCAAAAAGATATTTGAACATTTTTTAACATTCATTACTGATTTTTTTTAAAAACTCAATAAGCTAGCAAAGCACTTTTTCAGCATTAAAAAATATTAATTTTAGTGAATAGCCACAATGTTACTAATAGAACAGAAATGTCACTCAGTGCTAATAGTGAAGCACTAATAGAATTATCAATAAAATCCTGAAAGAGACAGAATGCCTCTATTCCATTTTATTCTGGAAGTTCTAGTCAATTTAAAAATACAAGAGAAGAAATTCTGGAAATAAGACAACATGTCTGTCTTCCAAATTTAAACACATTTCACTCTGATACAAAAATCTGGGCTGTATCCCCCACAGGAGACATGTTGAGAGTCTGAAGTTTCCATTTGGAAATCTGGACCTTGAGCTCAAAAGGGAAGGTAAGAGTGGATGGAGATAGGATCTGGGTATGCATGAAAGCGATGTTTAAAGCTGAGTGAATACACACCTGCACACACTCTCTGGGGGAGTGGAGATTATAAAACTATAGTGTAATACATTTTTCCCTAAAATAATGAAGCTTGGCCTAAATTGAGAATATCTCATTTTTATTTATTATTGGAAATGGTTGACATTAAGTTCTAAAATCATTTATCTGTGGTGATAAATGTTTTTTTTTTTTTAATTCCAGTTGTTCTGTGCTAGACTTTGGGAAATGTTTCTGCATATGCAGGTTGAGAATCTTAGCCATCTGCAATGTGGGAAGGGATATCTTATGTAGCAACCACATTTCTAGAGCCTGCATTCCAAAGACCTTAGGTATTTATCTCAAAAGCTAATTTATATACATATAATTTATATGATGCATTACCTATGTACATGACTTTCCACATCCTCTAAACAATGAGTGTTTTGGTGGCAAGAACAGTGCTTTATTTATCTCTTTAGGTTCAACCAATGTGTTTTCAATGAAAGAAATAAAATTATGACAGCAGTGATCTTTAATGCATTTTAAGAGAACATGTTTAAAATGTTACTAGGTATTGATCAATTTTAACTTTAGACCCCTAATTCAGATCCCATGGTCCAATTTGAAATAGGCTGACAGAAGTATTAAAGTTTTCAGTGAAAGGTAACAAAAGAAAAGTCTATAACAAAGTCCTTGGTTTAAGTAAATCAGATAAATTCTATAACAGAACTCAAGGCAAATCCTAAGGCTAATTAGAATCCTAACTTAGTGAGCCAAGTCATTGAGCTGCTAATGAGATTCCATTTTTTAAGAGGGTTCCTCAACTAGAAAGGAGGAAATAATATCAAAAAGAAGCCCCCAAAAATCAGAAAGGAAGAATTCTCATTAAACCAACTCAACTCAATTGTGAAAAGTGTTATCAATATGCACTTGAGTGTTGTCTATTAACAGCAATGCTCTAGTATTATTACAATTGCAAAATCCAGACAACCATTATCTAATAGAAGATCAAGAAGAAGCAGGTTTTACATGACGTATCAGATAATGGAAAATATATACTCACACCCTCCACTGTCTAGCACAGTGCCTGGCAAAATAGAATAAGAATTGAAGTTGAAAGAAGAATAAGCCTTTACCTATCTCAGGAAAAGATCAAGAAAACTCAATGGAAAGGGAATTCTATACCAATTCACAATAGAAATAAGTTCTGAATATTCTTTTAATGGTGATTTGTGCTGCAATGTGCCACTAACAACAGTACTGAAATCCAAAGTATTTTTGTCTGAATGTAAATTTCTCTGCCTATAGTTTCCATTAGAGAAAATAAGATCTGCCTTTCTTCAGAAGTTACACAATGCTTATGAGGACAGATTGATGTTAAATACATTTGACACAGGCTTGACACCCACAATGCAGTGAAAGACTAATGGAAAGATTAATGTAATCTTGAGGCATGATTAAGGCATACATAAACAACTATCACAAGACTGGAATGATAAAGTGCCGTACTTACTACTTATCTAATAGACCTCCCTGAGGTATACATTCTGGGTTCTCAACATTATAATATACATAGCAGAAGAAAATAAAAAGTAGATTAACTCATATCTAAGAATACTGGGAAGGAATCTTGTTGAAAACAAAATATACAGTTTTGTTTTCAAAATATATTTTAAACAAATATACAACATAGGACAAATTTAAGAGAAAACAGAAAGAAATGCAGAGTCTGATAGAGAAAATATATATATAAAGCACCAAAAAAGTTGAAATAGAATGTTCCAGAGCACTAAAAGTGAAAGAGTAGTTCGGGTATGACACAACAGAATGTTCCAGAGTGCTAAAAGTGAAAGAATAATAATAATAATGGCTATCATTTATTGACTGCTTACTCTGTTCCAAATACTAAGCATTTTATACACATCATTGTATTAACTCTTCCTAAGAACCCCCATTTTAAAGATGAAGAAATTAAAATTTAAGAGAACATAAATGACTTAGGTCATACAGCTAATCAGTGGCAGACACAGAACCTTAACCCAAGACCCTTATAGTCTTAACCACTGTGCTATTTTGTCTCAATACAAAGCTAAGTTAAAAGAGGCATGAAAAGGCAACCTAGATGAAATTTCCTATGTAATACCCTTAAAATATGTAAAAGGTAAAAATATATATATATCTATGTAACAAAACTTCACTTGTACCGCCTAAATATATTGAAATTATATATATATATATATATATATATATGTATATTCCTGCCTTTACCAACTGAAATGTAAATATGCTAAAATCTTCTGCCTGCAGTTTGAAGCCTGGGGATGAAAACATGACCTCACAGGAAGGGATCAGAATTAGAAAGAGTTTGCTCTTTTATATGGAAAAATTAAGCACAGAACAATTAAAAAGAGCTGAGATCTCTGCAAAAAAAAAAATAGTTTATATATATTCTTCCCCCTCCACAAAAAAAGCAAACAGAATTAATTTGACTGAAATGCTACAAACCAGGAAAAATAATTAAATCTAATTATTGCTGACGTAGTTAATAGACTGGTTTAGGGGACATCAAGATGTAAATTCAGGAAATATTAAAGCCAGAAGTTATTAGAATTTCTAGTAGCCCTGGGCTTCTTTATTAGTTCTGGTTCCAAAATGGGACCATACAATTAGATTCTGCATCGATTACAAAAAAATAATCTGCTAAACTCTAATGCTCCTTTGCTTAGACTTGAGGCACTGTTAGTGGAATTTGGAAGTGCTAAAATCATCTCAACTACAGATTTCCTTAGGTTCCAACAAACCTAGGTGCAACCATTAGGTTTCTTTGCAACAGAAACAACTAGAACATCAGGCTTCAACCAAAGTAACCCCAGAGAGGTAGAAGAGTCTGCATCTGATCAGGACACGTGCATTGAATGAATGAATTACCAAATTTTCTTTCCCTAAAGAAGACAAACAAATTTCTTTTCCTTGTCAGTCATTTTCTACACTGGGATGTATAAAACTGTCACAGTCTGTTTATCCCTCTACTGAAGATACAGATTCCAAGGAGGGAACAGACAACCGGCCTAGTGGGCATCACTAGTCTTCCTCCTGAGGACTAGTATCACCTGATTATATTTAATGGGGAAGGAAAAATTCCTCAAAAGGTGTCGCTTGGAAGGGAAAATGGATGTTGTACATAAACAACAGTAATCAATACTGCCCTTGAAACTCTAGGTACTTGTATTGAGGACCATTTCTGCCTCTTTCCAATAAGAAACTTCATCTGCAAAGTTGCTGAATATTCAGCCCATGGACTCGTAAGTGGACTAAGAGCAACGTTATGATGACTACTATGACGACTTTGATCTTCAGAAGATCAAAGCCATCTAGTATTGGTTCTAGGTGCAATCCATTTAAAGTAAACCTATGGTATAATGTGTAAAGAGTCTAAATGGACTTCCAGAGGTCAAATAATCAAGACAGGAAAATGGAAAAACTAAACAGCATAATAAAAAAAAAAAAAAGCCAGTCATCTCATTTGGAAAGCTAGCAAGCTATTATCAAAGGTTTGTCCCTCATTCATAGCAGCAAGTTGGTTCATTTTAGTTTATTAGAAATAAATAGACATTTGATTAGATTTTTTGAATCCACAGAGTCGGGAAATTTTTAAAAACTTGAACAGAGTATGAATTACTTAAGAGTTCTGAAAAGATCCAGGCTTTTCAAACCTTTTTATGACATCAGGTGACACATCAATTACTGATTTGGGAATAATTTTATTACCAGATCATGATATTGTAAAACATTCTGTAATACACCCCAGTTGAAAATGACTGCCAAGGGAAAGAAATTTATTTGTCTTCTTTAAAGAAAGAAAGTTTGGCAATTATTTGAGCTATAATATCACTGTTTAGGAGAGTACCCTGAGGACTGATCATTAAGCCTTAACACTTGGATACAAACAACCACTGAGGAGCAGAGGTGGCTACAGAAGATTTCAGGAAAATAAATATTCAACATAGTCCTAGCTGGTGAAAATCCTAGTAGAGGATACCCATAAAAAGTAGAACTTCTAAATGTTTCTCATGAGTCTACCCTAACAGGACATTATACTCATAATTTTTTTGAAGTCAAAATAGTTTCACTTTTTAAAAAATAGAAGAAAAAGATATGCAATGGAAACACGAGACTTCCCACGTCTCCAGAATGCCTCCAGTCTCGGTGGTAGATAGGTAGAGACATACAAGCGGATGGGCATGCTATGGTAGAATAAAGACAAGATTCAGTCATAATAAAACAATGAGAAAACTTCAGGGGTTTTACTCTCTTTGGGCTTTGAGAGGACCCGAGATTAGTCCTGAGAGCAATATCTTTTTTATGTCTTGTGATTCATATACTTTTTTATTCCAAAATATTAAGGGAGTACAAATATTTTTGGTTACATGGATCACTTTTATAATGCTTGAGTCATCACTATAGGTGTGGCCATCACCCAAATAGTGTTCATTGTACCGGTTAGGGAGGTTTCTGCCCCTCCCCTCCTCCCCCTTCCCTCCTACTTGATTTCCACTGACTTTTACTTCCCTCTGTGCACATGTGTGCTCATCGGTTAGTTCCAATTTAATAGTGAGTACATGTGGTGCTTGTTTTTCTATTTTTTAGATACTTCACTTACGATAATGGTCTCTAGTTCCATCCAAATTATTGCAAAAGGCATTAATTTATCCTTCTTCAAGCTGAGTAGCAGTCTATGGTATACATATACACACTTTGTTAATCCACTTGTGAATTGATGGACATTGGGTTAATACCACAGCTTTGCAGTTGTGAATTGTGCTGCAATAAACATTCGAGTGCAGGTATCTTTTTGATAAAAATGACTTCTTTTCCTTTGAGTAATTACCCAGTAGTGAGATTGCTGGATCAAATGGTAGTTCTACTTTTAGTTCCTTGAGGAATCTCCATACTGTTTTCCATAAACATTGTAATAATGTGCAGTCCCACCAACAGTGTATAAGCATTCCTTTCTCTCTGCATTCATGCCAGCATCTATTGTTTGTGGACTTTTTAATAAAAGCCATTCTAACTGGAGTAAGGTGATATCTCATTGTGGTTTTAATTTGTATTTCCCTGATGATTAGTGACACTCAGCATTTTCATGTTTATTGGCCATTTGTCTTATGTTCTCTTAAAAAACTTCTGTTCATGTGTTGTGCCTACTTTTTAATGGGGTCATTTGTTTTTGGTTTTTTTTCTTGCTGATTTGCTTGAGTTCTTTGTAGATTCTGGATATTAGCCCTTTATTGGGGCTTCTCCCCAGTCCAACCATCCACCCTCACCCTCTATTGATGGCAGATATTTTTGTCTCCTATTTTATCAGATTATTGAAATAAGAAGGCATCAACTCAACTCTCTGCCTCCACACCAACAAACTTTTTATATCTACATCTGTCCTCCCTCCTTTCTATATTAAAGCATGAGATGTGCTTCCACATTCTATTGAAGATGAATCCTTTTAGTCTCATCCTCTTCCCTCTTCTATAGGACCTGGCAATATGCATTAGCCTCTCCCTCTTACGTAAGATTTGCAATTTCTCTCTTTGTTCTGACTCTTCATTTTTAGCATACTAATGTGCTAAATTTTCTCTCTTAAACACCTCTTAACTTTGTATACCACCTAGCTTTGACCTACTTTTTTCCTTCTTTGATTAGCCAAGCCACTTGTAGCATTATTCTCTACATCTTCATATGCTATTCACTTAGCCAATGCAATCAACTATTTTGGGGGCAAATGTAGGGGCAAAAAGAAAGATCCCATAATTTGAAACATGATTGTTGTTGGATAGTTAACTCTAAAATCAACATAAAATGAACCAGCAAGAAAACAAAACAATTACCAGGCCCGGGTAAGACCTGATTAAAGATATCAACAAGAGGATTGGTCCATAAATTAGCAGTATCCATCTGAAGGAGCAGGTACCTTAGCCAATTGGGCTTTAAGCATTTTAATTCCATATTAAGGAATGCATTAGGATGGGACAGTGTCACTCCAATTCTATAATTTTCCTTATTTTGAGTCCTTCTGATTTTATTTAGTTTCCAAGGTAGGTTGCATGGGGTCCCCACAGATACTATTCCATTTCAGGAGCATTCAGGACTAGAGGTGCAGATTAATTCCCCTGCTCAGGCCGGACTACACAAGTTCATAATTGATGTTTAGAGCAAAACATTTTTAACAAAGGGAAATAAATCATCCATTTTAACAGAAGTTGTATTTCGGCACTAAAAGAAGAAATAAAATATTGTTACCATCAAAAACTTCCATGAAGATGTAGAGTGTGCATCCTTTTCAAATATTAAAAGAGCTTTCTCCATTAAGTAAATAGCTTTGGATAGTTTATTCTTCTTTATTTTATTCATTACACTCAATTCTGCAAAAGCAAATAAATATTTTACCACAAGGGCAAGATAAAAACTATCTTTCAAATTTTTTTAAAATACCGGTTATCTCAATTTTAATTACCTGTAAAACAATTACTGCTTCCAGATCGTTTTAATTTTTCTTGACCTTTGGTTGGAATGTTTTTACTAACAGCTGGAGTCTGCAAAACTGAAAAAGAAGAAGACAATCATCACAATTAGGTTTGTGTCTGACACAGGAAGTATTTTTTAAACATTAAAGAGCAACTATTTGTAAAATTTTTGATACTCTATCATATATCTTTTTCATTAATAAATAAAATTTCAAACATAAATCTACTATGATGCAGTTTTATTATCAAATCCTCTTTTGTTTGCTATAGTATATCTTAGGATATAAGAATTTCCAAATTATAAAATATTTGCTTTTCTATTTCATCTTAAATAAAATCATCTTGAAGATTGATAAATAGGGTCCAACCTACTTTTTTTCACTTTAGCTGATATAATATAGATGGCAAGTCCTAATACCAATAAGCTGTCAAGACTCTGCCCTCAGCCCTTTCTAGAGAAGCTATTTCATCCATAGTCTTTGCAAGAGCTCTGGCTACCACATGGCTACCACTCTCCCCTATGTGTGGCCAATGAGATGAAATCTCAAGATTTTCAACTAAAACATGAACTATTCCAGTTGTTGATACTGGTATACAGTTGGGACTGGTATACAATTGGGACTGATCATCATGGTGGTCCACTAAAGAGAGAAACCAGGATAAAGGACAAAAAGTAAAGCTATGATAGCATAGGGAGATGAAAACTGTAGTACTGATTCTTGATTTTCAGGTGTGGTCCTCAAGATGTAACAGAGGTAAAGGCCTGAAAAAGAGTAAAATGTTTTACAAAATGTCTCTTTAAACCCGCTCCCCTCCACTCTTCTTGGGAATTAAAACCTTCAGCCCTATCCGAGGTCAGTAATCATAAGGGCAGAGGAATGTTCTTTGTTTCTAGCATCTTAAACCATAGGAGATGGCTCAAGGGAACAGAGGTCACAGAGATCATCTTCACTGGAGATGCTATAGTCGAACAGCAACAGGCTGAAGCCGAAACCCCCTTTTAAAAGCTCTGTATTTCTGCTAAAATGAAGGATGATGATTGTTTAAACTGAGAGTCTACTATCCTCCTCATTTGCGGAAAATTAATAAACTTCTCTTTCCTTTTCTTCAAACTGCTTGTCTTCATTTGTTTGGCTGGCCACGGGAACAAGTAATGATTTTGGTAACAAAGAGGCCTGGTAATATTTTGTTTCTGTCCTTGGGGGTATGTGAAGGTGACTATAGAAACATTACAATATATCCCTTTTACCAAGTTTTAATTATTTATGCTAATGCATGTGAGTGACCATGGGATGGCAATTGAGAAAAAGATGCCAGCAGACATCATTAAAAGATGTGAGGGTTCTTTAATGGTAAAGGGTAAGGAAACTTATCTGCATGGAGATAGCAAGGCAAAGCAGAAAATAATGCATCATTTGTTCAGTACCTAGCACTTTGTAAATGCTACATAACTCTCCTGATTCTAATCATTGGAGATAAGAAGGATGAGACTGCAAGAAATCTCTGAATGCCAGATACAGATGAGTCATAGTTGATGTCTTGATCATCAACAAGCAGCCTTACAAGGGTTCTTGAATAAGAATGCCAAAAGCAGTTTGTAGAGAACAATAGTCTAGCAGCAACATACAAGAGTAAAGAAAAATGGGGGGAACAAAGTGATAATCTGCTTTAGGGTGGCAGTTTAATAAAGCAGAGGGAAAAAATTCAAGGAGATCCAGGGACACTGCAAAATAAGAATAACTAATTCCATTTAAATCTGAACTCAAGTCTAACATCAATATCTTTAAGTGCTCTATAATCAAAACTCATTTGGTCTTCAAAGATTCGTGGATGGCAATAGAGAATGAGCTATTTAGTAACTCCATGAGTAAATAAGACCCTACTCCTCTATTAAAGAAGATAATACAGCTACCAAGTGAGAATAATGGGCTAGCTTCTTAAAGAAAACCTGACCCCAAAATTCTATTTCTATATTTTTTCAAATCTTTACATGTTTAAATTTATTATCGTAAAAGTAATTATTATGTTTTTATTTTTTTGCTCATTATACATACTTGTCTTTACTGATAATATGAACATCAATGTTATTTTGTTTTCTATTTTGTTCATATATCACATAAATCAGTGTAACCCAAAGCAGGATTTAGAATTATATGTCATAGCAAAATTCACCAGATATTTAAATTTTTTTTTTTATTTCAGAGTATTATGAAGGTACAAATGCTTTGGTTACATAAATTGGCTTTGCACTGCCTGAGTCTGAGCTACAAGTGTGTCCATCCCCCAGACAGCATACAATGCATATGTTAAGGGTGAATGTACCTACCCCCTCCTGCTGTTCTTCCACCTGCCCAACACCCTATGAATGTTACTTCCTATATGTGCACATTAGTGTTGATAAAGCAGGCACAAACATACACTTGGGAAAAGAATCCCTATTCAATAAATGGTACTGGGAAAATTGGATAGCCACATGTAGAAGACTGAAACAGATACGCACTTCTCACCCCTCAACAAAAATCCACTCACGATAGATAACAGACTTAAACCTAAGGTAAAAAAACTATAAGATTCTAAAAGAAAATGTTGGAAAAACTCTTATAGACATCAGCCTAGGCAAAGAATTCATGAAGAAGACACCAAAAGCAACCACAGCAAAAACAGAAATACAGAAATGGGACCTGATCAAATTAAAAAGCTTTTACACAGCCAAGAAAACTATCATTACAGTGAACAGACAACCTACAGAATGAGAGAAAATATTTGCATGCTATACATTCAGTAGAGAGCTGATAACTAGAATCTATATATTACTTAGAAAAATCAGCAAGAAAAAATCAAACAACTCCATTAAAAAGTGGGCAAAGGACATGAACAGAAACTTTTCAAAAGAAGATAGACTTATGGCCAACAAACACACAAAAAAATGCTCAATATTTCTAATCATCAAACCAAAACCACAATGAGATATCACTTAATGCCAGTGAGAACAGCTTTATCAAAAAGTCCCAAAACAACAAACGTTGGTGTGGATGCAGAGAGAGAGGAACATTCATACCATGCTTGCATAGACTGCAAACTATGGAAAGGAACATGGAGATACCATACCTCAAAGAACTAAAAGTAGAACTACCATTTGATCCAGCAATCCCACTACTGGGTATCTACCCATAGGAAAAACAGATATTCTATTAAAAAGACATCTGCACTCGAATGTTTATAGCAGCACCATTCATAATTGTAAAGCTGTGGAAACAACCCAAGTGTCCATCAATACATGAGTGGATTAATAAAATGTGGTATAGTTCACCAAAAAATGGTGAACTACCTATTGTATCATCCTGGATGGAGTTGGAGCCCATTCTTCTAAGTAAAGTACCACAAGAATGGAAAAACAAACACCACATGTACTCACCATTAAATTGGCACTTATCTATTGATATTTTGAATTACATGAGCCAATCTAAGCCAATCTTTTCAGCCCAAAGAATAGTCGAGGTTATTGTTCTAAGCAACCTCATTTATATGTTATAAAACTTTACCAAGATTTCAACTTATAACATGATGACATAGAAATATTTTATTTATTATATGCTTCCCTTCATACCCAGCAGATTATAAGAGAAACAATTTTTGAAACTACGTAAATTTTTAAAATAAAATGTAAAAGGATAAAACTGTAAAAGGATAAAAGGATAAAAAATGAAATTTTACATAAACAGGATGCAAATACAAATAAGTGGTCCTAAATATATATCAAATTGAAAACATAACCATAAGAAAATAGAATTAATTCAAGTAAATTTGGACTCAGTTCTCTGATGTGTGGTATTTTCTAAAGACTAAATGAATTACAAAGAAATCCTTAATTTACTTAGTACGCTTGCTACTAAGAGTAGTATTGGTTTAATAATTCTGAAAATACTTTGTTAACATGCTAGGACAAAACAAATGAGTAATTATATTGATATTGTTGGGAACCAGAATTCTCAATATGGGAGAAGGACACTACAAAAATGAAATGAAGAAGATGAGGAAGAATCCTTTAGTGTTGGACTTGGAGATATCAAAATGAACTTGTGATTTAAATGCACGTGTGTGTGTGTGTGTGTGTGTGTGTTTTAGCTCTTTATACTAAAAGGAACTAGTTGACTTCCTAATAGCAAGAAGCATTCCTAGCTCACAGATCTTGGTTTCTAAATACCATTCCCTACTAAAATGAACCAGGATTCTTTGGGAAAATAGCTGATTCCAGGTCTGGGGTACAGAAAGTCTAAGATAAGTCTAGAACATTTTGCTGTGCAGAAAGCAAGAAATTTCTGAAATTATAATAGGCCAACAAACACACAAAAAGAACATAGGATCTTGTTCAAAGTGCCTTCTTCCCACTAGCAAAATTTATGACTTTGAACATTAGAAAGAACAATTATGGTAACTGGTTTTAAAAGATTTATTTAAAAAGTGATCTGATCCATAGCATTACTCAAAAAATTAAAAGGGACAAAGTAGAGGCAGCTCTTCTTCACAAAATAATATTAGCTAATAAATGTAGCAGGAATAACTCAATTAGAAAATCATCATGGTACTCCTACACTGCTGGTGGGACTGCAAACTAGTTCAACCTTCGTGGAAAGCAATATGGAGATACCTTAAAGCGATACAAGTAGATCTACCATTGATCCAGCAATCCCACTACTGGGCATCTACCCAAAAAAATCAAATGACACTCTATAATAAAGACACCTGCATTCGAATGTTTTTAGCAGCACAATTCACAATCACAAAGTTGTGGGAACAACCCAAGTGCCCATCAATACATGAGTAGATTAATAAAATGTGGTATATGTATACCATAGAGTACTATTCAGCTTTAAGAAACAATGGTGATATAGCACCTCTTGTATTTTCATGGATAGAGTTGGAGACCATTCTACTAAGTGAAGTATCCTAAGAATGGAAAAACAAGCACCACATGCACTCACCAGCAAATTGGTATTAACTGATCAACACCTCAGTGGACATACAGGAATAACATTTATCAGGTGTCGGGCAGGTGGGAGGGGGAGGAGGGAATGGTGTTAATAATGAGTGAGATGTGCACCATCTAGGGGATGGTCATGCTTGAAGCTCTGACTCAGTGAGGGAAGGGGGCATGGGCAATATACATAACCTTAACATTTGTACCCCCATAATATACTGAAATAAAAAAATAAAAAAGAAAAAGAAAATTAAAAAAAGAAAGTCATCATGTACAACCATTGTAATAATTGATCCAGGAAGAATCACCAGTGCAGGCCAAAACTACTGGGCGAAAATCTGTTGGGGCACAGGATATTCATTCCAACAACAGCAACCAACAACACCAGTTATTTTTTCACTGCAAAAGGGGTGAAGGACCTTTACAAGGAGAGATCTGGCAGATATCAGCTTAGCAAAATAATAGCATTTTGCTTCATCAATGATAGAACAAATCGACAGTATGTACCGTCTAATGTGATACAATGGTATCTACAGAATCACCGACATAATCATGAAAAAACTACCAGGAAAATTAAGATTATGGAACATGTCTTCAAAAGTATCAATGTCATGAAAAAAAAAGTTGGAGGAATTATTCTAGATTAAAGAAGAACATGGCAACCAAATGCAATAAATGATCCTTGGTTAGATCCTTGGTCATTTAAAATAGAATCTATTTTCCCCAAAAAGGATATTTGGGAACAATTATAGCAATTTTTAAATGGACTGTATAATATCATATGTTCTCACTCATATGTGGGACCTAAAACAATTGATCTCATGGAGGTAGAGAGTACACTGGTGGTTACCAGAGGCTGGGAAGGGCATGGTGGGGTGGGAAAAGGGAGGCTGATTAATCAGTACAAACATATAGTTAGATAGAAGAAATAAGTTTTATTGTTTGACAGCACAGTAGGGTGACTATAGTTAATAATAATTTATTGTATATTTTAAAATAGCTACAAGAGAAGATTTGAAATTTTCCCAACACAAAGAAATGATAAATGTTTGAAGTGATGGATATCCTAATTATCCTGGCTTAATTATTATACATTATAATATGTGTTCAAATATCCCATGTATCCCATAAATATATACAACTATTATATATCAATAAAAAATATAAAACTATAAAACATTTAGAAGAAAACATAGGAGAAAATCTTCATGATCTGGGCTTAGGCAAGGAGTTCTTAGGAATGACACCAAAAGCACAATATGGAAAAGTGAATAAATGATAAATTGGATGCTTAAAATATTGGCTATAAAATCAGCAATATTATTGTATCAAGGTTACATTTCTTGAGAGTGATAATGGTTATATTAGAGAACATCCCTGTTATAAGGCAATAAATGCTAAAAGTTTTTAGGGATGAAATATCATCATGCCTGCAACTTCTCAGTATATATGCATGTGTCTGTATATGCATGTATTATACACTATTATATGTGTATATACTTTGTAGATTCCTTTGCATTTTCAAGGTGGCAAATCATATCGTCTGGAAGAAACAGTTTTGTTTCTTCTCCAATCCTGGTACCATCACTGTAGTCTCTACCTCCATGAGATCAACATTTTTTGCTCCCACATACGGGTCAGAAAATGCAGTATTATACAGCCAATTTTCAAACTGCCAGGAGTAACTTGGCTTTGTCAAAATTTAATCTCAAATAGACATAATAATGTTAAATCTTATTTTGAAACTCAGGTGTGTTATTTGTATGCACACTAGTGTTATTATTGGCATCTTTTTAAAAATGTTTTGACCTCTTTACCTCATAATGAGGCAATCACAACCTATAACTTAGATCCAATTCATTTGTCCTGTGACGCTGCTGTCAGAGACACCTTTCTCAATTTTTCAATAGCTTCCAGTATTACGTATAAACCCCTTAGCCCTTCAGTCACTGTGATCTACCTCTCTGGGCTCACCCGCTATCATTTCTCCACATGTACTCTTTGTTCCAGCCATAAGATAATTCCAGGAGTTCCTAAGCTGCACCGTAGTTGCCTCCTTCCACCTTGCTAAATGCTATTTTCTCTATCTGAAATGACTGCCTCTTTTTCTCCCTTCTTCATAAAAATAATTTTTACTAGCTTTCTGGTCAACTGTCATCTCTCCCAGGAAGTCATCCCTGACTTTCTTGTCTGATACAGATATTTCTTAGTGCCCATGACACTCCAAGCCTACCTCTATTACAACACTTATTAACCTCAACTGTTACAGCTGGCTTACTAATCTAGAAGCTCAAAAGTAGAAGCTGTCTTATTTGTACCAAGCCTAATATAGTGCCTGGATCTTGGTAGGCACTCAATAAATGTGTGCTGAATTGCCTTAACAAAATATCATTAATTTACTATAACTCAAACAATTAATTAAACTTCTTTTAGAAGTTTGCTAACTGATTTGATATGCAAGATGTAAAGCAATAATAAAAGTTATCTATACTGATATTAATCAGGGAAGTAAAAAAAATAAAATAATGAAATTTATCTGAAAAACAGTCTATAAGAAATCAATTTACAAATTATTAATAAATTGACTCTATACTAGAACTTGGCTTAAAATTGATTCAGAACAGACATCTGCTTTGATGACCACTACCTTGCAATTTGCCAAGAAGCGTAACAGCTATTCGGTGCTGAGCCTGAATTAGTTCAAGATGCCAGTCCATCATTAGACTACTTGCTGTGAGTTGTTTGTAAGTGCCTCCATCTTCATCATTGGTGCGCTTTGTTCCAATAGAATTGAAGTAAAAGTAAAAAGAAATACAGTTATCAAAACACACTAAAAATAGCTGCATCCTATTATCGCTCAAGTTATCATCATTTTATTGGTAACCATTAAATTCTGCTCACTTAGCCCTTTTTAATTGGTTACATGCTAATAGATAATTCATCAGTGTCCTCTTCTTTGACAAATTCAAAGACTCCTCATTTTCCTTGATTCCTTATGGGAAGAGAGAAATATATTTCTGGCCTACAAGGGAAAAGCCATCACAAATCATACTTTACTTCCCTACTTTCAAGGCCAGCCCTATTCCTAGTTAAGTAAAATTTCAATCTAATGCAAGACTTTCCCCATTCTTACCTTGACAAAGCAGTGGTCAATTACTGATAATCCATTTGGCAAAGTAGTTAACATGCAATTTAAATTCATTCTACCAATTGTTTTGTCAAGAAGTTCATAAGCAAGAAACAATTGTTCCTCAGATTTTTTCTAAAATAGTTTTATAAACAAAAAAGAAAAAGAAAATTTAAGGGGAACAACATTTCCAAACCCTTTTTAACAATAATTCAAATCCAAATAACAGAAATTTAAATAGTCTCTCCAACATCAATAATGTTGTTTCCTCACTAAATGTATTTCTCTTTGACTACATGTGGAATACTATCAATAAGGGTGAAAATAATAAATCAGTTTCACCATTTTTACAAATATAAATTAAACTTTTCAAACATTTATATAACTTCCAAATGTTCTGTAAAAATTCCGACTATACCAAATGTACAGATAGAGTTCATAAAATTTGCCATTTTTACAAACTTAATTTGAAAAGTTAATCTTTTTTAAAAAATGTTTAGAATCTCAGAGCTGGAAATTTAAACTTAGAGCCCATCAAACCCAGTAGTTTACATCATGATTTTCAAAATCTAAACATTTTTTAATGTAATTATTCTCACAGAGAGACAAATATAGAAAATAATATAAAGAGCAACAAGCTTTGTTCAAACTTTCAAATTTCCATATTTTTTCCAGAATTTTTTTTAGGAAGCAAAGCATACACACACATACATATACTTGAAATCCCCTATATAACTCTCCACCGTGCCATTCCTATTCTCTGTCCCGAGAGGTAGCAACTGTCCTTGAATTTGGCTTTACCAATCTTTTGCATGTTTTTAAACTTTAACTACATGTGTATGTGTTCTTAACCATATGCAATTTTTTTTTGAGACAAGGTCTCTGTCACCCAGGCTGGAGTGCAGTGGTGTTATTATAGCTCACTGCAACCTCAAATTCCTGGGCTCAAGTGATCCTCCCACCTCAGCCTCCCAAAATGCTAAGATTATAGGCATGAACCACTGCACCTGGCCAACCATGTGCAATATTGCTTTGCATATGTTTTAAATCTCTCTTGTAAAATTCTGCAGACTGCTTCTTTCACTCAACCATATGTTGTTGAAACTTAGTGCTGGTGTATGTAACTCAATGAGTCAATGAAGGTTTGGTTATGAGCACAGAACTACTCTACATATACCAAGCAGAAAGGGATTTAATACACAGAATTAGAGGTGTCCATCACTATTGGAAAGCATGGGAAAACAAAGATCAAGCTGCAAGTGACAGTTTTTCTTCAAACTATTCTCAAGAGTTTGCTCAGAAGCCTCTGTGAATCTAAGAATCTAGGAGGCAGCTGACAACAACCTCAAGCACCTACTACACTGAAGCAGGTGAACTACAAGAGCTTGCTCAGCATGGCTGATAAATATACATCTTCCATCTGCCACTGCAGAGTAAGAACTCTTTCTTCTCTTACACATTATAGATTTATGCAAATTACCCTCAGTGGAAGACTAACCTAAAACTATATGGAAATATGGAAAAGAGATGCTGGAACTACATTTAAATGGTTGACTTCAATAGGTGACTACTGAAGGGGATTTCAATGATGCCAAGCTGATTCTAGTGCACACCTGCTCTAGTTCACTGGTCCTCACAGCTACGATAAATGGTGTTACTCTGAGGAATATGTCACAATATATTTGTCCATTCTTCTGCTGATGGATATTTAATTACTATTACTAAATATGCTGCAACATATTGTACTTGTCTGTGAATAAACACAAAGTTGATACTTCCTTTACAGTCATTATATCTTATTTCTGCTTCCTTTTTTTATTCATCTGTCTAAGGCCTCCAGGTTCTTCTAAGTCAAGAGGTCTTAGACACATGAACAGATGAACAAAAGAATGATAGATATTTTTATGTAGTCATATCCATATAAAGGGACTGCTTTTAATCTTTTACCATAGGTATAGCATTCATTGAAGGTCTTCAGATGATACTCTTTATTGGAAGTTCTATCCCATTCCTAACTACTAAAAGTTATTTTTTAAAAGAGTGATTGTTTTCAAAAGGATGATGGTTGTTGAATTTTGTCAAATGCTTTTGTGGCATCTTTTTGTCTATGTTTTTTTTCTTTTCATCTGCTAATATGATATATTCCATTATAGATTTCTAATGTTAAGGCATCCCTGCATTCCTGGAATATACACTACATTATACAATATATATGCTGTATAATATACACTATATGTGTATATGTATATATATATATATATATATATCTCAATAGCATAAAACCCTCCATTCAAGAATCAATGTTCAGGGAGGATCCCAAACAACTCAAGTAGCATAAATTCAAATAACAAAACTACTTGAGGGAAGGTCCAAGGTTATAAATCATTAGGGGAGTGTTTCTCCCATCCACTCTCCTTCTTAGTACCCAAGTGGAGATAGCTCCCTATGTAAATAGGCAGATATTTTTCTAATCCACTTTTGTAGTCTTTTGTAGGTTCTAACTTTGTGTGGAAGTCTCAGTTCCAACCCCCATCTTTTCAGCTCATCAAGTTTGTCATTTTTCCAGAAACAGAAGTCTCTATGAATACCTTTTTATCATCCAAAAATTTCAAAGACCCCTCACACATTTACATTCTATCATCATCATCATCATCATCATCATCATCATCATCATCATCACTACTACCACCATCATCATCTTTATAATCTTCATTATCACAGCTAACATTTAATTAAACATGTTCCAGGTACTGGGCTAAATGCTTTTAATTGCCAGAGTCCTATAAAGTAGATACATACTAGTTATCATAATTTAATGATCTATTTGTTGAAGAAATAAATGCTATATAATCAGTAAAACTTTAAAATAAGTTTTCTTTCATGTAATCACAATAGTACCTCATATATTTTTTAAACAGCATATATACATACAAGATATATAATTTATCCTACCTACAGACTCTGCTAGGTGAACATATGAATTTTCGACTCTCCTTAAAATAATCTCTTACTCTTTTTTCCCACTTCCCTCCCCTCTAAGGCAATCTAAAAACCTTAAGTTAAGATTCAGTACTCTACATAAAACATAAGAGAAAACAACTGAATGGCTACCATGTGCCAGGTACTGGTTTCCACAATATTACAAATACTTCATTAAACTGTAAATTTCATCTGATGTAATATTGTGTTTCTTAAGCTAGCAGACAAGAAAATGGTAAATTATTATGGGCTTCATTATAATATTCTCTATAAAAGGTAGAAAATGTCCCTGTAGTTTTTAATCTATGCAGAAACCATAAATTCTCAAATTTTAAATATTCAAAATTATTTCTACAATGAACAATTATACATTTACAAATTTGATGTTATTGGAAAGCAAAAATTCAAGTTTTAAGTGTATTTTTGAAAACATGTTGTAATACCTTTAATATTGGAAGAATTTCCGGGATCCCTTTTTCAAGCAATGAATCAGTCCCTTTTCTTAAAGATATGTCTGAAAAATAAAGAATTGAAAGGAGGAGAAAGGGAAGAAGGAGAAGGAAGAGGAGGAAGAGAAAAAAGAAACAGAAGGAAAAGGAAGAGGAGAGAGCAATAAAGAGGAAGAAACCAAGGGAAAAAAAGGAAGGACCATAAGAAAGAAAGGAGGAAAGAAAAAAATGGAAATATAGCAGTGAGTCATAATCATAAAAAACATTATGCCAAGTTTGTTATCTTTTTAATTACCCATGATCTTAGAAATGATTCAACATTTTAGAATTTGACTAAATACCAAATTGCTTCTTCCATTTAATTAGAGTTTTTCTTTATATAAGGCAATTTAAAAACATATTTCAATATAACAATAATCTTATTGATCAACAAGGTAATATCATGGTGAAGAGATTGTTCTTCCTATATATTCTGTAAATTCCATTTAAAAGCATTCAAAAACTAACAGCATAGAAGCTTTATGAATTTGAACCAATATCAGAGAAGACTAGTTTGAATTAGAGGAATATAAATTATAAATATTTATATGGCAATGCTAGTTTCCTATTTTAAAATCTGTTTAATAATCCAAACTAATGTATTACCTAACAGTCAATAAATATCTTGAGATAGATTGTTGTAACTATTAATAATATAGAAGAATGACTTGTACTTTATGTTTTATGTGCCAATAAGGTGATGGGAATGACATTCTTAGTTATAAGAATTCCTATATCTAAATAGGAACAACACCTCATTACATAAATATAGAAGTTTTCAAGTTTATAAATGGAGTAAGCTCCAAAATTGATTGGTTCTTTAGAAATAAAACATTTTAATAAAGAATCAATACCTCAAATTATATTTATTCCATTTATAATCAAATAGTATAAAACAGTAGTTTCCCAATAGTAACTAGTAAATAAAACAATAAAATTGAATAAGAAATAAACATTTTATTTTTTTTTATTCCTTTATTTTTTTTTTCCATTTTCAGTTGGCCAATCAACTTTTTTTTTATTATTATTTTTAGTAGAGACGGGGTCTCGCTCTTGCTCAGGCTGGTCTTGAACTTCTGAGCTCCAACGATCCACCCGCCTCGGCCTCCCAGAGAGCTAGGATTACAGGAGTGAGCCACCACGCCGGCCAGAAATAAACATTTTAATAAACTAATCATTGGGCCTTTTGCTTCCAGTGATGGATAATCTGGAAAAGTTCTCCTGGCTGGAGAAAAGCTGGAAAATACATTCTTTACATTTACAAGCTAAGAAGATAGTGAAAAAATAAATACAGTGCCAGGATCTTGGGAAGGGGATATGTGCGGAATAAACACAAACTGTTTTTCTTCTGCTCCCTCACCACAACAATCAACACAGATTTCTGTGACCAAATGTGTAGCAGGGAGGTTCCATTTTCTGCATGCAAGCAATCAATTCTGCAGAACTGGATACCTGCTCAATTCCAACACTATCTACCTGGAGAGATAGTATCAGATCTCACAGGCTGAAGACTCAGTTCCCAAGACTGCCTCCCATTTCCAATGCCAATTGCAGCCCCAGATTGTTTTACCTGTGCTTCTGACCACTGGCTATAAATTGAGGTTCCCCTGACCCCCTCCTTGGGTTGAATTTATTTGTTAGAGCAGCTCACAGAACTCAGAAACACATTTTATCATAAAGCATATTACAAAGGATACAGATAAAGAGATACATAGGGCAAGGTATGGAGGAAGGGGTACAGAGCTTCCATGTCCTCCCTGGGCATGCTACCCTCCAGGAACCTCCCCTTGTTGATGTATCTGGAAGTTCTCTGTACCCTGTCCTCTTGGGGCTTTCATGGAGACTTCACCAGATAGACATACGCAAAAAAATGTATGATCTAATACTAATTAATAGACTGAGTAGAGAAATCTGTTGCTGTAGTTTGAATATTTTTCCCCTCCAAAACTTATGTTGAAATTTAATCCCCAACATGGCAATACTGAGAGATGGGGCCTTTAAGAGGTAATTGGTTCATAAAGGTCTGTCCTCATGAATGTACTAATCCATTAATCGTGGTAGATTTATGAATTAATGGGTTATAATTGGAGTGGGACTGGTGGCTCAGTCCCCTTTCCACATGATGCCCTGCACAGCCTCAGGACTCTGCAGAAAGTCCCCACCAGCAAGAAGGCCCTCATAAAATTCAGCCCCTCAACATTAAACTTCTCAGCTTCCACAACTATAAGAACTAAACTCCTTTTCTAAATAAAATAACCAGTTTCAGGTATACTGTTATAAACAACAGAAAACAGACTAAGACACTCAGCAAGGCCTGTCTGTCTTTTTGGCCTCTCTGTGTGTGCAGCATTCTTCCTTCCAGATACAGGGCAGGACCCTTTCTGAAATGGGGTTGGTCTCAAGACCTACAATCAGACAAGGTAGATCAGAGAATTTCTCTATGGCCAGCTCCAAAACAGAAAGGAATGGGAAGATTACAGTATATTTTTAGTTTCTATGGCCAGCGATGGAGAGAAAAAGGAACAGGTGAAATGAAAAAAAGAAGAAATTCAAAAAAAGAGATTCTGTTTTCTAAGGTCTGCTTCTTCTGAGGCTTAAAGCACCCCAACATCATAACAAAACTGTCTTTCACCTTTATTATTCTGAAGCTGTTCTGAAGCTTTTTCAGAAACCAAGGACAAAAGGCCAAATACTTTAACAAAGGATATGCTTGTTGTTTTAGTCACCTAGGAAATGGCAAGGACTATGGGAGTTATAAGGCAGGAACTGTGTATTTATATACAAACAACATGGAATTTGAACTGCGTGGTTCTACTTATATGAACATTTTCTTCCCCCTCTGTCACCCTTGAGACAGCAAGACCAATCTCCCTCTTCTTCCTCCTCCTCCTCAGCCTTCTCAATATGAAGACAATGAGGATATAGACCTTTATGATGATCCACTGCCACTTAATAAATAATAAGCATATTATATTTTCTCTTCTTTATGTTTTTCTTAATAATATTTTATTTTCTCTAGCATACTTTATCATAAGAATACAGTACATAATATATATGACATACAAAATATGTGTTAGTCAACTGTTTCTGTTATCAGTAAGGCTTCTGGTCAATAGTAGGTTGTTAGTAAAGTTTTTAGGGAGTCAAAAGTTACTTGTGGATTTAGTGTCAGTACTCCTAACCCCCACATTGTTCAAAGATCAAGTGTGTGTGTGTGTGTGTGTGTGTGTGTGTGTGTGTGTGTGTGTGTGTACATGCTTGAAATAAATAGCTTGAAAAGGAAGTTAGAAAGAGAGGAACTTTTACAGATTGGGGGGTTTAAGAGACATGTTATGAAAATACAATACATGAGCCTTGTTTGAATTCTGATTGGAACAAACCAACTTTAAAAGACATTTTTTAATATAACTGTGGACATGGGAATTATTACTCATTTTATAAGGTATTATAATAATGGCATTGTGGTTTTCCATTAAAAAAAATCCTTACCTGTTAGATAGACAAATACACACACACACACACACACACACACACACACAGGTGGGTGGCTGGGGATATGTACTGGTAAAATGACATGATGTTCGCTTAAAAACACTCCAGGGCAGAGGTGAGGGAAATGTATGTTACAAGAAGAGATGAAATAGGATGAGTAAGATGTCAATAATTATTAGTGCTGGATTATGTATACAAGGTGACTTATTTCATCTCTATATATTTGAAATTCTGCCTAATAAAAGTTTTAAAAGGAAAAAAGTATTTTAAGACAGGATATTTTTAAAATATGACTTCAGGCCACTAGATGTGTTAGATGGCCAGAGACCTCTAACCTATGGTGCTCAAACTTTGATGTATCAAATTCTCTGGGGAAGCTAAAAAAGACTAAAAAGGTCCAGGCTTGCTAAAGTAGGACAGAGGCTGGGCCTTGCTTTTTTAACAAGTTCCCAGGTCATACTAATACTGACCAAAGTTTCAGAACCATGGCTCTGAAACTCTATCTGCAAAGCCACACTCAACAACCAAGGACAGGTAGAGCCAGATTAGTGAATCTCTGGGAAAACAATTACTTTATTACAAGCCCTCACTTTTCAGATATACTCTATAAGTGGGGTGAAACACCCAAGTAAATATCCACCATGAACACCATGGACACTCTACATATGGGTTACCCAGTGAAACAGATAGGTCAGGGCTTCAATCACAGGAAGAACAACAAACAAGGAGGTCAGAGCATAAGGCCATCCTTTGAGAGAAGACATCTTCTGGAATGAGAAGAGAAAGATAGAGACTAGAGAGGGGCCGGGACAGGAAGAGAGGGGGAACGTGTGGGGAAAGAGGGCAAAAAGAGGAAGAGGATAAGAAGAAAGGGAAAAGAAGAGGAGAAACAGAACAAATAAAGACGAACTTTCAGAGGAGGATATTAGAAGAGAGAAGAGAATGAAAAAGCAGATAAAAGGTAGAAGGACATTGATCCATTCAACAAATACTTATTTGAGCTGCTACTCTGTGTTGGGCAATAAGGTGGGTGAAAAGGATATAAGGGTGACCACATAAGCTCTCTTCCTTCAAGCATTCACTCTTGTGGAAAGTGGAAGAGGAGGAAAAACAAAAGAAGAGAAAAAAAAAAAGGAAATAAAGAGAAATGAGAGAGGGGAGAAAGAGAGGAATAGGTGATAATTAGGAATGAAGATGGGGAATATATGAGTGAGGAGAAGGCAAAAGGAATCTTGTCTGCCACTGAGTCACAGAGCATATAACCTTCTTTTCTTAACATTCACTTGATGAAACCTATATTATCTATCTCTGATTATAAGACATCAATGAAGCATAATCCTGAAATGCCTAGTTTCCATTAACAAAGTTATCCTGTATTCTAAATTATACTTATATATTTATATTGGTATATATGTATATTAATAATCTCATACTTTTTCATCTAACATTTTACCTATAGATTTTTTAAATTTTCTTCCTGGGCTTCCCAAACACTCCAATATTTCACTTAATCGTAATGTGACCTCTGCCACCACCGCAATATCAATGTCTTCCATTTTACAGCAGTGAATTACTTCATTTATCTGCCACAGAAGATAAAACCACTAAAAAGAGAAAATACATAACAAAATCAATTAAAAGCATATTACATTGTAGAAAGAGTCACATTTTTCAAAACTTTGTACTTCCTTGAAATCATCATCTTCTAATCATACAGAAATGTTATACAGGTACCCGCTCCTTATTAATGCTTTAATTGCAAATAATATAAAACTCAGCAGTCCTTAAAAAGATTATATAAATAATCTGTTTATATAAATTCATGAAGTAAATTCACTTACGTTTATAGTCTGCATATTCATAGTCATAATGACAAATTTATCATGTTACTTTTATGCATCAGTAAATATTATCTGTATCCTCAAAGTTCTCACTCTCTCTTCAAAGTAGCTTTTATTATCACTATCAACATCCTCCAAATTAGAGAGGGGAAAGCAGGTTTTCAGACTCCACATTAGGTACCTTAGAAATTATCTTTTATGCATATATACCCAAAGCTTAGAAGATAAAACCAACCATAACACTTTGAAACTTAAGATGATAAACAATATTTATGCACATTTTCACTTAACCGAGTACATGATAAAAATCACACCTATGCATCCCAGTGTAGCTAATCTTAGGAGGCTTCAGAATCACCAGAGATGAAATATTTGTTTTTACTAAAATATTTGCTCCTAAGTTTCCATGTTATAACATTCAAATGCTCAACTTTCTCCCTCTCATGAAATAGCTCTTTTAAATAGTCTAAATATACTATTGCAGGGGGAAAAATGGAACTACTTATCTATTGGTATTCTCTCTTATTATTTCTCTTACTGAATTTATCCAAGCTCATGTGACTTTAGACATACTATATTTATTTTTTTCACTTGAATTTTTGTGTGCCTCAACTGAAGTATTTTTTTATTTTATTTTAGTATATTATGGGGGTACACGTGTTAAGGTTACCTATATTGCCCATGGCCCCCATCCCCCCTCGAGTCAGAGCTTCAAGCATGTCCATCCCCCAAACGTTGCACATCTTACTCGTTGTGTTTGTATATACCCATCCCCACCTCCCCCCTCCCACCTGCCTAACACCCGATAAATGTTATTCCTATATGTCCACTGAGGTGTTGATCAGTTAATACCAATTTGCTGGTGAGTACATGTGGTGCTTGTTTTTCTATTCTTGGGATACTTCACTTAGTAGAATGGGTTCCAGCTCTATCCAGGATAATAAAGAGGTGCTATATCACCATTGTTTCTTAAAGCTGAATAGTACTCCATGGTATACATATACATTTTATTAATCCACTCATGTATTGATGGGCAGTTTGGTTGTTTCCACAGCTTTGCAATTGTAAATTGTGCTGCTATAAACATTCAAGTGCAGGTGTCTTTTTTATAAAGTGACTTTTGATCTTCTGGGTAGATGCCCAGTAGTGGGATTGCTGGATCAATGGTAGATCTACTTGTATCACTTTAAGGTATCTCCATATTGCTTTCCACAGAGGTTGAACTAGTTTGCAGTCCCACAAGCAGTGTAGGAGTGTTCCTACCTCTCTGCATCCACACCAGCATTTATTGTTTGGGGACTTAGTGATAAAGGCCATTCTCACTGGAGTTAAGTGATACCTCATTGTGGTTTTGATTTGCATTTCCCTGATGATTAGAGATGTTGAGCATTTTTTCATATGCTTGTTGGCCATTATTCTGTCTTCTTTTCAAAAGTTTCTGTTCATGTCCTTTGCCCATTTTTTGATGGGGTTGTTTGATTTTTTCTGGATGATTTTCCTGAGTTCTAAATAGATTCTAGTTATCAGCCCTTTATTGGATGTGTAGCTTGCAAATTTTCTCCCATTCTATGGGTTTTCTGTTTGCTCTCTTGCCAGTTTCTTTGGCTGTGCAGAAGCTTTTTAATTTTATCAGGTCTCATTTGTTTATTTTTGTTGCTGCTGTGATTGCCTTTGGGGTCTTCTTCATAAATTCTTTGCCTAGGCCGATGTCTAGAAGAGTATTTCCAACATTTTCCTCTAGTATTCTAATAGTTTCACACCTAAGGTTCAAGTCTGTTACCCAGCATGAGTTGATTTCTGTGAGAGGTGAAAGGTGTAGGTCTTGTTTCAGTCTTCTACATGTGGCTATCCAGTTTTCCCAGCACCATTTATTGAATAAGGATTCTTTTCCCCAGTGTATGTTTTTGTCTGCTTTGTCGAAGATTAGTTGGCTATATGAACATGGTTTTATATCTGGGTTCTCGGTTCTGTTCCACTGGTCAATGTCCCTGTTCTTGTGCCAGTCCCAAGTTGTTTTAATGACTATAGCTTTGTAGTATAGTTTGAAGTCTGGTAGATTGATACCTCCTATTTTGTTTTTATTGCCTAGGATTGATTTTGATATACAGGGTCTTCTCTGGTTCCATACGAAGCGTAAAATTATTTTTTCTATATCTGTGAAAAATGATGATGGTATTTTGATAGGGATTGCATTGACTCTGTAGGTCACTTTGGGTAGTATAGACATTTTAACAATGTTGATTCTGCCAACCCATGAGCATGGTATATTCTTCCATCTGTTTACGTCCTCTGCTATTTCCTTCTTCAGTGTTTCATAGTTCTCCCTGTAGAGGTCTTTTACCTCCTTAGCTAAATATATTCCAAGGTACTTTATTTTCTTTGTTGCTATTTTGAAGGGCATTGAGACTTTGATTTGGTTCTCTCTTGTACTGTTGTTGGCATATATGAATGCCTCTGATTTCTGTGTATTGATTTTGTATCCTGAGACTTTACCAAATTCATTTATCAATTCAAGGAGTCTCTTGGTTGAATCTTTGGGGTTTTCTAGGTATAATATCATGTCATCAGCAAAGAGTGAGAGTTTGATCTCTTCTGGTCCCATTTGGACACCCTTAATTCCGCTCTCTTGTCTGACTGTAACAAGGACTTCCAGCACTATGTTGAATAGAAGTGGAGATAGTGGGCAACCTTGTCTTGTTCCAGTTCTAAGTAGGAATGTTTTCAATTTTTCCCCATTCAGTATGATATTAGCTGTGGGTTTGTCATATATGGCTTGTATCATTTTTAGGTAAGCCCCAACTATGCCTATTTTGTTAAGCATTCTTATCATAAAAAGATGTTGAGTTTTGTTGAATGCTTTTTCTGCGTCTGTTGAGAGGATCATATGGTCTTTGTTTTTGCTTCTGTTTATATGGTGAATTACATTTATAGATTTGCGTATGTTGAACCATCCCTAGGATGAAGCCCACTTGGTTGTGATGGATTATTTTCTTGACAAGCACCTGGATTCGATTGGCTAGGATTTTGTTGAGAATTTTTGCATCTATATTCATAAGGGATATTGGTCTATAGTTTTCTTTTTTTGTTGCATCCTTTCCTGGTTTTGGTATCAAGGTTATGTTTGCTTCATAAAATGTGTTGGGGAGAATTCCATCCTTCTTGATGTTGTGGAATAATTTCTGCAGGATAAGCACCAGTTCTTCCTTGTAGGTGTGGTAAAATTCAGGTGTAAGTCCAGGACTTTTCTTTTTAGGAAAGGTTTTTATTGCTGTTTCAATTTCAGTACTTGATATTGGTCTGTTCAGGAATTCTATTTCTTCCTGTTTGAGCCTGTGTGTTCAGGAATTCTATTTCTTCCTGCTTGAGGCTGTGTGTTTCTAAGAAATTGTCCATTTCCTCCACATTTTCCAGTTTGTGTGCATAGAGGTTTTTATAGTATTCATGAATTATATCTTGTATATCTCTGTGGCATCGGTTGTAATTTATCCTTTATTGTTCCTGATGGAGCTAATTAGAGATTTTTCTTTTCTGCTTTTCGTTAGCCTAGCCAAAGGTGTGTCAATTTTGTTTAGTTTTTCAAAGAACCAACTTTTTTTTTGTTAATCTTCTGTATGGTTTCCCTGTTGTCAATTTCATTTAGATCTGATTTGATCTTAATGATTTCACTTCTTCTGCTGGGTTTGGGGTTGGTCTGTTCTTCTTTTTCTAGCTCTTTGAGATGATTCATTAAGTTGTTTATTTGTCATCTTTTAGACTTTTGGATATAGGCATTTATGAAAATAAACTTTCCTCTCAGGACTGCTTTAGCTGTGTCCCACAGGTTTTGATAACTTGTGTCTCCTTTGTCATTTCGCACCCAATCTCATCTGATCTCGGAAGCTAAGCAGGGTCGCGCCTGGTTAGTACTTGGATGGGAGTCATACTATATTTATTCCTTCCCTTAAAAGCCTGAAACACCTCTCCATTCCCCAAACCAAAATTAGGACAGGGATGTAGGAAACACACATTAAAAGAAAGGCTCATTTGACTACAAAGAGTATCTTCTTAACACATACATAAATAAATGATGGTTGTCGTGTACGTGAATAAACTGGAAAAATTTGGATTTGAAACATTTATGGCAACTTGAATTAGCAATTACAAAAAAAAAAAAAACATGTGAAAGGAAACAAAAAAGGAATACTTTGTTAGTACTGATTTTCTGGATGAATTTTGCAAAGTCATTTCTGGACATACTGATCCGCTGAATTCCTGACTTGCACTTCTGCCATAGGAACATGATTATGTCCACGACAATTTCTTTGTCAGGCTGGACATCCTGAAAACAAAAGTGAAAAGTAAATGAGTAAGAATAATCAGATATGTGTATATAACATTTACTGTATGCCAGGCGACACTCTAAGAGCTGTATATATACTAACTCATTTAATCCTTATAACGGACCCTAAGAGGTAAGTACTACTACAATCATCCCCATTTTACAGATGAGCAGACTAAAGAACAAGTGATTTTTCCCAAGATGAAATGACTAGAAAGTAGCAGATTAGAGGGATTCAAACCCAAGTAGTCTAGCTCCAGAGTCCTCAACTCTTAGGAATGTTCTATGCTCTTCGGCCTCTAAAAATAGAAGTCCCAAGCACATTTTAGGCATGTATATAACACAGTTACTTCCACTCAACTTTGAAATTTATATATACTTTTCTCTTTCTAAAATTCTTGCATCAAAATAATAAAGAATTAGGGCAGGAGGGAGACAGACTAGTAACTAGAGAGGGAACAGGGAGCTGGGAAAGGGTAGAGACAAGGAGAGAAACTAAACAGAACTTCACATTGGGTGTCAATATCGATGAATGACCAAAATGAGTATGTGTTCTCTCACATCAAAGTTACTTGGCTCTTTTCAAAGGAAAACAAAAGTTACTCATTATAACTGAACTAGAAATATAATAAGTTTATGATTAAATATGCCAAACTTTAAGCTCTTTTGTGGCAGCTCTATGACTTAATTTGCATATATAACACCTTAGGACAATGGTTGGGAACATCATAGAGGTTAGTACTTGATTGAATTGAACTAAGACATATATGACTTTTAAAAAAAAACAGATAAATAAATGAAGGCTCCTTACCCTTTTAAGCGTTGATTATTATTTTTTGGTTTAACTCTCCCACTAGAATAATTCTATTTGCTGCTAATCACTTTTCTCTTGAAAATTAAATACCTGTCACAGGTTATAACATATTCCAATAAACCCAGAAGCAATGAAAAATGTTAGAATGGTGGAACCTCTCAAGTCTTTTATTGTGTTTCACTTACCTGAGCAAAAGCTAACATCATGCTCTATAACTGTGGTTCACAAACTTTCTTTGTAACAATAAAACCAAATTCTCAAATGAAACTCCATCAGAATCCCAAGATCATATAAAAAACTAATAAAAACAGGTTAAGGTGCTACTACTTAAAGTTGGGCTTCCAAAGAACCTCCTGGAATCCCTGGGAATTGTGTTTGATAACTATTGCTGTACTAGTTTTACCTAAACATTCATAACCACATCTAGGCCATTTCTAAATACTGGCCATTATGTGTCAAGCGAATTCCAATAATAACCAGGCTTTGTTCTCATGGACTGAAAAGCAATAATTTTTTTTTCTTTTTGAGACAGATCTCACTCTGTCACCCAAGCTGGCATGCAATGGTGCAGTTATAGCTCACCAAACCCTCAAACGCCTAGGCTCAAGTGATCTTCCTGCCTCCAGAGTAGCTAGGACTACAGGCACCTACCACCATGCCGGGCTAACTTTTTACTTTTTGTAGAGATGGGGTTTTGCTATATTGCCCAACCTGATCTTAAACTCCTGGCCTCAAGTGATCCTCTTCCCTCAGGCTCCCAAAGTGCTAGGATTACAGGCATGAGCCACTGTACCCATCCAAAAAACAGTATCTCACTAAACATATTAACCCTTCATTTAAACCACTGCCTCATTTTTTTCATTATTAGAAATATAGCTAGACTGGGAATTTCCCAAAAATGAACAGACACCCAAAATAACAATAATAAAAGAAAGAAACTTTAAATTATAATCAAAATCTAACTCAATCCTATATTCTAATAATTAAATAATATAGAATTATAGCAAGGAGCAATTCCTGTGATATTTTAAATCTAGCCTTAAATTAAGCATAATAACCTCCTAATAACCTCCTTCTACACTGTTAAAAATTATACAGAATAGCATCTCACCTTAAAATAGGTGCAGACACAGAAATGCAAGGTCGCTGCCAAATGGAAAATATCATCTGAAAATCCAAAAGTCTTCAAAGCAGCATCTAAATTCATAAAGTAGAGGAAAATGAAACAAAAAAGTCAATTACAAAATTTCAAACAGAAACTCTACAAAAATGACACAAATGATATGTGGGCAAATATCATGTCAATAAGATAAACTAAATGCTTTTATATGAAAATTAAGCTAAGTGGCCCTAAGCCAACTAAAATAGACTATTTTTATCATTAATGCACAATATATATGCCAACTATGTCCAAAAAGACATTGAAGAGGTTTATAATATTAAAATACACATAAAATACAATGGTTGAAAGAAAAATAAACAAAGTATCTATTCAGAAATCACTAGAAAAATAAGTTATATCATTACTTGGCACAAATTAGTTACTGCAACGGAGAGGCCATGCAATGTCTTAAAAACATAGCAGAACATAAAAAGCATGGAATTAAATACTTCTCAATGGTCTAGGTAGTAGAGGCTGCAGACTTTCAATTACATACACAGTAACTTTCAAGACTTGAAAAGTCCCAGAATGGAAAACATGGCATACTGGAAAGACAGAAAACACGGCAACTCTTCCCTTCCTAAAGTGACCTTGTAACAGTGCCCTTTGATTCCCTGCCCTGCTGCCCTCTCATTCATACCAATAAGCTAGCAGCTAAATAGAGCCTCATTCCTCTACTCAAAACTGTCCCTCAGAATAAAATCCAGCATCCCTACAAAGCCTAGTAACCACATTATCTGGGGTCCAGCTATTTCTTGAGCTTGTCACCTACCACACTCCGAAACTTCACCACTATCACCAGTGCACTGCAGCCCATGTCATTCTTTCAATAACCAAACACACTCTTGCATCAGGGCTTTGGCATCTCCTGCTCCCTCAGACTTGAATGTTCTTCCTCTTACCTCACCTATAAAGAGCATGTTTTTTATCAGATAACACTATCTTAATTTTTCTAAAAAGCAAATAAATACTCACGAGGAAAAATATTTTTTTTAAAATAAATGTGAGCTGGCTGTCCTTCTTTATAGTTTTCCAAAGGAAAGACCGAACCCTTGTTTTTCTTTACATTGATTAGTGGTCCAACTGCGAACAGAAGAGTTAAATCCTTCTCTGCTTTCTTTGACTCTGGATCATCCTGACCCTTAGAGAAGTACATCGTACAAGTTAATTAAATATCATTTCAACAAAACAGAAACAACTGAATGGTTTTGCACATATTACCTGAAGAAAACAAATAAGACGCCCTGCTGAAGATTCAAATAAACTCCATTCCTCATAAGTAAAAGCTAATTTTATAAATTTCACAGCAATATCCAGAGAAATAATATTTTTCCTTTCTACCATAAGTTCCAGAAGAGATGTTTTTGGAAAAGCAAGTATTCCATCTGCACCAGTACTTGAACCTAGAAAATGAAAGAGAGAGTTTGAATATCATTTATGCAAAGAAATGTATATTTACTAAATATTAGCTATCAGACACTGCCAAACACTAGGGGAAAATGAAAAAAAAAAAAAAAAACAGGCACAATCTCTACCTTCATAGAATTTACACTAGCAGGGGAAAGAAGAAACCTGAGTGGGCAAATACAGGGTGCTGTAGGGACAAACAGGCAGAACATCCAACACAGGTATGGGGCAGGAGGGCAGTCAGGGAAGGCTACCCAAAAGAGTAGCAGGAAATCTCAAACATAGAGAATTAGTGAGAGTTCAGCCAAATAGGCAGCTGGGTATAGATTGGAAACTAAGGAAAGCAATCTAAAACAGGGCTATACCTTTTAGAGTTATCATTATATATCCATATAATAGGTTCAGCCATGGGCAAGGTATAGCTGCCTAGGATAGTATAATAAGGAACACCAACATTTAAAAGAGGGGCAGACAGAAAAGACTGGAAAGTAAAGTGTTTAGAGAGAAAGAACTAGTCAACAATAACAAATACCACAAAAGTAAAGGAAGAAAAGGACTAGCTGGGCACAGTGCTGCAGGCCTATAGTCCCAGCTTGAGAGGCTGAGGCAGGAGGATCACTTGAGCTCAGGAGTTCAAGTCCCACCTAGGCAACATAGCAAGACTTCATCTCTAAGACAAAAAAGAAGGAAGAAAAAGACTGAAAAAAGTGATCCTTGGATTAAGCAATAAGGCTGTCTATGACATTCTCAGTAGAGTGCTCAGGACAGAAGGCTGCCTGCTGAATACATAGGAAGAATTGGAAACAGTGAAAATAGGCAATTCCTTCAATAAATCTGTCTATACCAAGAAGACATAGGATAAAGGGACTACTTGGAGGAATTAGTCTTAATGAGATAAAGAGGAGGTAGAGGAGTAATCCATTTTAATGAGACACAGTGGAAAAGGACGGATGCAGATGAGGGTAAGTTTTGGGGTTTGGGTGAAGAAAGTCAAGGAAATTCTCATCTGGGAACTTGTTATTTTTCTTGTGAAGAGATGAGCCCAAACTGTGGCTCCACAGGTTCCCTGCCTTCTGATGGGCACACATGCATACACACACACACACTCACTAAACTCACCTAGAGAGAGGTACACAAGCAAATGTCTAGGCTTTTGCCCCATCTCCCAAGTAGACATTGTAACCAAGTCAGGCATTCCACAGCAACAGAATGAAAACTCATGAGGAAAGAATATCAAAAGCTCAAGCACCTCCAAAGAAAAACCACAAATGAAGCAACACAGAAAATAGGAAAATTGGACAGAGTGAACAAGAACTGTGTGCGCAAGTGTTCTCTCACAGAAGTAAGAGTGGATATTAGAAACATGAGGCAAGAACAAGTGCTGTGGAAAAGAAGCAAGAGGATACAAATTATAAAGTATATCACTGAGCTAGGTGTGGTGACACACTCCTGTAATGTCAGCACTTTGAGAGATCAAGGCAGGAGGATCACTTGAGGCCTGGAGTTCAAGACCAGCCTGGGCAACATAACAATACCCTGTCTCTACAAAAAAATTTTTTAAATTAGCCAGTCATGGTAGCACACACACCTGTAGTCCCAGCTACTTGGGAGGCTGAGGCAGGAGGATCATTTGATCAACTCAATAAATCCACAAAAGGTTTTGATAAAACTCAACAGTTATTCAGGATAAAGAACAAAAAAACAAATAAAAAACTCTTAGCAAACCAAGATTAAAAGAAATTTCCTTAATCTGAAAAAGGGTATCTGTAAAGATCCTTCCGTAAATATCTTAAGTAAATGGAAAAATGTTAAAAGCTTTTCATTGGAGATCAAAAATGAGACAAGGATGTCTGCTATCATCACCAATTATTTCCATGTGTCATTAGAGATCCTAGCTAGTACAATAAGTCAAGAAATTCAAGAAAAAATAAATTAAAAGATTAAGAATTGAAAATAAAATAGACTTGTCATTATGCACAAATGATAGTATGCACAAAAAAATCCCCAAAAAAATCTACTAATAATTATTTGAAATATCAATTAACTTTAGCAAAGTTGCTGAATTCAAGATCAATATAAATTGTATCAGTTTCTTACATATGGACTGTCATCATAAAATTTTTTGTTATTTATGTCTATCATAAAATATTACCTTAACATCTTACTTACTTATTAAAAGTTCTTTTCCTGCCATAAACAGTTCTGAGACAACATCGCGAAGCTCCACTTCTTCTGTAAGAAGAGATCCAGTTTGCAGTACTCGCCTATTTGAATCGGAAAGAGCTTCCACGATAGCCAGAAACCGGGCTGCAGTGCTATCAAACATCTCGTCCAACAGCCGTTCTGTGACAGTCCGTGGCCATGACGACTGGAATAAAAAAGTACGCAGTCGATGTTTTAAAGATATCGATTGGTATAGGGCAAAGCAAAGTAAGGCATGCTTAATTAATGCAATTAATAAAACTAATAGTAAAACTATTAGTAAATAGTAAAACTAATAGTAAAACTATTAGTGAATAGTAAAATAGTAAATAGTAAAACTATTAGTAAATAGTAAAACTAATAGTAAAACTAATTAATGCAATTAATAAAAATAATAGAGTTCTTGGTCTAATAATGAGATAGTTTTCATTTTTTGAGATGTCACTTCCAGACTCCATTAAAGTTGTCATTCCATTGCATCAAAGACTTTGCTATTTCTTTATATAAGGTGGTATCAAAAGACTGTTTGTTATGGTCTTTTTATTAAGCCAGCATCAATCTCCACATGCTTTATAGTACTTAATTACAGCCTAAAGGAACTGATACTCAAACTTTGGTTGCCTAAGAATCACTCAAGGCCGCTTTTTCCATTCAAGACCAAATCTCCAAAGAGTCCACGCATCTGGATGAGACATTCTGAATAAGTACTGCAGGAAATTCTAGTGCTTGAAGGTCTTCAAACTCAAATTTGAAACAATATTTCATAGTACAAATAACTAGGCTTGTGGTTGTGAACTCTAAGGAAGAGCTGATCATCTGTACACTAATAAGCTAGTGATGGTTAGAACCCAGTGTGATTTCCAAATCACTCTGCTTTGTCCTAGCCCAGAGTGACTGCATCTTCTGCAAATGGCTTGCCTCCATACTTTATTCTTCTCTCTGATAAATAACCTGTTCTCTGAATTTAGATTGCCAGTAAATAAGAACTGTATTCTAGTTGGCTTTTCTAGCATCTGATACCCACCATATTCCCCACAATTCTCCTGCTTTTCTTTTTCTTCTTAGGACAAAGTCAGAAAGACAAAAACAAAGCAGAGATAAAGCTGCTTTAGACTCTTTTTCCCCAAATACCACCTTCCCTACTCATTAGCTTCTGTGCCTTTTCAATCTATAGGTCAACTGATATGTTTAAAAACCTCTATAAAACTTGAACTTCATTCAGTGCCTTCTCTTTCCTTACAGATGTAAGAGTTTCTTCTAAAATTTTTATTGTAGATTAAAACAGAGCTTTAAAAATATATATTTAAACAGCAAAATGAACTTTCTTCTAATAATTAGAAGTATTCCAAACAGAATAGTAAAACCCAGATGTAAAAAAGAGTGAAATCGCTTATTAAAATATCATAGAAAACCTAGAAAAAAGAATATTTATTAGAGCTGTGGACGAATACTAAGTAAAAGATTTTTAAGTATTTATAAGATATTTAGAATATCTATAAAAAAGAAAGCTAAAGCAATAAAAAAGTGGTTTGTCAAGTATGACAAGCAACATATTAGTGTCTTATAAAAACAATGAGCTCATTCAAATATATTTTAAAAGTTAAAATCTCTAGTAAAGAAATGGTTAAAGACTATGAAAGATAATTCACACAAAAAAGTAAATATAGGCCGGGCGCGGTGGCTCACGCCTGTAATCCTAGCTCTCTGGGAGGCCGAGGCGGGCGGATCGCTCGAGGTCGGGAGTTCGAAACCAGCCTGAGAAATAGAAAGAAACTAATTGGCCAACTAATATATATAGAAAAAATTAGCCGGGCATGGTGGCGCATGCCTGTAGTCCCAGCTACTCGGGAGGCTGAGGCAGAAGGATCACTCAAGCCCAGGAGTTTGAGGTTGCTGTGAGCTAGGCTGACGCCACGGCACTCACTCTAGCCTAGGCAACAAAGCAAGACTCTGTCTCAAAAAAAAAAAAAAAAAAAAAGTAAATATAAAGAGTAAACACAAATACTAATATAAGGAAAAGTTGGATCAAAGAAATAAAGTTAAAATGACAAGCCATTTTATGAAAACTGAATTTGCAAAAAATATTTAAACAAATAATAATATCAAAACAATAATAACTTGTGATAAAATTGGTACATGCAGGTTGTCACCTTGAAAATAGGAGTATACATTTTAGAAATCAATTTAGCAATATATATTAACAGAAATAAAAGTGTTTGTATCCTTTGATTCAGAAATCCTACACCTTGAATTTTATCCACAGGAAATAAAGAAAGAAAAGCATATTATTCCTGAAGATGTGGATGACATCAATATCTGTAATAGCAAAAAAATTGGAAACCAAATTAACAGTAATAAAAATATTAGACAAATTATGGTACAGCATGGTATACATATTACATAGGATATATAATACCATTGTTTAAAATGTCAGGATGGATAAGAATCTAGATTACATAACCCATACAGTTCGTTCCACCTTTAAATACTATGGTCTCCATGATATCTACTCTGTGAGATGTATTGTACTATGTTAATTCCCCAGCATTATTCACCTACCCTAATCAAGCTCTATTTCTCACGGTCCCCCAACAAATTTTGCCTATTCTGTCTTCTAAGCTATGATCATGCTCTGCTAATCCTTCACTTAGAATGTTTTCCTCTCTCTTCCCTATCTAGCCAAATCCTGTTCATTATTTCAAGGCCATTTAAAAAGCAAAGACTGTGACTTAGTATTTCTATATTTCACTACACTTGAAACCACAGTAGGGATTCAATATATAGTTGTTGAATGAATGAATAGTAAATAAACACTAATAATAGCTAATATTTACTGAGAACCTACCATATGCCAGGAACATTCTAAGGGCTTTATATGTAACTCATTTAATCCCCACCACACCACCACCATTATTTCCTTCTTAATATTTATCACAAGCTATAATTATTTTGTTTATTTATAATGTAATTTCTTCACTAGAATTTAATCTTAATCTATATTGTTCATATAGCACATCCTTAAAAAATATTTGTTGAATGAATCACTAAATTGTTGATTATTAGAAGTCTGTAAAAACTACCCACTAAACAGTTATAATTCTTTTCTAAAAAACATACCACTGGAATTTTTCATACAACAATTATCTTAAAGGAAAACTGAAATAAATGAGGTTTTTAATGTACTTTTATCTGGAATTTTAAAAATTTTCTTGGAAAATATATTTAATTTTGCTAGGATGACTGTAAGTCCTAATAATAAACTCAGCAATGTCAATCTTGCAGCTTTGGATATTTAAATTTTGCTCAGAGAAAAAAATGCTGATAGTGAAAAATAGTGTCCTCTGCTCTTTTACAAAGACTCTAGCATTACTATTTAACAATACTAGATGTGAGTAGTTCAACAACTCATCCAAGAAATTACCGATAACTTGGCAAGTTACCCCACCCACCAATATATACCATTGGTCAGTAAGGGATCTGATTTATTTTATTTTTTTAAATTGATTTATGGGGTACACGTGCAGATTTGTTACATGGAGACATTGCATAGTAATGAAGTCTGGGGTTTTTGTGTAACCTTCACCCAGTTAGTAAACATAGTACCCATTAGGTAATTGCTTATCCCACATATCTCTCCTACTCTCCCACTCTCATGAGAGTCCAATGTCTATTATTTCACTCTCTGTGTCCAGGTTTACTCATTATTTAGCTCCCACTTACAAGTGAGAACATGTGGTGTTTGACTTTCTGTTTCTGAGTTATTTCACTTAAGATAATGGCCTCCAGTTCCATCCATGTTTTTGCAAAAGCCACAATTTCATCCTTTTTTGTGGCTGAGTAGTATTCCATGGTGTGTATGTGTGTGTGTGTGTATGTGTTGCATTTTCTTTATCCAATCATCAACTAATAAACACTTAGGTTGGTTCCATATCTTTGCTATTGTGAATAGCGCTGTGATAAACATATGAGTGCAGGATTCTTTTTTTTCTTTTTATTTCATTTTTTTTTTCTTACCAAGTATCTGGAGAGAGCATGAACGCAGTCCCTCACTACCACAAATTATGCAGTCAAGTTTCCCACTTGACTGGGGGAGGTGAGCACATCTGGAGTGCAATGGATAAGCCTTGCCCTGGGAAAACCACCTTCATGATCATGGTATCTCCCCTGGCAGGTAAGTATAGGTATATTTTTTATATAATAATTTCTTTTTTAGGGGGGTAGATACCCAGTAGTGGGATTGCTGGATCAAATGGTAGATCTATTTTTAGTTCTTTGAGAAATGTCTATACTGTTTTCCATAAAGGTTGTACTAATTTACATTCCCACCAAGAGTGTATAAGAGTTCCCTTTTCTTTGCAGCCTCACCAACATCTATAATTTTTTGAGTTTTTAATAATGGCAATTCTAACTATAGTAAGATGACATCTCCTTGTGGTTTTAATTTGCATTTCTCTGATGATTAGTGATATTGAGCATTTTTTCATATGTTTCTTGGCCATCTGTATGTCTTCTTTTCAAAAATGTCTGTTCATGTCCTTTGCCCATGATGGGGTTATTTGGTTTTTTCTCATTCAGTTGTTTGAGTTCCTTGTAGAGTCTGGTTATTACTCCTTTGTTGGATACATAGTTTGAGAATACTTTTCTTCCATTCTGCAGTTTGCCTATTTACTGTGCTGATTATTTCTTTTGCTGTGCAGAAGCTTTTTAGTTTAATTAGGTCCCATTTATTTATTTTTGTTTTTATTGCATTTGATTTTGGGATCTTAGTCACAAATTCTTTGCTGAAGCCAATGTCCAACAGAGTTTTTCCTAGATTTCCTTCTAGAATTTTTATAGTTTCAGGTCTGTAAGGGATCTGACTTAAAAGGGATATACCATGTTTCCCCAAAAATAAAACCTACCCATAAAATAAGCCCTAGCAGGATTTCTAAGCATTTGTACAATATAAGCCCTACCTGGAAAATAAGACCTAGTGATGGGCGTGGCTACGCAGCGTATCTGCACAACCCATGCACTTCATCGCCGAGTGGTAAAGAAGACGAACAGCCCTTCTAATCTGCCCCATGAGAGCTCTATTGCTTGACATGAGAGATTGGTGCCAATGGTTCTAAAGGAAATAGAGTCGCAAGAAATTCAGGATGGAATTTGGAGTTTGGAGAGTTATGATGATGTTCCAGAAGAAGATGACTTAACTATATTTGAATAAATGTAGATTGTTGTACCATAGTTAAAAAAAAATAACACATCCCCTGAAAATAAGCCCTAGGGTATCTTCTTAAGGAAAAATAAATATAAGACCCTGTCTTATTTTTGGGGAAACACAGTATATAAAATATACTTCTGGGCTCAGTAGTTGATATTATCACACTGACAATGATAAGGTACCATGTCCAAATAATATTTGTATTTAAATATCATGATTTATTTAAAAGGAAAAAAATTACTCCTAAATGTTGTAAGAAGAAATGAGGGCAGAGAGCAGCAGTCATTGGAGTAGTGAAAAAGCAGTGGACTTAGAGATATAAGTTCCACCACAGCTACCTTTGCGACTCCGAGCCATCATTAAAATACTCTGAGCTTTATTTTCCCCAACCATAATGGAAAAGGGCTGAACTAGATGGTTTCCATAACCCCTTTCAGGTTCTGAGATTCTACAACTCTTCTACAGAAGCTGCTGGTCCTCTTCTCCCTCACTTTCATTTTTAGTCCCTACATAGGAGCTCACAGAGAGTGTATGGCCATCTATTAATAGAACAGTTGGGGAAAGCTTCAAGGATATAAAAATGGCCCCTGAGGGATATTGAGACTGAGAAAGGCAGAGGGGAAGACTGTGGAAGAAGAAAAAAAGGCAAGAAGGAGAAAGGGGCAGAGGACCCCACAAGCAGAACTTTGTCCCACTTCCTTCGCTGGGATGGTCCTTAGTGCTGTTTGCCAAATATGCCTGCAGTTGGGAGGAGCTGTGTGACTAGTTAACGACATGTGAGAAGAGGCTCATGTCACTTTCATACTGAGTACCATTGCCTGCGCAAGATCTTCCAGAGCTCTCTTTTATCCCCTCTGGCAGAACTACCAGCAATTTTCAAAATGAGGGCTGCTCCTCAGCTTGGCCCTGAGCGGCTTTCATAAAAGCAGAGCCTCCGATAACTATAATAACATATGACTCCAGTGGGAAATAAATTGTTGTTTTAAGTCACCTGAGGTATGGGGGTTGTTTGTTGCTACAAGATAACCTAGTTCCTGAACACTCCCAAAGGTGAAGAAGCCTAAGGCTGATGAGAAAATGTGCCTCCGCCTTCTGTGCAACCTCTGAGCCTGCTAAGCTAACACAAATTAGTCAAAGGTGTGAACAGAACTACTCAGAGCCCCGTTCAATCAAACCTTTTACAGGCCCCTCTTCAGCCTCTTGTCCTTTAAAATTGCAAAACTGAGATTGTGCTAAGGCACAAAAGCTTTGAGACAGAGATGAAGTGAGGCCATGTCCAAATTGGGAGATCGTTCTTCTCACTATTTGCCCGTTGGTGCAGAGAATTAGGAGCAAAACCTAATAATGAGTGGCTAGGTTTAAAAGACACTGAGTTATAACACAAATATGCAAAAAGAGTCTTAAATTGAGAAGATGTTTTTAGACTTACATTTTGTGCTTCCCTTAGGTTAACTCTTAATTTTGGTCTAAAGAAAGATTTGTTTTTTCTTCTAGATTCAAAGACTCCTCTTTTGAAGATCATCACTGCCATCTGTCTCAAAAAGAAGAATTACATGTGAAGTAACAATGGGATGCACCTCTCAACTACTAATATTAAGTACTTAACTATAGAATGCAGTAAATTTCTTTGATTTCATGAAAGTTTTATACCTTCAGTGTGGCCTCTCTATACAATCTTATGGATTCTTCCTGTGAGGAACTCATTGATTCCAGTTGCCTTAACTCATCAATTTTAGCTAAAGCACGACGAGCAAATGCCTATATGTAATTAAAATAAATTTAATTAATAATGAGTTAGAATATAGTGATTAAAAATAGATAAAGACAATGTGTTTTATTCTCCTAGACATTTGATTTAATCTGTGGATTAAGCTCTGGCTGATGGTGTCTTCTTATGACATGGTAGCTATTAATAAATATTTATCCAGTCAGTCATTTGCTACAAGCATCACTAAAATCTATAAATCTAGAGTTAATAAACTGTCAGATACACTAATTTTATGAATTATGAAATTCAAAACAAGTAAGGAAAGCCAAAATACGGGTTAAACAGTAGCTCCATACAGATTATTACTTCTCTGGCATGTGCATGCACACACACACACACAAACACACACACACACACACACATACAAACAGCCTTAGGTGCACTTCTCAAATCTAACCTTCCTACCATAACATGCTGTGTTATCTATTTAGCTGTTCATGTCATCCACTATGTTTTGAGTTCCTTAAAGGATCTTACTCATTTTTGTATCCCTGATACCCAGCGTACAGAAAGTATTTAGTAAATATCTGGGGAAAGGGAGGAAGGGAAAAGGCAAGCTTAATTATTTAATCATATCCCCATTATTATAATTCTCTAGAGGTAACAAAAGAGTTTAAGAGAGTTATTAAGAATTCAATAACAAGAGTTCATGTCATTTATTTCACCATTTCTTTGAAATATTTCATTCATAATGTATAATTTTTATTGAAGATGCTTCTAGACCAATCACAATATTAACATAAATGAAACATTAAAATTTCCAATAATGGGGCTGGGCACAGTAGCTCCTGCCTGTAATCCCAGCACTGTGGCAGGCCAAGGTGGGAGGATTGCTTGAGGCCACGAGTTCAAGATCAGCTTGGTCAACATAGCTAAACCCTGTCTCTACAAAAAATAAAATAAAATTTCCAATAAGGAAGAATTCCAATAGGAATCAAATGGTCCAAACTACAAATGTGGAAAAAGACATGAACAGAATATTTTCAAAAATATAGACAAATGGCCAGTAAACACATGAAAAAATGCTTAATATCACTAATCAACAGGGAAATGCAAATTAAAACCATAATGATATATCACCTTACCCCAGTTAGAATGGCTTTTATTAAAAAGTACAAAAACAACAGATGCTGGCATGGATACAGAGAGAAAAGAATGCTTATACACTGTTGGTGGAACTGCACATTAGTACAACCTCTATGGAAAAGAGTATGGAGATTCCTTAAGGAACTAAAAATAGACCTACCATTTTATCCAACAGTCCCACTATTGGATATCTACCCAATGGAAAAGAAGTCTTTTATCAAAAAGACACCTGCACTTGAATGTTTACTGAAGCAAAATTCATAATTGCAAAGATGTGGAATCAACCCAAGTGTCCATCAATTCATGAGTGGATTAATAAAATGTGGTACATGTATACCATGGAGTACTACTCAGCCATAAAAAGGATGAGTTTATGCCTTTTGCAACAATTTGAATGGAACTGGAGCCCATTCTCCTAAGTGAAATATCTAAAAAATGGAAAAACAAACACCACATGTACTCTCTAATAAATTGGAACCAACCAATGAGCACACATGTACACAGAGGGAAGTAAAACTCATTGGAAATCAAGCAGGGGGGGAAGGGGCAGAAAAGGAGGGGCAAAAACCTCCCTAACCGGTACAATGAACACTATTTGGGTAATGGGCTCACTTACTTATAGCCCTGACTCAAGCATTACAAAAGCTATGCATGTAACAAAAACATTTGTACTCCCTTAATATTTTTTTTTTTTTGAGACAGAGTCTCACTTTGTTGCCCAGGCTAGAGTGAGTGCCGTGGCGTCAGCCTAGCTCACAGCAACCTCAAACTACTGGGCTCAAGCGATCCTCCTGCCTCAGCCTCCCAAGTAGCTGGGACTACAGGCATGTGCCACCATGCCCGGCTAATTTTTTGTATATATTAGTTGGCCAATTAATTTCTTTCTATTTATAGTAGAGACGGGGTCTCGCTCTTGCTCAGGCTGGTTTCGAACTCCTGACCTCGAGCAATCCACCCGCCTCGGCCTCCCAGAGAGCTAGGATTACAGGCGTGAGCCACCGCGCCCGGCCCTCCCTTAATATTTTGATATTTAAAAATCTACACAAATTTTCCATTCCCTGTTAGTTTTAATAGCTATAGGACAAAATATGCCAATACTATGCTAATACTCTAAAGTTAACTATTCATATGTGGTGAGTAGTTTCTAGTAGTTTCATACATATATGATGTATCCTGGGCAACAAAAGTCTGCTACAAGGGTTGAATTAGACTATTTCTCTGCCTATGGGCCACTACCATCCAACCCTTCAGAATTAGTTTAGGCAGGAAAAACTAAGCTTAAAGGAACATTAACTGACCAGATGATTTATTTATGGTTGTGAACAGGATATGAAAAGGCATTTGCACAGCTGTGAAGGCTGCCCTACACAAGACTTCCAGCCAAGTGGGTTGAGTAAAAGCTGAAATCCAGCCTGCACTCCACTTACCAAGATGTGTGCCCTGGTACAGGGATGTGTTGGCCTAAAGGAAGAGTGTCTAATTCTAGTTCTCACCAATGTCCTACCCACTGACCAAGCTAGGTGCCACGTACTATAGAGAGGGCACCTTTTTTTAATTTACACAGACGTCCTGTACAGACCAATAGAAGCCCTGACCGATTAAGTTATATTTCAAGTATGCAATCTAAAAGATACACAGGAAAAGAAGAAAGAAAAGAAACAGAGTGCATTAAATGGTGGTTAGCAGAGAAAAGTAAGACAAGAATATAGTCAGTGACAGGGAATACAAAGCTAAACAGGGAAGGAAGGTGGCTTGTATACAAGAGCAAAATGAGGATGGAAAGAAAGGAGGTAGAAGTCTTTGACAAGGTGACACAGTTAATAACAAAGTACTATATATTTCAAAATTGCTAAAGAATAGATTTTATGTGTTCTCACTATAAAAAAGTGATAAATATGTGCAGCAATAGATATGTTAATTAGCTTGATACAATCATTCCACAATGTATATATTTGTTAAAATATCACTTTGTACCCCATAAGTATATACAATTATTATCTGCCAATTAAATATAAACATTTTAATTAAAAAAATATCAGAAATCCTATTCAGAAATGGAGCAAAGAAGGTGGAAGTTAATAGAGAGCAAAAAGGAAAGCAAGAGATCAACAAAATGGAAAAACCAAGCAAATTTCTACAAATATACCCTTGAACTTTTTGCCTTTGCTTCATTTCAATTCTTTGGGTTTTTTTGTTCTTGAGGGCATCTGAAGTAGAAAATGCTGGATAAGCTGTATTTTTAAATATTGGAATGCTCTGAATCAAAAAGTAGCATACCTCTCCATGAACACCGGCTTGGCAGTCGTAGTAGCACTGGCAGACAGCCACGTAGAGGGTGGCTCTCCATGTCAGGTACCTGAGCGCCAGGAGCGGGACCGAAGACTCCATACATATGCTGGCCCACAGGAGATATTCCAAGGCCTGCCAAACAAAGGGTACGACTGGATCTATTTTCATTTTAAGATAATAATGATAACTTTATTTAATATAATCAAATTATAAGTTATAAGCACAAGTTGCTGACTACTTTAACCAAAAATACCATAAACAATGAGTCAAGAAAAAACAACCATCTAAAAAGTAAAAGAATAATTTAGAGAACTCAAAATCTCAAATTAGCCATTTTACAATGTCTTCCTTCTTGGCCCCTTAAGCATCTCAGCTCATTTTTATTAATATTTATCAATGTCAGTGGTAATCTAGGAGCTAACTCCAACAATACAATTGTTATTAGTTGGCCTGGAACCAGTGTATTATTCTGAAAATTAGCTGGTATAGGAGGTAGGGGAAATGAAAAAGTTCACAGCCTGGAACTGGTGATGTTTAATAGAAAAAGTTCAAAATCAGAATCAAATAAACCTGAGTTTCAGTCCCAATTTTACCACCTAGTGGCTATATTATTTTATCACTATAGACCTCAATTTCCTCATATGTAAAATGGGTATTTTATCACATCACAGTGGGTGCTTTGTGAAGAAAGAGACAATGTTCATTACGAGCTAGGATGGTATTTGGCACATTAGAAGCATTTCATAAATGGTGCCTATTACCAGTATAATTATTCCCAAGGTACAATTTGAAACAAAATGGCATAAAAGGATCACCATTGTTACTGGCCTGCCTATAGGAACATACGTAACAACCTCTTGTGCCATTCTAGCGGAATACCTTTTCCATACAAATCCATGGATAATTCTTTTTTGGCATATTCTTCCCACAAACCCTATACTGGGAAACACTATTTGACTATATATACTCTACAGTTAACTGTTTCAATCTTTAGTCTTGCTTCAAAAATATTCTAAAAGCTCAAAGTATAATTGGATTATATTGCCTTTTACTTGATTTAATATAACAAAGAGGAAATTTGGTCTATTCAACACATATTAATATAAGAAATATTACCAGGGTGAAAATAAGAATCTGTGAGCAAAATATCTCAGAATCTCAAATTCTAAATTCTATCCATGCAAATACCAGTCTTAACCAAGTAGGGCTCCACATGTCTCCCTGGACCATTAGGGTACTTCCTCACTTGTTTTACTGTCTCACCACCTCCCTTCTTCTTATACACCTCCTTATACAGCCTCCTCACCTCTACCAGAGTTCTCTCCTAAAATGTAAAGTAGATGGTGTCACTTTTGTCCTTAAAATATTCCCATGGCTTCCTATTGCCTATATGACAACCATTACTCTTACCCTTCCACCACACACTTAAAGCTATTCCAAGACGCTTTCCATTCCACACATCTCACTAGTCCAAATATGTGTGTCTTTGCTCACTCTGCTATCTCTACCCTGAATGTTTTTTTCTACCTGTGCCATAAGACTATGCTGAAATACTACCTCCACTACTGGCAGTGTTACCTTGGACAATTTACTTAAACTCTGTGTGTCTCAGGTTCTTCATTTGCAAAATAGGGGTAACAGTAAATATCTTATAGGAATATTTCAGGATTAAATGAGTTAATACATGTTAAATGCTTACAACAGTGACTGACACATAGTGTCAGCTTTGGTAAAGACAATGAAGAAAAAGAAGGATGAAAGAGAAGCAGGAGGAGGAGAAGGAAGAGAACTAGTCCCTAGAGAGAAATGACCATGCCTCAATTTCAATCTCTACTGTGTTATGTTTGCATATACATTATCCACATATATTTTATATATAAAATATATATCATATGTCACATCCAATTGCATTAATATGCTCACATGTGTGATTCCAAAATTAGACTGTTATCTCTTTGAAAATAGGAACAGAGCCTTATTCATTCTTGCATCACCAGTACCTAGAATAGTATCAGGTACGTAACAGATATTCAGAAACATTATTAAATGAATTCAGTAGACAAGCCAAAGTCAGCAGAACAAGCCACAGGAAAGCTAACAAGTATTATTTTAGATTCTCAAATAATGATAATAAATTTAGACAGCAGAATAAAGTCCCTGTTTCAATAATGAATAAGGCCTTCAAAAATTGAGGAAATCATTAAGGCAAAACAATAGTCAGACCCCACCTTGAAAAGGCAAATCAAAAAGGTCCAGGAGCTTCGTATAAGTAAAGCAAACCCACCAGACTGACACAATATTTAATAGGAAAAACATTGATAACATTCAGATCCTATTACCATCTTTGGAGCCCTCAAAGACAGTATATAAGATGTGTGCAAGCAGCTCAGTGGAAATCTAAGAGAAAGACAAGACTAAAAGGCCAGAATTTTCTTCTATCTAGTCAGTTTTGATTCCAGAGGAAAGAAACTATTGAAAGTATATCAGGGTTTGACACAGAATTGTAATATTCTTTGCTATCCACTGGAATGTAAGCTCATCTCACTAGAATGTAGTTCACTTAGGAAAGAGACTTTGTCTTGTTCATAACTGTATCCCAAGCACCTAGAACTTTATCTGGCGTGTAGTAAGACATGCAATTAATATGTGCTGACTGACCTTCATATAAAAGTTTTAGTTCATGATGCTAAATATGAAAATATTTCAAAGAATCATAGATTTAAAAGGCTGAATCTAAATTCCATCTCCACCACCATATCCATCACAACCACTACCACCAGACACCCCACAACTTCTCTCTCCAAGAGTTCCTACAGCCAGTAAAAAGGAATACACCACATGGCAACAGAAGGCTATTTTAAACATGAAAAATACTCCATAATCTAAAATACAATCCATCCTGATAAACCTCTAGTACATTGGTCCTAGTCAGGCCTTTTGGAACAACACAAAACAATCCAAAACTCACTTTCAAATTATATCCTTCCAAGAATCTGAAACTATCTAATGCAGCCTGCTTCCCCTTTAGGCCTCTCTCCAGGATAAATATCCCCAAGCACTTTCATACCTCACAGAACTGCACTGCCCTTCTTCACCAGGCTTAGTCTTCTGTGGCTTCACCCCCCCACCCCACCCCACCCCCGTTGCTGATGTCGCTTTAGTGTGTATGACTAGACCTCAGTACAGTGAACACTCTCAGTCCCTGGCTCTGAACACTATACCTCTACTAAGTCAGCCTGAGATTGCTTTATTGCTGTTTTGTTGTTGCTGTCCTTGTTGTTTGCTAACCTTGCCTTGCCACACTGTGAACTGATATGAAATTAACAATCACCAAAAATTCTTGCACTTTTCTCATATCCACCGCTCCCTAACAACCTCTATTTTGGATTTTTGCATTTGGACTGTTGTTTGCGTGGTGATTGAGTCATTTAAGTTTACCTTTAAATTCACCTCTTTCCAAGATCTCTCAGGACTTCTGGCATTAGAAATTCCACATTTCCAAATAAAAATAGCTTCAGTTATATTATATTTGGGTTTGGATTTAGAATTAGAATTAAAGTAAATCACACATTTTTGTCCCAGAAAGGACCTTAAATGTAGCCTAATTTGACTCCAAGAGGCTTAACTGACTCTAAGCCATAGAGCTGGGGCAGTGATTCAAGTCTCTCACCTCCCAAATATGGAGATCATTCCACTTCACAGAGCAGCCTTGACAAAAGGGAGAAGCTCACCATAAACTGCTTAGGGTTCTGAAAAACTGTCTTTCAAGTGTAAACATGAAATGCTATATTCTAAAAATGACTCAATTTGTAGCATTTTTTTTTCTTACCTGTAAAAGCTAGATATAATTATTTCTATTAAAAAATTGATGGGATACAGCAGGACTGTTCTCTTCATAGCAAAAAAAAAAAAAAAAAAAAAAAACTTCAAAAAATCAAATGATTTCCATATTTAAAATATGGGCCCAGCAAGAGCATGTTTCAGGCATGAGTAGGAAAAACATATACAATCAGCTCAGCCACTGGATGGCACTGCAGCTTCACTGATATCAGCTATGTCATTTACAGACAATGACAGAAGCAATTTCAAAGTTGAGATTCAAAGCTTATGTAATGGTGTGTGAAATAATTTGACAGTAGCTATTCAAGCCACATGCTTTACCAAACTATTTCAGTTTTATAGTAAAATGACACAGAAACCAATAGTTTCTTAGACTGGATTCTATTGTATTTTTTAATGTTTGCTAAATACTATACAGTTGTTGTTTAGGGGAGGAGGTTGTTTTTGTTTTTGAGACAGGTATCATTCTATTCCCCAGGGCTAGAGTGCAGTGGTGTCATCAAAGCTCACTGTAGCCTTCTACTTCTGGGCTCAAGCAATCTTCCTGCCTCATCCTCTCAAGTAGCTGGGGCTACAGCCACCTGTCACCATGCCAGGTTAATTTTTCTATTTTTTGTACAGACAGATCTCTCTCTTGCTCAGGCTGGTCTTGAACTCCTGACCTCAAGTGATCCTGCCATCTCAGCCTCCCAGAGTTCTAGGATTACAGGTGTGAGCTACCACACCCAGCATCAGTACTACACAGTTTTAAATGCCACAGAAGAAACTACAGATTATTCCACAAACAAAAGAAAAATTGTCATATGTCTTTAATGAAAGAGATTTCAGATATCTGATCTCCCTCTATCACTAAATTTATGCTGGTGACTTGCCTCAGCACTAAATTTAGTGTTTCCCATCTAGGGAAGAGCCCCTGGTTAGTCTTGATCTTGAGGATCTCTTTAGGAATACAGAGTCATATCAAAAAATATCAACCCCTTCCATACAGCTCCTCCATTTGAGTAGGCAAACCAAAATAGGATGGGTCATAACAGGATTTGATTTAGTCAATAGACATGCGGTATTACAAGGATATGAAGAGGCACTATAGGGTTAGTTTGGCTCTGGCCTCAGTATACCTGTGACTAGATGAGCAAATTAACTTTTCCCAGCCTCAGCTTCCTTATCTATAAAATGAAGGTAATAACAGCACCTTTCTCAAAGTGTTGGTGTGAGGATTAAATGAGATAATACACGAAAGTTTTTAGAAGCATAGCTGATGAATGGTAGGCATCCAATCAACAAATGTTAATGATGATGGTGATGGTACTGCCTTTTGCATGGTACCTAGCACATAGTACTGATTCAATAATAATAACAAAGGGAAGCCATAATGCCTAGATCCTACAAAAATGGGAGTTTAGATTGCTCTAGAGTGACACCAAGAACAGCCTGAGGATCCGAGGTCTATTTCTACTCCTGTCTATGTTATAACAGACTTCAACTCTAAAGTCACTATAGTATCCAGGTCCCTCAGACCCAGGAGAACTCAGACATAGTAGGACCTCCAAGGGCTTGTCTCCATTAAATAGACCCTCCAACTCCCTTTTTAGCCTCAGCTCAGGAATCAACTTACCAGCTAGTAAGGAGGGAATTTCTGGGTGAAAATTATTAATTTCCTTGAAATTTGTTATATTAAAGAAACTGAAAGAATTTCATCCTGATCTTCAGGTGGCAACTGTACAACCACATACCACCCCACTGTCCTTGCATCCCTCACTCCCCTCACTCCCATCCCAAGAGACTGTGACCAGAGAACTATCCTCCCTCACCCCTTATTTTGTCAGAGACAAACTCAAGTTATATGAGGAGATGTCTTGCATAGGTTATAAATAAGAAATTATTTTAAGATGACTTATCACTTTAAATTAAAATTCTCTCAGCATTAACAAGAACAAACACTAACAGTGAAATGTTGGCACAGACATCTCTGCCCTTCAAAGCTTTGGCAGGCAAACACTGTAGCAGACCAAACTATGATGGTCCTGTGAAGCTGTATTTGTTGTTACACCAAGTGCAACAGGAGTATGCAAATTCTTTTTAGGAAATCATTTGGAACTGAATGTAGAGTCATTAGAATAGTCTGTAGGCCAAATTTACATTATACATGAGACAGTGTCCCCTCAATTTAATTCACACTCAAAAACTAGCTAGCTCAAGTCATTGATAGTAACAGAATGTTTTTAATTTGAGGAACAAAACAGAAAGAGAACACACAATGTTATGCATTGAGCATGCAAATATCTTTACTTCCATTTTTATTTTTTAAATATTGTCAACTTTTAAGATAATTGGCTATGCTTTGAAGAAATAAGAAAAAAAGTATCTCTCCTGAATATTCAGGGTAAGGTTTTGCATGGAATAAAGAAAAATAAAGTAGTCGTGTTGCAGATGCCAGCAACAACTCAAGCAAGGTCTCACCTGGAGTATGTTTACCCTCCTTGGACTGCATTCCAATAGCTGGAAAGTGAATATAGGGAATAAATATGTCTCCTAGAGCAAAAGTGCTAACAACATTGTAGGGAAGTCAGCAGAAGTGTCAGCAACTTTCTCAAGCCAAAACTGAGCATTGAGTACTGGGAAGTGAGAATCTTATTATAAAATAAAATCTCCTTGCCCTTGTCTTGTGACTAGGTCAGAGTTTAAGTGTTCATTCACCCTATTAGCATGTAGGCATTAAGTAAAGTACAAGCACTTCAAGCAGGATGAAATCCAAGCTCTACAGCATGACATAAATAGAGTCATCATAGTTTATTATCCAAACCAGAACACTTTTAAGAGTTGAAAGAGGGCACTATTAATAATGATTCCAGGACAACAGACATAAAGTGGGACTACCCTGGGCAAGCCGGGGGGGATGGTCACCCTACCTAGAGCTATAATAACCACATGGATGTCTAGTATCATGGGTGACAAGTTGTGACCTGAGAGACAGAGAGACACTGGAGAATATCTATCAATTTTAGGAATTCCCTTTCTTTTCGTTAACACTTTATTGTCCACATTTTTACATGTGATCACTACTGAAGTAAAACTAAAAACAGAAAAACTATATAATATATATTCACTAAATTTTATATTGTAAAATTCATTAAATATTCTTTAACATTCAATGTACTATGTAATGAAAGCCTTAAGAAAATCAGGAAATATAGGCAAAAATATTTTGTCAGTATATTTCATACCTTGGAAGACTGACCTATGGCCATCAGTTTTCTGCAAATGGTGTAAATGTAAATGGTACCTAGATGGAAAAAAAGATTGTTAACATGTTGCACGGTCTAATGATGGAAATTTTATATTCCAGTTTCTGTGGTTTAAGTCTGTAGTTCCCAAAACAAGTGATCTCATGAGAAAGTCTGATAATAATAGTTATAATCACCATAATTTTTCTTATAACTTATAGACAAAATCATTAAAATAACTAATATAGCCATATTTTAAATCTTTTAGTCTCATTTTAAAGCCAATTTAAGTTTTGAAATATATTGAACAAAAGAATATTTTTAGTGGCATAATTTATGTACCCTGTGGTTTTATTAATTCATATAAAATGGTATTGAGTCCCATGGTTTCCCTACAGTTGGAAAAGCTAAAGATTTATTTCCAAATAAGATTAGAATGCATATTAAATCAGTATGGTACAATACTCAATAAGGAAACTCATAATTTAAAAATCATAATGCATAACAGTTTGTATCATATTCATTCACAGACTCATGTATGTCATATAATACTCTAATGAGAAAACAGCATTTCCAACACTTAAGCAAGATCATTCAGATATGCTTTCATGTCAAACCATTAATTAAATGAAGATAAAATGCAGGGTTGGAGGAAGAGTAGGGAACAATATCACCAAACATCTCTTTGTATACAAAGGACTTGATCAAGCTATAAACATACCCAAAAGATGGTAACATGCTTTAAAAAGTCATGTAATTGTAATGACAAGTAGTGGAAATATTTTCTACAAAAGTATCTAATATTCATTACCATCAGAATTCAACAATTATTAATCTTATGTTCACATTTAAACTTTAAAAGCTTCTGAGAAAGCAGAATCTGTACCAAAACACCTATCACTTGATTAAAACACACCTAATAAACATTAATTGCACAAATCAGTGACCAAAAAATTGAATAAAATTTAAACTTAAATACATATGGCACCATAAACTTCATAGAGAATGCAATTGGTTCTTAACATTCAAGGACTTAACATTCTTTGTCTGACTGCTTGCCTGATACATACTTATTTCACTTAAGATCCATGGGAGAAGAAACTATTTAACTAGTAGCAGCTCAAGCCCAGCATACTTATCTCAAGTTGGTTTTGTTGACCTCTACTATTAATCTATAAAAATAAAAAATGTATAACTGCTTCTTTGTAGGAAAAAAAAATAGTCACTGAGTCAGGATATGCACAGGAAACACATGCTTCTCCACAAAACATGTGGTGCAGGTGTAAGCCAGGAGCCTGTACAAACACATCAGTAACAGGGAACTGGAGAACTTAAGAAGGTCTTAGGAGACTGCCCTCAAGAATGACAAGGGCCCTCTGTATTTCAAATGTGCCTTTAACCTTTCCAATCCTAATATGTTCTGACTATAACTGAATCCTTCTTGGATAGTGCAGGATCTTGGCAAGGCTCTCAAATTCCCACTGCAGAAGCCAGAACAAGAGAGTAAATGGTAAAAGATGGAGCATAGACTGAATCCTTATGATCTCAGGATATTTCTAGAAGTTTGTTTTGTTTTATTTTTAACCAAATCCCTAGTATGAATTTATTGCCTGGTCATGTGACCCCTTTTCATCAATGATGACACTATCAAAATAATCTATTTGAGAGTCTAAATTAAATTAGTTGGGCTCCAGTTAGTTGAGAAGTAAGTTATTATCCATACCCATACACCCACTTAGCTTTTATAAAAGAACAAAGATTGGGTAAATATCTTAAGAAACCCAGGGTATATATGTATAACAGTCAACTGAAAGTAAATACAGTAAGTTGTCTAACTGAATAGGTCAAATGTATTTTGATAAGTTGTCAAAATACATTTGACCTTTTCAGTCAAATATATTTTGGACTACTTAAATTCCAAATTGTCAAAACTTCAGGGTCTTTGCACTTGCTAATCCCCCAGTTAAAATGCCCTTCCCCCAAATATCCAGATGGTTCACTCACCAAATTCCTTCAGGTTTTTGTTAAGTGTCATCTCAGCTAGGCTTTTCCTGACCATTCTATCTATTTAAAATTGCAGCCCACCCCCTACCTAGCCCCTGTTCTCCCTACCCACTTTTTGCCTTTATTTTTCTCCATAGCACTCATCAGCATCTGACACTATTTGTTTATCATCTCCCTGTTGTAGAAGTAAGCATGGTAACAGGGTTTTTATCTGTTGTCCACTCCTGTGTCCCTGGCACCTAGAATAATGCCTGGCACATGGTAGGCATTCAGTAAGTTTCAGACAAATAAGTTAAAACAGGGAGAGTAGTTAGTGAAACTAAGTATATGTACCTCCCACAACCCAGCAATTCTACTCTTGGGCATAGATCCCAGAAAACTCTCCCACAGGTCTATCTATAAAAGGACATGTGCAAGGATATTCACTGCGTAATTATTTGTGCAATTAATGAGGTAGGGCAAACCAGGTGGATATCTTCTGGAATACAATTCAGCAGGCAGAGTTAACAAATTACATTTATATAAAGGAACTTGGCTAGATTCTAAAACCACAGTATTTGGTGGGGGAAAAAAATTAGGAAACAATAAAATCTAGAGCACAATGCCATGTGAATCTTTTTATAAAAAGCACACAGCAAGAAAAGGATATAAAGAATACAAAAATAGTATAATTTTTTTAAGAATATTATGGGGCCAGGCACCAAGTGGCTCACACCTATAATCCCAGCACTTTGGGAGGTTGAGGCAGGAGGATCACTTGCTCAAAGCCAAAAGTTCAAGACCAGCCTGGGCATCACAGAAAGGCCCCATCTTTACAAAAAAATTAAAAATTAGCCAGGTATGGTGGTACACACCTATAGTCCCAGCTACTCAGTAGGCTGAGGCTGGAGGATTGCTTTAGCCCAGGAATTTGAGGTTTCAGTGAACTGTGATCACAGCCGCACTCCAGCTTGGGCAACAATGTAGGATCCAATCTCTTAAAAAAAAAAAAACCAGGCCGGGCGTGGTGGCTCACGCCTGTAATCCTAGCACTCTGGGAGGCCGAGGCGGGCGGATTGCTCGAGGTCAGGAGTTCGAAACCAGCCTGAACAAGAGCGAGACCCCGTCTCTACTATAAAAATAGAAAGAAATTAATTGGCCAACTAATATATATATATAAAAAATTAGCTGGGCATGGTGGCGCATGCCTGTAGTCCCAGCTACTCGGGAGGCTGAGGCAGAAGGATTGCTTGAGCCAGGAGATTGAGGTTGCTGTGAGCTAGGCTGACGCCATGGCACTCACTCTAGCCTAGGCAAGAAAGCGAGACTCTGTCTCAAAAAAAAAAAAAACACCACAAACTATTAGGGGGACGATTTTGTGATCTTAAAAGGACTAAAGGCAAGGAATCACGTTGCATCATTTCCACCTCTCAAGCAAGGCCTGACCACAGGGCCCAGCCCTTGGGCCTGTCACTGCCTCTTGAGCACAGAACCACTTCACCTTCTCTGTCTGTCCCTGCAAAGGTGGTGAAGCAATTTGGGTGGAGAGATGGCAGTGGTGGCTTGGAACTGCAGAGTCTCTTGAGGACGATCAGGCACAAAAGCTTACCAATCACTGGACTGAAAAGCTCATCAAAGTTGGCCTCATCTCTGGCAGCAAATATAAACTCTAATTTCAATCAAAATAGCAACACATGATTTCAGGTAGGTGAAAAAGGGAAAGGCTAGAAAACATACCCTTTGAAGTTATTTGGCCCTGGTCTTATGCAGATCAAAACACACTGTCATTATTATTTTCCTTTTAAGACTATATTATCCAAAGAATAATACAGTAAATGACTTATTGTAACTTTAAAATAGAGAAAAGCAAATGTTATATTTTTATGGCTAAGATTCATTTCTTTAGACATATATGTAATATACATTTATGTGTGTATACATATACATATGTGTGTGTGTGTTCCTCAGAGCTACTCACTCAAAAACGAGGGGAAGGTCACCATGTAGAAAGCCAAAGCCACTGGCCAAGTTGTTTGAGGAGAGGACCAGTAAATGGGTGATGCTTAGAACCAAGGTAACCTGCAGTGGTCTTTTGATCCTTCTTCACTTTTATTTACTCATTACCTGTGGCCCCTGCTTTGCATATGCCCAAAAGTGATTATTCCCACAGACTCTGACCTTTCCTTCAGTGAAAACTCAAAGACATGTTTTATAAGTCCCTATTTATGGGGAAAAACTAAAATGTAACACAAATGTAAAAAAAACCCATAATCATCCTATTATGAAATGCATATGTTTTAAATCACAAGGTAATCAAGTTATCATCAAACTTGGCATTTAAATAACTTCCTGAAAGACACAATGGAATACAAAATACATTGGTGTATACCATTGAAGATAATCCAGCAAAGGTGCTCCTGTGGCAGAGCCACCTGCATGATGAGCCTTAAGGAGGACAAGATATGCAGACACTGGATCACAGATTCTTTATTATGCAAGTTTTCATCACTATCGCAGACCAGCTGGTAGTTGCACATACTTTCAACACTTAAAGCATGAAACTGAAACACATGGGAAAATATAAATAGGAATATAAATAAGGTTTGTGCAATTTAGGAAAGCATTTCTCAAAATGTAAAAAACTAAAATAGAAACAATTATGCTTAATTTAATAGATTAGTATAGAAAAAAAATGATAAGACAGGTTTCTTTGAAACATCCATTTAGTTAATATAGGCTTTCCTTAGTCAAAAGAAATTCAAAAGCAAAATAGTACAAAAATCCTATTACCAAAAACACAAAACTGAATCTATTTTTGTAAGCTCACCTAGTGGCATTTTAACCTGTTTATTAATTAAGATGTAATTATTGCCATGTACACAATTCATTCAGCAAATGTTTATTGAGCCCCTCTATTTGCCATGGTCTACTGGGCAGGAGGGACTCTTGGATGAGGAAGAAATGGCCCCTGGTCTTTGTGGAAGGAAAAGAGTTCCAGGCATATGCAACATTCGCAATGTTTTAAAGTAGATTTTGTGGTGACTAAATTAAATGTCTTTTGTAAGTTTAGATAAGAAGGTTTAAGATAAACGAATTAGGCTATTGGGTGGCCAAGGGGCAGAACATGGAGAGCGTTACATGTTATTCCAAGGAATTGGGACTTTAGCCAAAAGGCAAAGTCAAAGGGCAGTAGAATAAAATGATTGATTTACACTTTAGAAATTAATTCTGGCAAAGTGTGGAAAATAAAAAGCAGAGGGTGGAGGTCAAAAGCTACACACAGGGAGGCTAGGAGAGACTTTTTCTTCAATAGGGTGCTAGCCTACATTGCCCAGTATTCTCATCCATGCACTCATTATGGTACAGTCAAATTGAACTATCTAGTGGTCCCCCAAACATGCCTGCTTATTAACCACATACTGTTTCCAAGGCCTTGAATATTCATCAAGTTTGGAATAACATAGATTTGGAGTTAGTCTTACCAGGTTTCAAACATCACCCCTGCCCATTGCTTTAAATGGGCTGGTTTTTTAAACTGTAATAAGCTCCAATTTCCTAATCAGTAAAAGAGGCACCTCTTAGGACTTGAATGAGGCCACAAGATGATAATTCATATAATGCATTTAAGAGTACTGAGCACACAGTAACTACTCAACCAGTGAAATCACTGGGAGCAATTGACATAATAATACTGGTAAAGTTGAAATAAAGTATAAAATTTTTATATCAACACATCCATGTTTAATCTCACGAGCCATTTTTTTACACTGTGTGATCAGCTTTATATTTCTCTTCTGTAAAATAGGGATAATAATAGTCTCTAGCTCATAAAGTTATTGTAAGGGTCAAATATGTCTTCCAAAGCACTTTGCAAACTAAAAGCATTCTATACATATTAGTTACTATAATAACAATAACTGTCCACCAGATGAATGAATGATTATAGTGCCCAATCTTCAAAGCAGCTTTACAAAGCTTAGTAAGTTCAATTTCTTATCTAGCACTAAAGTATTTAGTAAGCAACTTATAGCACATGGCTAGATGCTATGTGTAAATAAAAGACGTTTAGAAGCAGTCACATAAAGGATATATTGCATAGCTAATCATAAATCTTTCATCTTACTGTAAGTTCAGCAGTCTTATCTTTGAAGCCTTTTGGGAAAAAGACAGTTTTGAATGTATTCACATCTGCTTTATGCTCATCAAAATTGGTACTGAACTGCTGAAGGTATCGTCCATAGCACTGTAAAAGGGCCAGTTTGTATTCCTGAAATAAAAAGATTTGATTAAAGACTTGATTAAAGTTTCAAAATTTAATTTTTCTGATTATTAAGCCTGAGTAATATTCATATTCATATTATTCTTAATAGTATTAATGTTGATTGTTACAATTACTACTGTTACTACCCCCACCATTTTCCAAGCACTTAGTGTGTGACAGACACTGAGTTACACAATTTTTGTGCATTATTTCATTCAATTCTCCTCACAAGCCTCTTGTGAGATGGGGCCATCATGATCACAAAGAAGAGAATATTCACTATGGCACTGTGTGTGGTAATACTGACATGTACTTAAAATTCAATCCCAAAAATTCACCATCATCAGATCATGATAACCAACATGCTCAGTCTGAGATGCAGATGAGTAGTCTTGCTTCTCTGCTATGGCCTAGGCTCAAAAGAGAGAGAGAGAGGGGGGGGGGGGCGAGGAAGAAGAAGAGAGGAGGAAAAAATGCAGAATGCCATGCGTAATCTTTCATCTGTCAACAGTCTCTGAAGCTGCAACAGGACAAATTTTGAAAATCTGAGCGTTGGGTTTCTTATTAATTCAAATTCATGCTTTGGTTTCCATTACAGAGTCAGAAGCCACATTTCTGTAACCCACAGAAGACAGTTGATCTGGAGCATTTTGGCAGTAGGGCATGTGAGCAGTGCTCTGAATAGAAGTCAGTTGCAACCTTTCCTCAGCTTCCTCTCCTGCTACTGTGTCTCCTAGAAAAGCAGCTGGGTATGAACTGCCTGTCCAGTTACCCAGCCCTGGGGTGGCATTCACAGTCAAACATTGTTTTGTTTACATTTCTATTGACTTTTGTTATTTGCTCACTAATTAAACCTTGGTCTTTCCCATTCTAACTTGATTTATATAATATATTCAAATCCAGGTTCAAAACAAGAGTATTTCACAAGATGATCTTTACTATAACTGAAATAAAAATAGAGTCTAGGAACCAAAGTAACAACTTAAGTTCATTTTCAGGATTATAAATACCTTCAGTGGCCAACTTCACCATCAGTGAAAAGTAGATACATTTTTTTTCTTTGGTCCTTAAACAAAGTTTTAAAATATCCTATCTAGGCCTTTCTATCGGGAACATTCTGAATCCTTATCCACCATCAACTTGCTTTATCAGCTTCTAACATGCACCTTCCTCCTCCCTCCACCAATACCTACTCCACCCATATGGCTACTCTTCAAGCAACCCCAAACTGTGTTTTGTATTTCCAGCTTCTTATGCTGAGAATTTTAAGGATGGAGGAAGACTCTCTTCTAATTCCTGTCAAAACTGTTATTCCACTTCTCATAAATGAAGCTTATAAGGTAGATTTCACCTGACTTTTTGTTGTAGTTTTCAAAACCTATATTTTCAAGTTTCTAAGAATGATGGTCCGTTTACGTCGTGGCTAAGCTAATTCTCTAATTTCAGCAGAGGAAAATAGGTCTTAGTTCTTCACTATGAAATTTCTTCCATATCTTACCATCTTACTTGGCAAATTTGCCTACCAGAACAAAAGGATTAAAGTCCAGAAAATAGAAATGGAAATAAAAAATGAAGCTGAGAAACTGAGGATTGAGAAAATACTAAATACTGCCCATGTCTGGCCCAAAATCATTTTGCCCAACATTCATATAACTTGGACCTATAATAATTTGGATCTCTGCCAGAGCTTAAGGGGAAAATTTACATGATCATTAACTGAAAACCCAGTCGTGGTGTGGTCTTATCAAGCCAAGTCCATGAGTTGCAGCGTTTTAAGACCTAGATATTCACATGGAACTAAAGATAGGACACAAACTCAGTTTGACATGCAATACCGAGCAAGAAACAGCATATGTAGGGAATGACTGCTATAATTACATATTGCAAACCATTAAGGAGTTGAAAGTCATTAAAACAGGGCACTGGGAACCAGGTAACAGAGCTCCAAGGCCAGAAGCCATGAGGGTTATTGGCTGGGCAAGGCCAGCCATGTGAAAAACAACAGGAAGTGGTGTCTGGGCTCCTTTGTATAAGGTAGGAACATGATGACTCAGCATTTCCTGTTGTGCGCCTACCACACCCTCTGTTAACCCAGCCTGTGCTCCTGCTCATCCCCAGTCAGCGTCCTGTCCTTTCAGGAATCTCTCACTGCTGGAGAACCTCAACTACAAAATTAAAAAGCAAACCCTTTTTTGGTTACAGTACCTCATTAAAATTGTTACGTATTCATTAATTTTTTTCTAAGAAAAAAAATCAAAACATGTAAAATAGGAATGGTATCAAAATAAATACTGTAAGAATAATAATAATAATTAGCCAAATGAGTTTCATTTTGACTCTCTTTGTTGGAGGGGCACTTACTTTCATTTGACAAAGGCTATCTCCAACCTTCAAGAGCTTTTCGTTGTAATAGTCAGCTGGCAGCCTGGGGGCGTATTTAGACCAGATATTAAACAGAGACGTGGCACTGTAAAAAATCATAAAATAAAATGGCATCTTTAAAGTTGGCAGGAAACCTCAATTAATTAGCAAGCAACCTTTTAAAACTTACCTTGTACTAAGCCTTTCCCATGTGCCTTATCGTTAATGTCTAATTGTTAATAATAAATGTAATTATAGTTAAAATCATTGCTTCCTATGTGCCAAGCACTTTACATGATTTACTTAGATATACTTTATTTTTTAGAGAAGTTTTAAGTTCATGGCAAAATGGAGCAGAAGGTACAGAAATTCCCCACCTCAACCCCCTACCCCCACACATGCATTGGCCTCCCCCATTATCACCATGCTCCACCTGAGTGGCACATGTGTTACAAATGATAAACCTACATTGACACATCATTATCACCCAAAGCCCACACTTTACATTAGGGTTCACTCTTGGTGTTGAACATTCTATGGATGTGGACAAATGTATGACGTGTATACACCATTAAAATATAGAATAGTTACATAACCCTAAAAAATCCTGTGTGCTCCACCTATTCATCCCTTACTCCCTGGCAACCACTGATCTTTGTATTGTCTCCATAGTTTTGCCTTTTCCAGAATGTCATATAAATAGTTGGAATCACATAGTAGGTAGCCTTTTTAGATTGGCTTCTTTCACTTAATATCTAAGTTTCCTCCATGTCTTTAGTAAGAATATGTCTTCCAAAGCAAAGTGACTATACTATTTTGCATTCCCACCACTAATGAATGAGAGTTCCTGATGCTCCACATCCTTGCCAGCATTTGGTGTTGTCAGTATTCTGCATTTTAGTCTTTCTAATAAGTATGTAGGGTATCTCATTGTTGTTTTAATTTGCATTTCCCTGATGACATATGCTATGGGACATCTTTTCATATGTTTATTTGCCATCTGTTTATATTCTTTGGTGAGGCATCTGTTAAGGTCTTTGGCCCGCTTTTTTTAAAATCAGGTTGTTTTCTTATTGCCAAATTTCAAAAGCTCTTTGGCTACTTTGGATAACAGTCCTTCATCAGATATGGTTTTTGCAAATATGTTCTCCCAGTTTATAGCTTATCTTTCCATTCTTTTGATAGTGTCTTTCACACTGCAAAAATTTTTAACTGTAATAAAGTCCAACTTATCAATACTTTCTTTCATGGATCATGCCTTTAATGTTGCATATAAAATAATCACTGCCAACCCCAAGGTCTTCTGGATTTGTTTCTGTGTTATCTTCTAGGAGTTTTATAGTATTGCATTTTACATTTGTATGTGATCCATTTTGAGTTAATTTTTGTGAAAGGTATAAGGTATGTGTCTAGATTCATTTCTTTTTTTACATGGAGCTATTTGGTTGTTTCAGGACCATTTATTGCAAAAGTTTTTTCCATTTTATTGCTTTTGCTCCTTAGTCAAAGACCAGTTGACTATATTTATGAGTCTACTTCTAGACTATGTTATGCATACTGTTCCATTGATCTAGTTGTCTATTCTTTCAACAATATGACACTATCTTGAATATTGTAACTTTATAGTGTTAAATTAAGCTTAGCCTAAAAGCTGCCTTCTTACATATTTTAAGTTTGGCCTAAAGGTTTCTCTGTACATAGTGACCTGAAACATAAATGGATGTGTAAACAGCCTGCAGCAACCTGCTCTTATGCCAATCACCAGGTTTTGGCCAAGTAAAAGTGGCCAGATATTCAAAATGTGTTCAAGTAAGGCAAATGATGAGCTGTAACCAATCTTGCTGTTTCTGTCCTCACTTCCATTTTCTGTACGTCACTTTCCTTTCTCTGTCTATAAATTTTCTTCAACCATATGGTAGCGCCAGAGTCTGAACCTATTCTGGTTCAAGGGCTGCCCAATTCATGAATTGTTCTTTGATCAAACTTTGTAAAATTTAATTTGTCTAAGGTTTTTCTTTTAATAATAATAAGTCTTGAAATTGGGTAGTGTCAGTCCTTCAATTTTGTTGTTCTTCAATATTGCGTTGGCTATTCTGGGTCTCTTTGCATACATGCATTTTTTTTTCATTTCATTTTCACACCCTCAAGATGCGTGATATCAATATTCCAAATATACAGTTAATGAGTCTGAGGCTCAGTGCATCTATGTGCTTAACTACTGTACCACTGTGCTTTCCAGCTCCCTGAGGGCAAAGACATTCAAATTCAATTATATTATCCATTGCCCAGCCCCAAGAGTAGTGAGTATCTAGTACATGTAGGTACTCAATAAATATTTGTTTAAAAAATGAATGAATGACTAGGAAAAAAATCATTCCTTGTTTTTATTTTATGTTTCTCTTCTCTTCTCTTCTCTTCTCTTCTCTTCTCTTCTCTTCTCTTCTCTTCTCTTCTCTTCTCTTCTCTTCTCTTTTCTTTTCAGACAGTCTCACTCTGTTACCCTGGTGAGTCCCATGGTGTCAGCCTAGCACACAGCAACTTCAAACTCCTGGGCTCAAGCAATTGTCCTGCCTCAGCCTCCTGAGCTGGGACTACAGGCAGGAGCCATCACAGCCAACTAATCTTTTCTATTTTTAATAGAGGCGGGGCCTCATTCTTGCTCAGGCTGGTCTGGGACTCCTGACTTCAAGAGATCCTCCTGCCTTGGCCTCCCAGAGTGCTAGGATTACAGGCATGAGTCACCACGCCCAGCCTATATTTTATACTTTTCTATGAAGGGCTCAAATATCTAGTCAATCCATTTAAAGTTATGCTTCCTTCCACCAAGTAAAACAAAAACAAAGCATACAATATTTTCAAAATGGTTTCTAATCAGAGTTTCAAAGGGTAGCAGATCGTTGTTTATTTTATTCATTCGTTTAGTTAACATTTACTCCTTTCCTCTCTTTTGGAAATTATAAATGCCTCTAGGAAAAACCCCAATTTCCCCTGAGAGTTGTCCAATCCCATCTCATAAATTTCTAAATAATGGCAGTATATGGACTGAGTGCTTGCCCCCCACCCCCAAATTCATATGTTGAAGCTCCAATCCCCAGTGTGGTTATATTAGGAGGCAGGGCCTCTAAGGAAGCCATGATGTTAAATGAGGTAGCTCCCTGGTCTGCTGGGATTAGAGCCCTTATGAGAAGAGACACCAGAGAGCTTGCTCTCTCTGTCCATGCTCACTAACAGGAAAGGCTATATGAGGAAAAAGCAGGCTTCTACAAGCCAGGAAGAAAAGTCCTTTGCAGAAACCAACCCTGTTGGACCTTAATCTGAGAATTCCAGCTTCTAGTACTGTGAGAAAATAAATTTCTGTTGTATAAGCCACCCAGTCTATGATATTTTGTTATGGCAGCCTGAGACGAATACAGGATCTAAACTTAAGGACTGAAGATGGGTCTAATACTTATGAGGTACATGTTAGAATAATAATGAAACAACCTCAAAAGAAACATGTCAATTAATTCATTAGGGTAATTATATGATATTAACTGAACCATTGATTGAGTCAGGGGGACAAAGCATTCCTGCCTTCATAGACTGATTAATAATATTTGGGGGTAGGAAAACATATACATGTATCAAGTAATAAAAACAACACCAAATAAATGTGGCAAATACAAACCACTGAAGTTTAAAAGGGAGAGGTGTTTTGTTTGTTTGGTTTTTACCTTTTCCACTTTCATTTGCTGCTTCGTGAAATGCCACAGTATTAGAATAAATATAATGAATTCAAGAAATTCACCAATCTTGCTAGAATTCTTCAATTATATGGATGAAATGCTTAATTCTTCTAAACTTTACAGATGAGATAATGAAGACTAGGTTTATTACTCATAAAAGAAAAATACCAGCTTTGTTAAATCAATCAAGGTTACATAATAAGAAAGAGAAAATTTCTTTTCTTTTTTTTAGTGAACCCTAAGTTCAGGTTAACAAACTGCTCATTGAAAATAGCTTACATAACAAACAAAAATATATAATACACAATAAGAAGAGACATACATCACTTAAGAAGACATGTTAATGTACTCAGAATTGCTGTTTGATTATAGTTGCTGCTAGATATTTAGAATGTTCTAACATAGAAAATCATAACTGTATAAGCAGGATATCTAAATCTTACATATAGCAAAAGCATATTTTTAAAAAATGTATCACTCATTTAATGACACTACTGGTATGATGAAAATTTATGTTTTCATATTCATATACTATGAATTTTATGCTTATGAAAGTTCCTATAAGAAACAAACTTTGATTTTAAAAAATAACCATCTGTCAAATATGATATAAAAGCAACTCCTACCTCCTGGACCCCTAACTGGTCTCCCCACTGCCCTTCTTGCTCCCTTTGGATATGATTACCAAAATCATATTTCAAAACAAGAATCACATAAGGTACCAAAAACTACCCAACAGTTTCTCATTCCATTAGGAATAAATGGAAACTCTTTAAAATGACCTCTAAAACCTTCCAAAGCCCTACCTATTCCTATAAATCTCATCTCACACCATTGTACCCACATTCACTATGCTTCTGCTAAATGAGATTCTGTCTATTCCTCCAAAGTACTTAGCTCTGTTCTGCCCAGGATCTTCCTTCATACTTGTTTTTTCTGTTTATTTTCTCCATTTGCCTGGTCAATCTCACATTGTCCTTCTAATCTCAGCTTGTCATTCCTACTTGAAAGCAGGTCCCACTATATTCTTTTCAAGGCTCTGTTCGTGTCCTCTGTTCTGACCATCTTATTGAAAATTGAAGCTTCCCAATTCTCGCTGCATAACTTCTTCTTCTCTTTTTCTCCCTAGTATTTGTCACGTTCTAGGTTACCATAAAATGTACTTATTTGATATGTTTATTGTCTAGTTCCCCTTCTAGAATATAAACTCTAAGAATGCAGAAATTTTTGTCTGATTCACTGCTATATCCCTGGTGCCTAGTACAATGCCTGGCACATATAAATGTTTGACAGCCACTTCTTTCATAGCATTTGCATGTTGACTTAGTGACTCCCTGAAGGTCTAGCTCCCTCTCTGGACTACTAAGCACCATTAGCATAGACTGCCATATTTATTTTGTTCACCACTGTTACCAGTGACCACCAGCACAGTGCCTCACACAGAGCAGACATCCAGCAAAAACTGCTACATAAATAAAGACCTAAATTGTGTGAGAGGTTTGATTTTTAAGGTCCATGTCAATCCTTAATGTTTGTGATTGTTATAGTCTATTTAAAGACGGGACAGATACTGTACTTAGAAATTGGCCCAAGTCTACCTTGCTATATGTTAATATAATGTTCACAATTACTGAGAACACAAGGATCACAATCCGTGAATCGTTTCATTACTAAATATTTACTGAATGTTTACTATGTCCCAACTCCTGGGCTAAGTGCCCAAAATAGAGCAATGAAAAAGAGACACGTAATCTGAAGTCACCAGGGCACTTATATTCTAATGGAGAGCCAGATAATATACAAGAAAACAAATAGTTAAAATACGAATTGATGGCTGAACCCACATGAGATAGGAAAGGCCACTTTAGGAGGTGACCACTCAGCTTCAGCCTGAAAGAAGAGAGGGAGCCATATTTTTTAAAAGCTAGGAGAAGAACAGTCACATAAGGAGACGGCAAATACAAAGGTCTGTGGTAAGAAACAGTTGGACCTGTTATTTTGGAAAGTCCTGAGGAAGAAGTGAGGGATAAGCTGTCAAGAGAGAGAAGGCAAGGCCAGATCTTTAGACCATGGAGGGTACCAAAAGGAGTCTTAATTTTATTCCAAAAACAGTGGTAAGCAATAGAAAGGCTTTAGATAGGAGTAGGTAATTTACTTATAAAGATCACCCTGAATGCTATGTAAAGGATAAATTTGAGACAGAGTACCTGCAAGGAAAATATGAAATGGTAGTGGTTTGGATAGGAATGCTGGTAGTAGAGATGGGAAGATAAAACACAACACTATAAATTGTTTAAACATAAATACATACAGGTTAGGTATGAAATGTGCTCTCCTTAAGCAATTCTTGGTTCTCATCATATTTGGTCAAGAGGATTTGTCATAATTGATCACTCCTTCCTCCTTAAAACACTTTCTCTACCTGATTCCAGTACACCAGGCATTTACTGGTTTTCCTCCACCTCCTTGGCCACTCCTTCTTATCCTCTGTTGATATCTTCATATTATCCCTACTTGTCAATATTGGAGCATCCTAGGGTTCAGTCCTTGGACTCTCTTTTTTTGCATCTAATTCACTTCCTTAGCTATTCCATCAAGTGTCATGATTTAAATATCATTAATAGATGATAAATCCCAAATGTCTATCTCCTCCGACTTCCAGATTCAAATGTCCAACTACCTACATAATAGCTCTGCCTAGGTGTTGAATTACATCTCAATCTATCCAAAATCGAACTCAATCTCCGTCCCTACTGCTCGTCCCATATCCTTCCCATTTGTCTTTCTCCCTGTGTGACCTATACTTTCCACAGAAATCCTCATCAATTACTCCCATATCCCTTTCTCATCTTTCTCAAAGCCATTTTTCCTGATCTTCCTTGACCATGTTCCCCTCTGCCTGTTTAAAATTCCAGCACTCATCCCATATCCTCCATCCCCATTCCCTGTTCTATTTTTCTACCTAACATTCATCTTTGTAAAATTACTTGTTACATATTTGTTTAGTGGCTGTCTGTACTCACAAAAATATATACTCCATGAGGATAGGGATTTTTACATCTTTTTTTAACTTGACATTTTCCCAGTTCCTAGGATTATACCTGATATACAGTAGGTGCTCAACAAATAGTTGTTGACTGAATAAATAACAAATACAAGTCAAAACCATTTCTTCATGTTAAATTCATGAACAAAAATGTAAGTTAAAGGCCAGGCGCGGTGGCTCACGCCTGTAATCCTAGCACTCTGGGAGGCCGAGGTGGGCGGATTGCTCGAGGTCAGGAGTTCGAAACCAGCCTGAGCAAGAGTGAGACCCCATCTCTACTATAAATAGAAAGAAATTAATTGGCCAACTAATTATATAGAAAAAATTAGCCAGGCATGGTGGCGCATGCCTGTAGTCCCAGCTACTTGGGAGGCTGAGGCAGTAGGATTGCTTGAGGCCAGGAGCTTGAGGTTGCTGTGAGCAAAGCTGACGCCATGGCACTCACTCTAGCCTGGGCAACAAAGTGAAACTCTGTCTCAAAAAAAAAAAAAAAAAAAAATGTAAGTTAAAACTATTCACTATTCTGGTATTCTTTGCCACTTGTCTGCATTTGTAACTGTTTAGTTTGCAATGTATTTGAACAGAAAAGAAAGATGCTAACATAAACAGTAAACAGTGGTTTGCAGTTTGTGGTAATAACATGGTGACAGAACCCCAAAAAAGGAAAACAGATGTGCAGAATGAGTCACAAAATTAAGAAAAAGTCACTGTAATCCTAATAACAATATAAAAGGGAATTAAAGTGCACATGTTCACAGGATGACATATTTCACTGTATCAAGAACTTTTTGAAGAATCTAAGCTACCCCAAAGCTATTCCTTTTTCTCTGTATACAACATTGCATACACACAACATGAAAAGTTATGAAAACCCTGAGTGAGTCAAAAATGTATTAGTGTAGAGTAGCAAGTAAGAGACACTCAGAAACAGAACAAATAGCGTGCTATAAGACATTTCTGTATTGGTTTTTATTTTGACCTGAGCTGGAAGCCAAGATATAACATTCCCCAGGAGTGAAGGAGTGTGACAGAGACGAACCTCCACTTGTTAAACTTTGTTTATGTGTCCGGAGCCCTTCAGCCAGGCGGGTCCGCGGCGCCAACCCAGCTGTGGAACCACCACCTGCATCCTGAAGGGCATCTCCTCTGGCCCCTCCTCCGCCGGCGCCCTCCCCAGCGCCCTGCCTCCGCTTACCAACGCCGGTGGAATTCATACTGCTCTTCCTCCGATGTCTCTAAAGCCTTCTTTTTCTTCATAAAACCTAACAACTCGCGAATCTCTTTCTCGAAAGAGGCCAGGAGTGGGTTTTTAGCGTCCAGAGGCCCATAAAACACGGCTAGGGGCAACGAGTCCTCGGGGCAGGTCCAGAAACGCTGGAAGCTCAGGGAGCTATCCTGCCACTCCAGGGGCGACTTCGAAACGGCGGTCGCGGTCGGGGGTGGGGTGGGCGGCAGTTCTGTCTGCGACTCAGATGCCGGAGACTCCTCTGACAGAGAACTCGAGGTGGCGCACTGCGCCGCCATGTTGGCACGACCTGGGTCGGCCTGGAGCGTGTTTACACGGGGTTGCCTAGCGACGGTCTCGGGGCAACCAAGCATCCGGCGCGCTTTCCGGGAAACACAGCGGCCCCTGCAGGGCAGAGGAAGAAAAGCGCGAGCCCGTAAAGGAGCGATGGTCTTAAGGTTTTTTGCCCTGTGGCCCCCTGACACCGCTGTATGAGACACGAATAGAGAGAGGGTTCTGAACAGAAAGACAGCGAATATTAGAGCCGAAAATATACGATCACAAATTCAGACGATACTCTTTTCCCACTTTGGCCACTTAATAACAATGATGATGAGGATGGGCATTAACGTGTGTCAGGCACTGTTCTAAGCATTTGAAACATATAATGTTATTTATCTCATTTAATCACCATAACAACTTTACAGCTTAGTATACTATTAGTATATCCATTTCGCAGTTTAAGAAACTGAAGCTTTCAAGCAATCGCAAATCAAAAATTTTCTGGGGGAAAAAAATAATACAACAAAAAAATAATAAAAATTTTAAAACAATACAACTGTTTACATAGCATTTACATTATATTAGGTGTTATTAGTAATCTAGAGATGATTTAAAGTATACTGGGGGATGTGTCGGTTATATGCAAATACTACACCATTTTATATATGGGACTTGAGCATACACAAATCTTGGTATCCTCCAGGAAGAACCAATTTCCATGAAAAGGGGGAGGACTGTACATGCAACTGATCCAGTGTCTTTCCTCTATTTGTATCTTGAGGTTTGTAACTGTGGAGATTGTGTCTGTGCCTCTAACAATTATGATTATATTTATTTATTAGCATTACAGCCTTATTCTAATTATTGCTATATTCTAAATGTGTGTTTTACTCAATCTTAACTATTAGACATTAATACATACTAATGGTTTGAAGTGTCAAGTCTCAAAATACTTTTGCATTTTAAACAGGGGTTTTAGGAGACTTTACTTCTGATGGGGAAACTATAGGCCTCCAGGGAAATACTTAGAAGCAAAGGAAATTCTTCTTTCCCTGAATATTATGGGCAAAAGTAAGAGTTGAATTTATTAATTTAAAGTACAAGTTTCTGAATAATAGAGAACCTGCTTTCCTTATAAATTATGCAGTGCCAAAAATTATCTAAGAGAAGGACCAGAAATATTTGATAGCTTAGAAAAATAGGTTTTTAACACTCAAAGTTGTTACCAGTTCTGTCACACTTAAAAATAAATAAAGGTAGTGACCATAACACCCTGTGAACCCGATTTACCATTTAAGATTAAGAGGCTTATAGGACCACAGCCTGATTTCTTTCAGGTCTGACCTAATTTCTTGCAGGCTCTTTGGGCCTGTGCTAATTTGTGAGGCTGGCCTAATATGTCATGTGTACTATACCCTAATATTTTTTGAAAGAAGATAATTTTACTCATTGAAGCAGGTAATTATGGCCAGAGAACCTTTCTGGCAAACAGGGAGATGCAATGACATCTCATTCTAGGAATCCAATACTCTAATCAGGATATAGATATCAGCCTCTGATTGACAAAGATTTTTATCTTGACTCCAAGTGAGCAGTAAAAATTTTAAGACTTTAAAGAATGTAGGCCTAGAGAAACAATTCATCGTTGGACATTTTTTAAAAACATATATTAATAGGCTTTTTAAAAAAATTAGCTTGGTCAATTTTGTCTCTTCTGATCTTTTCCTTGTTCTCACTTGTCCACTTCAGATCAAAAGCTGGTGTCATTTGCCACTGAGTGCTATCTATTATATTGATGAAAGTGAAACAGCAGGGTAAAATTAAATTAAAGTGGTCAGGAAGGAGGAAAGAAAATAAAAATAAAAGTGATGTTGTTTCTTCTAATCTGGTTGCTCTCACAAATGAGCTTTCTCATAGTGCAGACACTTACATTTCAAAGTCGCTGGTAAAAGAAAATATGACTAATTAAATTCAAATACTTGAATTATGAAACATTGCATCTTAGTCATTTTCCTCCTCGCACACACTAAAGCTAACAATGCTTAACTTGCAGTAGTTTTTGGAAGCTTGTCTGAATATTTAAATGGGTGTTATATTCTGAATCATCATTGTGGTAAAATGGAAGTTTCCATTTTGTTCAGTTGAAATTAAATTCGAGGCATTTTTAACATTTTAGAGGTGTTATCTTCCTTGTAATGAGATGCAACCATTATAATATCTTTTCTATGTCCTTGTCACTTCGCTTTATTCTTTTCACTGTTATGAAAAGAACAGAGCTGTGCAACTATTGTGTCTGACAGGGCTAAGTAATGTAAATAGCTTCCTTATAAATAATGTAAATTGCTGTTTCCTTATAATTAACATCTTTGCAGGCTACAGGGATCCTTTTTGCCCATTCAAAAGTCTTCTTTTTTATCTAAAGTACTGTTAGAAAAAGAATAAGGTTACTGCTCTTTCTATTCCTAATTTAGTAGTTAACCTCTTGAACTGTCTCAAGTAGATACATATATATAGTCTTTAAAAATAAAATTAAAAAGCACAAAATCTACCCTTCCCATCTCACCACCTAACACTTAGTCATCTTTTTAACTTCTTCATCTATTCATTCTGATACAGGCAACCATTTCTGTAGAGTCCACACAGTGCACAGATAAATCCACACATTTCCTACAAGAAGCAGAGGACATACACACAACTAATCATGATAAAAAAAAAAAAAAAAGACATACTGTGGAACGCACTGGGATAAAGGTTTCAGAAATGTTATGGGAGTTTCAAGATGAATTTTGGCACTGTAGAGAGAACAGAGGATTCTACAAACAATGTGGTTAGCCCAGGACTGTGACTGCCCCTCAGTCGTAAAAAGACCCTTGCAACAGGGATTTGCCTTCTTACTCTGGTAACCTAGCACCCAAGCCTGGTGCCTGGCACACAGTACGACTCACTAAATCTTTGTTAGAATGAATAAATGTAAAAAAAAAAAAAAAAAAAGATGAACATTTAGAAAGATATCCCTGATGGAGAAAAAAGCCTGAGTAAGGTACAAAGCCATAAACACACATAGGAAGTTCAAATAAACAAGCTGTTTAGTGTGGTGAGCCACAGGCTGCAGTAGATCCAGAGGCAGAAAGGAAAGTGTGATCAAATATAGTGTGTAGGTGGAAGGTGTGCTAAGAATTTGTGACTTGGTTCTATTCAGTAGAAAGCCTGGGTTAGAAAAACAGTGTAACATAGACATCAAAAGTCCAAATTCTGAGGCCAACGTGCATGTTTTAAATTCCCAGTTCTTCCAAGTTGTTTAACCTCATTGTGCCTTTCTTTCTTCATCTATAAAATGGGAGTGAAATAATAATACTGTCTACCTCATAGTTTTGTTTTGCTTGTAATTAAATGATTTAATATATGTAAAACCTCCTAAAACAGTTATTGGCACATAGTAAGTGCTACACAAATGTTTGATAATATAATTATTCAGTTGGGAACCATCAAAAGTTCCTAGGCAGAAAAGGACACAGTATAGTCTGTATTTTATGTATTTTAGAAAGGAATGTATTATGGCAGAATGAAAGAAGGATTAGAGTGAATAAGGTTATATCTGATCTCAGCTGCACAGATCATCATAATGATTATATACAGTCAACAAGACAGAAGTAGCCAAACTAAAACTACAGATAGACACTGAAGCAGAATCAGTAGGAAGCCAAATTCTAACCAATAAAACTAAAGGAGTGTCAGAGAGTAATTTATATAATAATCATGTCATATATAATTATAAAGTAATAAAATATGTATGATTATATATAATATGCAAAATTTATAGAAGAAATTCTAACAGAATGTTTTTATGGTCTTGAAGTGAAGGCTTTTCTAATGGCTGAAAAAGTAAAAGATAAAAAGGGAAATACTGATCAACTTGAATATATTAAGATAAACTTTTATAGAATGAAAGACACCAAAACAAAAATGGAAAAACAACCCACATACTGGGAAAAGATATTTGTAATGCATAACAGACTATGTAAGCTCTGTATTGATAAATATCAATTGCCGGCTCAGATAGATGGAATGACCAGATAAAAATACTGCTTGGGCAAATTAAACAGGTTTACATATTACAGGATACCAGTGGAAGTCAGTGTAGTCTTGATACACAAGAAAGAGGTCAGCAACACTATTCAGGACATATAAGTTTCTAAAACCTAAAATCCTCACTAGTGGTGCATAGTTGTGGCTGGTAACATCCCTGCATCTTTCACGTCTGTGATGCTTGCACAGATATTTGCAAATCCTTCAGAAGGTATTAATATGACACCAAGGAAGTTCTCCCATCTCCACTTCATTTGATATAGAACATTATCAGATCCATGCTTCAAGAAATCATCTTGTTAAGTTATTAGGAGTCCTGAACCATGGATGAGTATTCCTAAATTAATGAATTCTACTCTATCCACCTTTGTATTCTGTCCCCCTAATCTAACATATTCAAGATACACTCCTACACATGTTCCCTTAGTTTCAGCTACTACCTATTAGCCAGATCCTACAATTCCCTTGGCATGTGGGCTATTTCTTCTCAGAGTAGAGCTTCTAATTTCCTGCTCAGGCTGTGCTGAAACCTGACTTTGCTTTTCAGCCAGAAGGCAATGAAGTGTGTTAGGGGCATATCTTGAGGAAAACAAGCCACATCTTGAAAGGCACCTGCTTCAGATTAGGTCTTTGCCTGTTCCCCCAGGCAAGTAGAAACTATTTTCCTTTAGCAAGTGGTTTGGGGCTATTTCTGCCAGCCTGCAGGGCTTGAGAAATCTAGGAGCTCAAAGTTCTTAAGATTGTCTACCTAAATGTCTCCATTTCAGGTCTCTGCATCCCCCCACCTCTAGTCTTCTCTTGGAATTGCTGGGATAATCAGATCCTGGGGCCTGGTTTTCAGCAAAGTCTACCCTGCAGTTGTCCTGAGCTGTAACAGAGGCACTCTCTCAGAGCATGCCCTAAATTGTCAATTAACTACCCTAAGACAATTGGGTCCCTATTGCCTTCCGA